CTTCAGTAAATATCGCCTTATCTTTCGAGTTATTTTCTAAACTACTATTTTCTAAGACTATTTTTACGCATAAAAGCCGTTAAGTACGAATAATGAGTCTTCTTACACTAACGTGGAAAAATTCTCCAGGATTGGAAGACATTTATAATATATGTATGTATTTATAGAAGACAAGTTAGTGTTCAAAGATAATGAAAGCAACAAAAGATTTAATTTTAGAAAACAATTGTTTTAATTAGCTTTCAGTGAATTTTACTTTCACTTTCATGTAGTTCCGCGAGCAGCGAGGCTACGTAAGTGTCCCGGCAGGAAGCTATACCAAGTTATTGTCTAGTCTAACTACTTAGTCACATTGTACAAGGACGATTTCACCGCGACACAATGCACGACATAGATAACTCACTTGGGTAATAGAATTATTATTGTCTGTTATGACATCATAAAAGAACAATGGTCGAGCCTTAGAGAATGTAACATAATTATTACGTAGCCTGGTCAAGTCTATGTATGTCGAAAATAATACTAACGAGCGTACTAGTCTATCTCCGCGGAATAGGTGCGTGGGCGGCATTGTTTTTTTTTTAAACATCCAAGTATGACAAATTATATTATGAGACTCTTTGACTTTGATTTATATCAAATTGACTCTTATTTTAAGAAAAATATTTTATTGAAGAACTCAACAGATAAGTTACAATTTCGGGTGATTATAAAAAACCTTTACTACTACGAGTAGGTACGCTTTCATTTAGGAAGGCGCAAAAGTTTTGAATTGAAAAAATAACAGTATGAAAACTCTGTATTTACACGCCATCCTTAACCATATCTAAGCTGTAGACGGGAAGTTAAAATAGTAGTCGGAAAAACGTAGATAACAGTTCGGTAACATATATTTTAAGTGCATTAGAAATTCATAGGCACATACCTATAGGCAGCAGTTTAATGGCATCTACACTGTGTTCTGTCTTCCCTAGCACATCACCAATTTCTCGTTCCGAAAATGGCAAAGTTTAAATAGAACCCTTAACTACTTTGATAGCAATGAATGTTGGCAATGACAGTGTATCGCTTTCAATGCTAAGTTGAAGGAATGGGGTCACTACCAATATGGTGATGTGATTTAACGAGGAACCCAGACAGGCGTATTGTTAGCAAACGTAATTGTAATAATTATTATCCAATTTCACTTGATGAGAATACTAAGTACATTCTTAAGCCGGTATTGTAATATGTGTAGGTCAATGTGCGTTGTTGTACCTATTAAATGTTTGTTTTTCTTTGTTTCAGCCTTTCCTAACTTGCGTTACACCTTGATTTATGTCACCAAGATATTTTGGTAAGTACCTACATATGTATTCAATAAACACAACCACAATATAAAGCTATACATGTATACATATGTATGAATGAGAAATGACTGATGAATACTTTTAACTGAAAAAGAAAACAGTTCTTTCGAAAAAACTTTTTCGTGTTACGTAACTTTATAAATTCGAGTGTGATTTCAATTCGGCTAAGATTGCGCAATGCTCGTTATGAAGAGCAGAAAGTGATGCATGGTTTATGTTCGCTCGATCATTTCTCGCCGAAATATATTGACTTTCACCATAAGTAATTACCTATGCAAGCACGAGGTATGAAACGTACGAGTGTTCGAGTGTACCAGAGTATAAGATCACTTACGCAACATCTATAAGCACATTTTGTGTACCGTAACGATAGTGAAAGTGCATAAGGACATGAGTTGACATATTGTTGCTATTGTTACAACAAAATTATAAACATTCAACATTCATTAAACAAGTCTAGAAGTCTATTCAGACTAGTTTGTCAATAAAAAAATTCCTAACTAAGTCTCCAATATCTATAATTTCAGCCAAAATGTTGTATTGGCCATTACTTGTTCCTACTCCGGTGTAAGCAACTAAACCTATAATAATAATAGTACCTTTCTCATAATAATAATTGCTATCCCACGCCTCCAAATGTACTCTGATTATAATCATTAAAATTTCTCAAGCGCCATGTGGACAAGTCATGTTGTTATTACAAGATTCTTACTAGACAACTAAAGTCAGTTTGGGAAACTATTTGAGCATGGAATTCTTTGAGACAGTGAAAGCAATAGCCCTGGGGTTTTAGATGATGGGCTAAAAAGAAAATTGGAGCGGTTGTTCGTCCATGCGCACGATTGTGTTGTGATAAGTAGAGGTCGGGGCGGGCGGGCGGCGAGCGCCGGTCAGTGTAATAAACAATCTCACGAAGTTACGCAACGTTCGGGAGCGACGCCCTCGTCCTTGGCCTGTAAACGTGCTCGAACTTTCTCTTCCACCGCGCACCGCGCAGGCGCACCACATAAATCATTCCTTCCCACTGTTTGTTCCGGCCTCCGGTTGCGCGGGAGATCACTCACACCGATAAACCTTTGTGTAGCACTGCGTTCATTATCGTTATTGTTATAATTTCTTTTGTTTGAGTATCTACATAGTACACATTTATGTAGAAACTATGTATTTATTATGCATGCACCTAGTAAGTCATTAACGAAACGAGTAAACGAATGCGAGAAACTTCGAACTGAATTTAAGCTCAATCACATGTCTATTTTTAGGGTTCATAGAAACCTGTATATCTTCTTTAATATAAGCCGCAGGAACTGAATGGAACCAGTAAGTAGATAATTGGTGATATTTCCATAATGCAGTGGAGACGCCACGGGTTTACGCGCATAGCATGTATTAGCATAGATAAAATTGTGCCTTGGTGATAATAACCGCTACCGACTTGTATTACTCACTAGGTCACCCATATGTTTTAGATTAACATTTACATTTAACATGGTACAACATCAATCTCATTTACATACCACTTTAAAATAGACATGCGCGAAAAATAAAAGCTAAACTAAGCCTATTTGATGATGAAATAACGCCTAGTTTTGTATAATAATCAGACCCTTAAAATTGATCAATCGTTCGAAACAATTTTAATACTTGTTCATTATGGATACAAAATACAAAGATACCAAATCGTTTGGAATTAATTGTAACATAATGCCGTTATTTCGCTTTACCACTAGTTAGAATAATATATAAACATAACATGGAAAAGGCTGTGATTAACCATCAATAAATCATTCCTTATACTTGTAATAATTTAAAATAATTTCACTAATTAAGTATTTCCTAACATGCTGCAAATAAGAATGATTATAAATAACGTAATTCGTAAAAGAAAGTATATAAAATTATAGAGGCGTTGACGAGGTAATTTATCCCTTCATCCAATTTAAATTAACATATAGAAAATAGTGTAGCGTTAATAGATTTCACTGAGCACACGAGCGCAGCGGTTATGCGATAGCGGGTATCAGTTGTCGGGAAATCTCTTAGAGTGAGTGCAATGCACGTTTCACTTAGGTTCCGGTTTCACTTCAACCAAAATATTGGGAGGAAATCCCTTTTAAGCCTCGTAAATATACTCCACAACTAGTTTTCGACAACTTACTTTCCTTTTCAAAGCATCTTCGGTCCAACAAGTTTTGTTTAATTTATAACGTTGACGTTTCGAGAGCAACACCACGCCGTAGGGCAGGAAGTAGGTTTGTTGATGTTTTAACTAACTGACAATAGTTTAATTGCCTTTCATAAAAATCATTAATCACTAGTTGATGATAGACGTAGATCATTTACATTGTGCGGCTTGCAGCAAGCTGACGGACGCCTATATACTTTTTTTAACAACCAGCTTCAAGTTCATGCAAATAAGGCAATTTTCTTAGAAAACCGGGTCAATTTCTTCGTGATACGGAAGCTGTGCCACCGGCTTTACATAGAATAACATCGCCCCTTGATTGCGTTTATAAATGCATCTTGACGCTGGCAAACATGTTTAGCTTATTCCAACAATTTTAATACATAATTACTATCGATGTGATGTACGACTAATGTATGCATTTTTTCTTCATTAAATGCGATTTTATACTATGTACTGAAATATTGCTTCAAGCAAGTATCTTGAGTGGTGTCGTGATTGGAAAACCATGCATCGCACTAATGTACCTTATGTATATGTGACAAGGTAAATAAAAGGAGATGATGATTCTTAATTGTTTATGAGAATGAGACTGTTTCTCTTCAGGACAAAACTGACATACATTTAGAAAAAATATACAATCTGAACCCACAACACGAAATAACTTGGAGGTATCGAAAGTTTGAAGTATATGTGACAAGGTAAATTAAAGTCGATCATTGTTCTAAATTGTTTATTGAGAATGGCAGTATCAGACTTCAGGAAAAAACTGACAGACATAATATATTTGGAGCTGAACCTAAAATTTGAATTAATTTCTACTGGAAACTATTTGCTAACGGGTCGATACGGTGCCGGCGTAGTGTTACAAAATATTCATAAACTTTTACCAGAACGTCTGTAATGTTTTGTGACAACTTTCGATTGTGTAACAATGATCCAGGTCGTGACGCAGTTTTACAAAGGCGAATGTGACTAATGTGAATATAATGGTGACATTGTGTACCACCAGGTATATATAACTAAGGCTTACATAAGCTCCAAACTCTGAATATAATGCGTTAAGTATACCCATGTGTCAAGGCTTGGTAAACAAAGTGGAAAGTTATTATTATCAATTAAAACGTTTTCAGTATATCAATGTAGAATCTTAAACGATTCATCTTCCGCGGATCCTTCATTCGTCGAATAGTAAGTTTAAGTGTAGTCATAAAAAAATAAAAAGAATGTGGATCTTAAATAAAATCTTCAAATTAATAAGCACCTAGTAATCAGCCGGTATAATTTACGTCTCAATTACACCCCATGTAATTTTGAGTGGATGTATTAAATCAATGAATTATTTGATTTAATAATAGACTATCAAATACTTTCTGTTACCGCACTGATAAAATAATAGTTACGTAACCATGAAAGAGCGGCTAATTGTAACGTAGCGCTGCGGCCCGAGAGCCCGACCGGCACTAATGCACCCCACAGATCTACACAATCGCACGCCGCCAACGAAAGTTACCGGATTTTGTACACCTCCAATGCCAAGTGCGGCGAAGAAAGCGAGCCCAGCTTCTTCGACGAAACATCTTAGATACTGCCATCTCGCTCGTTGGAACCCCACAGTGAGAACTGAAGAAAGAGACAACGTGTGCTTAAAAGAGAAAGTGGGCCACGTTACGTTTCTCGGTACCATTAACACGGGCATTGAACGTAAACGTCAACGGATAAAATCTTGGAGGTGCTCTGCTCGATTCGGAAATGGTTGCTATTGCTTTGGCGTTTAAGTGTTATTTCGCTTGAGTGCATCGAGTTAGTTCCAAGGTACAAGGTTCGAGCGGATGGCCATTGATACTGGCTGCGGCTGGGAGTACGGAGACGCTGAATTCGGAGAGCAACGAACTGCGGGCTCCGGTGAAAGTGTTGCGTGGCGTAACCTTGAGCCCACGCTGCTCTTTAGCGTATCATCTAATCAATACGTCACCGCGATATGTGTTCGATACGCAAGTGTTCAGTTACGCTTGTTATCAGTCATAAGCACAGGTGATACTTGAGAGGCTTTTCTTTTTGTTGCTTTTTGGTCACACGAGACCAATTATTCATTCGTCTTGGAAATACGATGACATACTGGTTAATTATATATGTGTATAGCTTACCTACACGATAAGTTATATATCTGATAAGTTCCTATAATTATTCTTTTAATGCTTTCAAACTGCATACAATACAACATAATAATAACACGTTTTAAAAGTTTTTATCCAGCCAACAGGATTCAGAATACAGTGACCAATTTATAAGAAAAGCTACTTTCAAATCAAATACTTGTGGTTTATCGACGTGATTGTGAATGTATAACGGCCATATTTTCTTACGTGCTATGGAAACTTAAATTACACAATTGAGGTATTGAGGCAAACATTTTGCAGTACGTTAAAGATGACACATCCTTTGTGAATAAAAGTACTTATGTTTTTATTGCGGGTTGTATTTTACACTACATAATTACTACTGTACTGGGCTCCTAATTTATGTAGCGTCATATTTATCAGCCATCTAAAATAATACTCAATTTGAACTAGTAGTTCCAGAGATTTGCGTGGTATTAGTATTGATTGGTTTTTTGTTGTCATGTATATTTTGCTCCGTGTCCTTCTATATAATTTAATTTAACATTAATATTCATAAAATAACGTTTTTTTCATACTAAAACTAACTACGAATAGTTATGTAAACCCTATAATAAAAGCTTTAATTATGTGTTTTCATTTATCGATGGCTCCACTAAATCAGCCCACCAACAGGTGATCCGACCTACCCCAACAGTCCCAGATTTAAGCAATTCGAGGTTTTAAGTATTTTCGGATTCGAAATTTTCTTATCAGTTTTTATATTAATTCAACTATTAAATTTAGTTTTATGAAGGTAGGTATTATTTTAAACTTAATATTACTCAATAATCATGGTTATAATTACAGAAGAGTATCTTTGACGATCAGGTGGCAGTTTTCCGTTTTTCTATCATTTGAATCATATCAATTTAATTTATACAAATAGCTGTACTCCAAGTTTCAACAAAGATACTTACTTATGTAATGTATTCTCATTCTAACAATGATCGGTTTCATGTATCTGCAGTTCCCATGCGATTGATCGTTGACCCTGCAAGTGAAAATCTCAACGATCATAAAAATAGCTAACAATATAAATTACTTGCAAAGTTTTTCATTAGAAATGAAAGCTACTAAAACAATTCAATAGCTTGTTTTACGTACGTTCGCAGATTAATTCAAGTCTCGTATCATTGAAGCTGCGGCGGCGCACGCGCATCACAGCAAATCATGCCTTTTCTTGGAAACGCTTCAATAGACGTAGATTATTTCTCGTTTTTACGATTTGCAGCCGGAGAAAATCATTTTAGTGTGTATATTACGGAATGCGTTTTAATTTACTATTTTGTAATTCTTGAATAGTAATGGCACTTGATAAACCCTAACAATAGCCAACTAATCTCAGTACAAACACACGCTCGCTTTCTAACCGCAATGTATGCTAATATAATAATAGAGAAGAAAAGTTAATCTCCTGAGCAATTCCCATTCATTAGTTTAAAAAAACTTTCAGCTCGTTACCAACCAATTAAAAGTCGCGTCAGTTGCGCCCACGTGTCGTTAATCAGAGCCGAAAGTGACTAGCAAACGTTATCACGGTAAATGTACTTACTGCTTGTTTTCAAACGAAGTAATTAGTGAGAGAGCATTCTGTGTAGCAAACTATACTTACATGTATCAACGTAAAGTCAACACTCACAGCTGGCTATCTTTATTTCCGATTTACAATGATAAATGATCTTTTAAAGTCAACTGCTTAAGCCGCTTAGAGGCTTCAATGAAAGATCCAAGGGCAATAGTGCTAAAATCTACGACATTCAGACGACAAAATGCTTTAATGTAACTACAAAGGAGAATTAGAATATGTACGAAGAAACAGATTAAGGTATCTAGTACTAATAAAAATGCTTTGTCGAAAGAATTTTTCAACCTAGTTATATTTTAGAGGGGAATTTGTAAAAATAAATAAAGTTTCATAAACACAGTCGTTTGAGTCAAATTATAGCCAGTTAACCGAGTTTCATATTTCAGACTACAATTGTTCCACCCCAATTAAAGCAAACTTTTATATTATACTATATGTATGAATTATGCGTCTTGTGCATATGAAAGTAACACAACATAATTAGGTAGATGCGACTGAAGTTTAAAAGAAGAGGAGGTTAGGATACTTCTCATGCATGAGGGTTCGAAACCTGACAAGTATCAAAGTGAATTCTTCCGTGTTATATGATTATTTAGACCTCACTGATATACGGTGAAGTTAAAATCGTAAAGAAACCTAGAATTATAATTTCTGAAAAAAGTTTGAAATCGCGATACCGCCTTGTGCAAGCGTGGATTAATGCTCAAACCTTCTCCATGTGAGAAGTGGCCTTTGTTCGCCAGTGGGCACTTATAGGCTGATTGTCATGTGATGTGAAGGATGCTAGATAAATAAGTTTAAACAGGATTTATTTAACAGAGCAGACAGAAATGATGATTAGTATGATCGATCACATTTATCACATTTTACTAGTAATAAAATAATGTCATTTCAATTTATTTCAAGTCAGCTACCCATAATAGGTACGACCTTCTAACTTCGTCCTTGTTATCACTTGCGGTCATTTGACCATTTAAGGAGACTAAATAAAGCAAACTTTTATAACACATTGTCTGACCTTATTATTCTATTACAAATGTATTCAAATTAGTCCGTGGCCAACATAATGAAAGGGTCAGTAAAGATAAATGATCGGTAATTATTTACACAGCCAACTAATGTAATGTGACCTAAATTGAGCAAATGTTGGACGAAGGGAAGCCCTTCATGTTTGGCTGTGTTCGCTAGTACATCAATATCACTTTCACTTTTCCCACAGGCCGTAGACCGGTCGAGTCTGTACGAATGCATCTCCCGGTTTATCATTTACACAAAACTTTACATTGGTTCTGTTTCCGTGGTTTTGAGCACTTTCTATTCCATTTCGGTACAAGTTAGTCAAAAATCTTTCTGTTGCAAATTTGCAACAAAGTAGGTATTTAGGTACAATCGATTTAAATTCCATCTATCATCACTGATTTACTATCTGTTTTGATCAGCACGCTGCTGAAGACAATAGAAAGATGAGGTGTAAAGATATTATGATAAGGATAAGAAGAGCGTGCGCCCGCCATTCCGGGCCGTGTAATTGCTTTACGTGACTTGGCAGCTTTCTCGAGCAGCGCACGCGCACAACGTCTAAACCTCTCCGACAACGTGTCACACGTGCACCTCATCTATCCGGAAATATTTGATCAAATTACACACACGGATCTTCAGTTAATATTTGTAATGTTCTCTACATACATTTCAAAAATTGGTGTAATATTTTTAAATTCACTAATTACATTTTTCATACGACACTCATCATCAGCTTTCTTAAGCCGGCAACTTATTGTAAATAGCACGTTTGACATCAGTTACCCACAACCACAATTACCTGCACACGACATGCGATCCTATTAACTGAGCATTTACTGATTTGCAATAAAAAATTAATTGCCGCGAATACACTAAATCTTCTGTAAAGCGACTCCATTGACTTGCAGATCAGCTCTTGGCAGAAAAGGAAAGTACCATGTAAAGTTGCGAATCACGATACTTTTTGTCGATCATCGTGTGAAATCTGTTCATGAGTTTTTATGTTTATTTAATACGTGGGCTAACAGAGTCGGTCCCGAGAAAGATGGAGACATTGCTGGGGACAAGTCGTACCGGCGACTGCGCCTGCGTCGCGCCTCGCCGTCACGCTTTGTTACCGACGTTTTCTCATCAAGCGATTGATTTACATATTCTGTAATTACCAGTAGGTAATATTATCAATTAGGTACCTTTATACATATTAAATTATTATTTTTATTCGTCTTATTAGCAATACTAACTGAGTAAATACTATTGATCTTTTGCGTGACTAATTTTCACTGGTTGAACAAGACATGAGAACCACTTTCACAAAATAGAACAGATCCTCAAGCGTGGACGTTGATTAATGCGTGTTAAATTGGATAGAAAAGCCCTAGTTGTCTAGGCACTGATGTATATTTTGACAGAGCAATTAAGTTACATCAAGACATTCAAAAGATGCGTGTTTGTAATAACTTGCCCTCAGGTCTAGAGATGGATAAATCAAATCTTTCGCTTGTTGGTTGAAATTGATTCATGATTTGTTTTTCGTTTTAATAGTTACATAGAGATATTACAACAGTTTTTTCTGGTAAAAATGTTGATTACAGTCTTTACAAAATTATTACCTTAAAGAAAATAGTGATTTGAAGTTTTATTTATATCATTATGACGTAGAAACCGCAGCAGGGCGGATTTTGCGGTAGGCAAGCGTGGTAGCGCGGTGCTATCGAATTGATTGAGGAGTGTGCACCTAGAATGTGATGGAACATGCAATGCGGCTACTCTGATGTACTTAATTGAACAAACCACCTGCAATAGCTATTATTACAGTATAACCACAGATTACAGAAAATAGAAAATGCCCGAGGGCCCGCTTTCTTACCAGTAACTAGCCTAGTTATAGGTGGGCGCAGCTGCGACTAATGTGTATCACTCGTCTTCTAAACGGCTATTTATAAACCATTTATAAATATATACTTTTCATTTACTTAGTAGAGTAGTCTCACAGTACCTACGTATTTCAGAGATAATTAACCAACTGAATTACGCGGAAAATCTACAACAAGTATTCAGGAATCTTAGATACCCTGATGAGTAATTACACCGTTATTAAATATCTACTTATTGTAATTAAGCTAATAGGTCTACATGATATAAGTACCCTAAAGAGTAACACAACATTTTTCATTGAAATATAGTTTAACTTCATAAAATAACGCGATGTATTTCAATGTGAAGGAAATAAAGTTTTCGTAAAATTATTCTGAATTTATGTTTGTACAAAAGTATCATTAAACTGCTTCTAGCAAAATATGATACTATATTCTAGGATCGACAGATGAGATTGTATGTGCTTTCTCTAACTGGCTGCGAGTAATCGAGTGACTGTGACTAGTGACTAGGGTGAAATCACTAGCAGCGCCCGCGTCGCTGCCGGACAGGTGCGCGCGTGAAACATTCAGTGATTTTATAGCACTTTTGTACATTTTCAATCAGAACTACAATAAAATATATAGGTAAAATAAAAAAAATCTTTGAGAATTGGGTGCAGATCAGGTTAGCCCTGCGGTTGAATTCTTATTCGTCGGTTACACAAAACCAATACTTGAAGCAAAGCTGAAGTGTCAATATGTACAAACATACACGACCTTGTGCCGTAATAAGGTGAAGGCCGCGCGTGGTTTCCTCTCGGCGCAGCGGGAGCGGCGCGCGGCGCACGCGTCCAAGTGAAAGATGCAGCCGGTGCAGTTCCGGCGCGGACGACGCTGCACTCGGTCACTGGGTCAGCCCCACTCGGCGCCGGCTGGTGGCTGCGGGGGGCGGCGCTGGGTGCGCGCGCGGTGCCGTACTGCGCGCGCTCACAGTGCTCGTTGCCATGGCTGGTGTGGCTGCACGCTAGCCCCATGCCCAGCGCCGCCCGCGCCTCCGCCGCGCCCTCGGCTAGTGCTCCTCTCACCGTCTTCTGTTGGTTGCAGGCCGCTGACTGACTGCACTGTGACCATGAAGAGGACCAGGTTGCTGCTGGTGGCCGCTGTGCTCTTGCTTCGGGTGAGTCCGCTTTCTTTATTACCCCAACGCTAAAATATGTTTATCTGGTCAGCTATTTTAAGGTTAACAAATAACCACTAATTAGTGTCCGTCAGTCTTTTAGAGCATCACTTTTAGAAACTGATGAAATTATTCATGGTCAATTAAGTAGTTAATGAGTAAAAATTCTAGTTAACAGAATAATTTTAAGAAAGTTAGAATTGTTTTAGTGCACGCTTTCCTATTTTTTCAATCATTTATTTTTCACACCAACACGGAACCGCAAATCATAAAGCTAAATCAATACAGTGCTTTAATGTGAAACTCTGCTATTGATAGTCATAAAATTGTACCGAGAGTCGTTCCAAATAGCATATTATTACAGACTAAATGGCGTCTAACAGTGACTTTGCTAATGCTACTGTGAAAAAATTACCCCTTGTGATATTCCAGACTACTTATAATCTATCTCTGCCCTAAATTATTAGTTTTTAGTTTAAGTGAGAGAGTAACAAACATTCACACAAGGCACAATGTTTCATGCCCCACTGGGATAGCATATGATTATAACATAGAAACACATAATTCCTAATTGAATAACAACAGTTAGCTACATGATGTTGGCAATGATCGGGCGCGTGCTGGCTCCGCTAGTCCCGCTAGGTGTATCAGAGCAGCTAACAGTCCGGCCTGGTCCAGGGACTAAGTCGCTTATCCATCGCCAATCACTAATTCAAACGCTAATGATAGTATAACGCTTCCAGTTCTCGTGAAACAAAGATACGGTAATATTCTGTCGCTTCGCGTGACGTCCGCATCACAGAGTAATGTCTACTAAGGTAATTTAAAGAATAACGTAAATAAGCGATGTTACATGAAGCGTGGCTCGCCGCTCAAGTGCTGGGTAGTGCAACTGTGCAACCACGTAAGTGTGGAAGGCACGCGGTGCTCTGTCGAACGCTTCTACATTATTCAGCTTTTTCCGCTCGCGTTCTCGCCAACTAGGCTAATGATTCCGTTAGCACATCCACAAAACAGTGGACCATTGGAAACTAACTGCGTATGCTGATACGTGTATTAAGTGCGTACCGGAGAAGTGAATTTAAATGTTGTTAATTGTTAAGCTTCACTCGCTTCATTAACATACGCGTTCCATCTGGACATACCGACATACATATTATGTACGAAAGTTACATTACCACGTTAGGAGTCTGATCCGTTGATTGTATTGCCGGCAGATGCCTTACATAATGACAATTTCAATCCCATTGAATAAAACTTTAAAGGCCTCCAACAATGGACCGTCGTTGTAGCATCTTTTTCTAAGAGCACTTTCACTGATATTTCGCGTCTTTGTAAGGAAATGACGTAATCCGGTTGTGCAAGTGATTCCATTTTTGACCATGACGAAGATCTGCTAAACGACTGAGAACAATCGAGAGTTTTGTAGCCCGCAAATATGTTGTAACAGTAAAATTGTTATCGATATTAATTGTAATTCTATTAGTTAATAAAACTGCTTAGATTAATCTAAAAAGGAAAGCTTGTCTTGAGCAGGTTTTAATATCGTGCTTGGTTAGTGTCGTTCATAATCAATTTCATAATTCATATAATGCTTGTAAAAATATGATAATTTATTAAATATTTATATTGATCACATAATCCAACATAAAAACTAATCGCGTGAATTTCTCTGAATAAAAATGTTAAAGTTTTCTGATAAAAATGATAATTTTATTTAAAACGCTGCTAACAAAATTTTATCTAGTAGTTAGTACCAGGCCGAATTTTGTTCGGTAGATACTACGGTACTACATAGTTTATCTGCGTTTAGGAGTACTCTGTGCTGTATTACTTGATCCCAACCTGGAGATAAATGACTCTTGGTTGAATGTACTTTCCTATCTACAGATACGAGAATTTTAATTAAGGTGAAATGGTAGTTGTTAACTTTTTGTAAAAGTCATTTTATTTCGATAGTTAATTTGATCCCATAGCGGGATAAGTATGTTTGCTAAAACTTTACTTCACCCTATGAAAATAACTATCAACTGAAGAAAAATTGGTATAATATATGGAGGTTAAATTTCGCCATGATAAAGATTTACGTGCAATTTTAATAAGAAGGTAGTGATTTTGTATTTGGAAACTGAATGTAAAAATATAATTACTCCACCCATTTTAGCACGCTGACTGGAGAAATTAGCTGTCGTAAATAGCTATCGAGTTGGTCTCGCTAATTCATGTTAGAAAGCAATTGTAAAGAAGGTGTAAACTAACGAACGCTTTCGATTGTCGGCTGGATTCATGGGCTGTGGTGTCACTCATTGTCTATTCGAATCAAACCGTTAAGTTTAGACTATACTTTACTTAGACAAGTTCCTTTAGACAATCCTCTCTATTACAAACATATTATTACAAATACCGAACTCTATATGTATTTGCGTTCACATCGTATTTCACGCGATCAATAAAGTTTATAATGTCAAATATTAAATTCCCTTCAGGCCGAAACCTATAGGTTAACGGGTCTCATTAATTTTCTTTATCTTGTGTCCACACTTTCTCAATGTAAGCGAAAGTGTTCGCGAGGATTTCTGACTCCGCGTTCGAAGTTCAAGCGCATGACATTTAGCATGGCTTGTTAGCACGCCTATAGCTGGGTATGTCGACTGTACCAACTTGTAAATGCTTGCCCACTTATCATGTAAGAATAAGCAACCACGTGTTCCTATAAGAAGGTCTTTCCAAGATTCGTTTATTCCGCCCCTATATTCGTTTTTGTTTGTTGTTTTGTTAAAATATTTACGCTATTTCTTTATGGTCTCAACACTGTGCTTTCTAAAGCGTCCTTAAACTACAGACAGGATAAAAATGTTCGCAATTTCTAGCTAGCTATTGTTCTTATGACTTTTGCTCATGACTTTTCATGTTCATTGAATTCATACACTCTTTGTGTTTAGTGTTTAGAAGACGGACAACATGTACATTTATCCCATAAAGTCAAGACTAACGAAACTCCGTTAAAAGAACTGTAAGTGTTAGAAACAGTCGGAGTACCGGTAAGCTAAGCAACTCACTAACGCAAACATTATTTTGGTTATGTTATTTGACCTGACAGACTTGTTTGTGTCCGTGCCATTGGCGGATACCAACGAATTTCTTATTCTGTTATTTCTATGCTTCATAGCATTTCTGTGGTATGTACTTGTGACAGTTACTTGTAGGTAAAGTTGTATTATAATGTGAAATTGTCATGAGTCGGACAGGTAGTGTCGTCTTGTGATCGTCAGATAGTGCACGCACGGAGTAGTGCACAGTGGGCACACTTCCCACGGACTGGCACAATACAATGCGTACCGCACAGGGAGAGCTGTGGGAGACAACTTGTACAATTTATTTCGTTCACATATCTCGTACTTACATCGCACATTCGTCACAATAATCTCATTTCAAAGTTCAGCCATTAGTCTAGTATTGGACGCATAAGATGATGCCAATTAAGTTGCGAATTCATTTTTTTTAATAGAAAAAATTCTATGGCACCTAATTTGAAGTTAAGTTTCCCCATTAAAGATTTTAGCAGATTATTAGCATAACTCTTCATTTATGATATAAGACAAGATAATAGTTAGAAATTGATTTGGAAAGCCAATTTTTTTAGGAAAATTCCCAATGTTCCTGTGGATTGATTCTAATTACTTTTGCCACCTTGGGAAGGAGAACGAGAAATAGTATCAGATTCTTACAGACAAAAAAAAACTTTTAATTTATTTGCCGGGCTGCAGCACATCATTTACAAGCTACCAGGTATCTGCCATATTCGTCTTCTTGTCATCCTGTCTGTAGTGGTCTAATGGCACTTTTGGCACCTACCTAACTGGTATAATGTACCGTTGTTATTATACCTACACCCCTTCTTTTAACTGTATTGGTGTCTTTTAGATGTCCTTTATATTGAGACTATTAGATACTAAATATTATTTAGAGAAATATGCAAAAACGAGTAAATCTTAAGTCTATATTTAAGATAAGATGTTGTCTACATCTAACAAATCCGGCAAGACGGCTTCATGTAAATTCCGCAAATATTTATGTATGTATTAGAAACATAAATATTCTCCACCCCAGCAGCTAGTTGTCGCATAGTTAAACAGAAACACAAACAAAAATCCGGTTCTACTCAATTCTCGTTCATTTAAACAACTTTCTTCCGACTCGTACAAATTTTTGTACTGAGGCATGTACATACGTACAAATGTTAACGAGCTTCAGAAACTCATGTTATATAACACGGTGTACTCTTCAACAGTTTTATTGCTATGTTTTTCGAAAAAAGCTTCGTTTAATTTTATGTCAATAAGATTTTTATGAGGTATACTTTGCTTTCTTTATCTTTGATAGGCTTAACCCCAATAGTTAAGTGGGACACAAACGTAAACACGTAAATTGTTCGGTAACGACTTCACACTTTTGAATTGGATACGTTTTCTTTTACTGTGTCAATAAATTAATTCAAACCTTTATGAAGCACGAGAAACCTGTTTCACACATAAAACTTGTTATAAAAAAAATATTACCAAAAGTACCTATTGAAATAATTTCGAAGTACCTATGATGAACTATAAGATAGATAGATATTATTATTCCTCTTTAGATAACCTCAACTCTGAACACTTAAATCTAGAACAATTCAGCAATATACATTTGTATAGGTAAAGTAAATCAATGCAGACGCATCTATCTGGAGCCTGTTACAGTTTCAGGCTGATCACGAATAACGAGTTCTCATCTCATGTTAAGCACTATTACTATAAATATACATATTATTTAAGAGCTAAAAACAGTATAAAAATTTTTCTACGTTAGTGTTTTATTTTTGCGTGTGTAGAAGTATTAAAATAATCAAGGGGGAACAAATTCGTACATTTCGGGTGGAAGCGGATGTACGGACGATGGATACTTTCACCTGCGCCCGCGCACGGCACCTGTCGTTTCTCGCGCTGGTGACGCGCGAGCATGCGCCGGTAAACTTCTATATCACAAGCCATCCATTACCTCCGCTAATTAACGTATTTATTATATTATGTGCTACGCAAACTATTTAACGTCCAGAATCGGATATCAAATTTATAGGTAAATCTACCTAGCTAAATTATTGAGAAATTTAAATAAATTAACACTATGGTCACAAAAAAAAAACGTATAATGACTTTCCCGAGTTTTCACTGAGGTACATAAAAACCTGGTGGACATGTAGCATCCGCTCAAATCGATGTGTCAGTCTATTTACGATATAACGTGCCCAAATGGAAACTGCCAAAGAAAGCTCTATATAGTTGTCAAAGTTGCGCATGTTTATAGGTCCGGTGTTTTCTTCCGCAACTCACAATCTCGATCAGTGGGTAATTTCTAACCGGTTTAGAAAACGCGAGCGTCGTCGCTACGCACCGGGCGCGCGGCGCTCCCGCCGCCAACCTGCCACTTGCTATTCTTACATACTAACCGTCTAGAGGTATACCAAACTGCCTCATCAGCTCTCACGCCATATTTTTCTAGTTTAACTTGAACATCCAAATACAGAGTCACCCAGTCTATCAACCTTAACACGCATGCCTGTGGCAGTGCTCGGATAATACTAGATCTTTGTCAAAATTATTATACTTCTGGAACATTCGATATTTGGATAAAAGTAGTATTTTTTTGTATAAAACTATTCTCATCGTAATTATTTTGTGCACACATAATAATTATGATCAACGTTAAAGTATCGACTGAAGCTTAACGTACAAGTACCACTGAAAAGATCTGTTAGTAATTAAAAATATACCGTGAAAGCATTCGTGTAATTCATCTTAGCAATATGATCGTACTGATTAATATTATAATTGCTCGTGCATGCTATCCATCAGTGTAGAAAGTCGGAAGGAACGTAGCGCGCGCCGCTCGCAAGATGAGGCGAGGGCGCTCTGCGCACGCGCTCTCGTAGCGCGAAGTATCTAGAGTGAGACGCCTCTCAGGAATGTTCTAAGACTGTTATTATATTATGTGTAGTCGCAAACACTGAGGCAATGTTTCCGCTAATAGATAATTGTGCACTGTTAAATCACTTATAGTTTTGTCATATATTTATGATAAGCAAAAAGTTACTAAGACTTTACTTAGTATTGAAAGCTGCCTTGTACCCCTATAACACCAAAACTTATGTATGGCTTTCTTTTTCCAGGAAGCAACATGCGAACCTCCGGTGGACTCGGCTTCATTGCCTTTGGAACATCGAACAGGGGCCGGTTACGGGCCACCGTTGCCACCCTCGCACACAGACGACCCGTGGCCCCTGGCGACACCGGATAGTCCTAAAATAAAGCATCTACAAGTTCAGTGTGAGAAAACACGCATGCGTGTCAATATAGAATTTGACCGTCCATTTTATGGAATGATATTCTCAAAAGGATTCTACAGCGACCCTCATTGTATGCATTTGAAACCAGGGACTGGACATCTCAGCGCCACTTTTGAAATATTCCTCAACAGCTGCGGCATGAGTAGTTCTGCAAATCATAATGTAGCTACATATGGAAGTCCTACTCCTAGTGGTTCCTACGTGGAGAACACTATCATTGTCCAATACGACCCTTACGTCCAAGAAGTATGGGATCAGGCAAGAAAATTACGATGCACGTGGTACGACTTTTACGAAAAGGCAGTTACGTTTAGACCATTCCAAGTGGACATGCTGCACGCGGTCACGGCGAACTTTCTCGGAGACAACCTGCAATGCTGGATGCAGATACAGGTTGGAAAGGGACCTTGGGCTTCAGAAGTGTCCGGCATAGTGAAAATAGGTCAGACTATGACGATGGTGCTAGCAATCAAAGATGATGAAAACAAATTCGACATGTTGGTGCGTAACTGTGTGGCACACGACGGAAAGAGAGCGCCCATACAGCTTGTCGATCAATACGGTTGTGTAGTAAGACCTAAGATTATGAGCAAATTCCAAAAGATAAAGAACTTTGGTCCTTCAGCTTCTGTGGTATCCTTCGCATATTTCCAAGCATTTAAATTCCCCGATTCAATGAACGTACACTTCCAGTGTGTAATCCAAGTGTGCAGATATAACTGTCCTGAGCCTAAGTGCGGTGGTCTAGGTGCTGACTACGGAGTTCCCTTGTTAGGTGGAAATACTCTGGGTGCTGAAGAATACGGCGTACCCAACTCTCCCCACGCGGAGTACGGTCCCCCACCACCAGCTCCTCATGGAGAATATGGCGTGCCACCTGCGTTCCCCGATCCGCGACATCCCGCGGATGCGACAGGATCCTTCTCAGAAAAACGCGATGATGCTGTACCGCCACCACAAGCGCAAGTATCATCAACTCCAAATGCACCTAGTCCATCATCACCAGCCCCCGCGCGAGATGAAGATGAAGTGAACTTACCTCCCCCGCCTCCTCCAGGCCGTCGTGGCGTATACAATACGGTGAAGAGGAAAGATGATGCTCACGTTAATTTAGCAACATTAGGAGGAAGGCCGCGTTCCGTTGAGGACCTACCAGAGAGGCTGGTCGGAGTGAGGCGGAGGCGAGAGACATCCACGCCAACAAGAATATACAAACGTGACGCACAAGAAATGACTGACGTCAATACTAGTCGAACGATCCAGGTGGTGGCTCCTGGAGACGTGAACTTCGCATTAAACAATGCCGCGGCGAACGAGACCGTCGTCATTCAGTCTCCGGCCAGTGATCCGGAGACAATATGCATGTCGGTTCCGTCGTTCGTGGCGGGACTGGTGATGTTGCTGCTAGTGCTCGTGGTGGCCTCGCTGGTGGCCGCCTTCCTCTTCGTGCGTGTGCGTGCGCTCGACAGGAAGGGCGCGCACGGAGCGGCCGCCTACTACGAGACGGATTACGTCAAGCACACTAATTAGCGGTAGACGCGGTGCGAATGTGACGCGAGGACGATTCACAAACTTTACTCGGATCCAAAGAGCGTGCGCGCTTCGGCCCCGGTCGGACGGCGCGCGGGCGCTGTCGCGGTCGCGATCGAAGCTCGGTGACTGTGTCAGATATTTATTTAGTTTGTAATGAGCGTGATGTATATGTACGACTGTTTTTGTAAATTATTTTTATTCGTGTGGAAAGCACCCTGTATCATCGCCTTGTAGTCGATACGCCTGTTGTAATTTTGTAAAGAGTCGTAAGTAAGGTTTTAATGTTAAGTTAAATATTAATTAAACATACCAATCAAACTTGTCTTGTGAGATGACTTTTAATATACCTTAATCTTTTAGAACTTTTTCGACCAACCTAATTAACACAATCGCAAATCCATATCTATACATGTATACCAAGTAAAGTAAGTACGTTTAAGTAAAGTACGATTGTTAAAAAGAAAAAAGCTATTTCAGTATTTCTTTCTTTTAATATCCAATAGCTTAACTGACAATTATACATAAATAAAAATTGTCAATAGTAAACAAATTCTCTTCTATGAAGTAAAGTATAAAGAAATCATTAAGTACAGCGTATGAATATTTTAAACTATCTTCAGCGAGCTTGGCCACTTCTATATTATGTAACTTACTGTTTACATAGTTTTATTTCCAAGGAGGTATCTTGTTCAGACCACCGGGTTTTGCTTGTCGGTCGATGCGAAACAAATTCATGCACGAAGGGTGGTCCTCCTTCTGAGGACTGCTGCTAGTGCTGCTACGCATCAACCTTAGCCTCATATCATTGCTTTCTCCTATAATATCTATTAGGTCCTGTCAACAAATACAAATCATTAACAAGTAAGTATTTAAATATGGTAAGTATTCATACAAATGTTGACCTACAAACTCAACGAGTCTAGAGCCGAGCTAGAGAAGTCTTAGGACACCTGGTCCCGGTTCTTTCGAAAATTAAAAATTATCAGTACCTGTAAATAGTCCCGCAATAGCAGCTAATACGGAACCACCCGTTTTAAATTGTCTGACAAGATTTTTTTTCTCCTTTTAGATATTTTACTTAAACCTATGGATACCAACGATTTCTAGATCAGTATAAAAAATAAGATAATTGGGTTTGACTCCTTACATCCTGAAACAAGGGAAGATCCACTGCGGCAGTTCGTTTCGGCCGCTTCAGCCGGCAGTTTAGTCGCGGCGGAGACGGCTCGGCGAGGGCTCGCTCAAGGTTGGCAGGTGCGAGATTACGTTTACTGGGGCTGATTGAGCTTTGTTTACATGTGCCTGGATTCGAATCCGGGTTTTGTGAGCTTAAATTACGTGGGTTAGAGCGGCTTGAGATTTCGCAGTTTGGTACGGCAGGGTTGCGAACATTGAGGCTGCGCGGCGAGCAGATTTTCGTTCCTTGGCTTCGTGGGCTAACATCTCGCGGCACCGGGATCCAGTGCGTCTTCGGGGGTTTATACTGGGAACCTCTGCTCATGCTTGGCAACACTGACTTTGTTTGAGTGTTTTTATTCTTCATTCCGTGACGTGGCACGACAAATTTCAACTGAGTAAACATTTGTAAATTAATGTAAAATTAACTTGTTGACCTGTAAGTCAATTTTGCCATTTAATTTTATTAGAAATTTTGAAAAGGGGTGTTGGCTTGGCACTATTGCTCGCCGCACTAGGACGGTGTCTTAAGGACGATGCCATTAAAATTAAATATACGAGATCAATATACGCTTTCGTAGCGTTAGTTAGGATCAGCCGGAGTTGCGGGGCTTGTGAAATAAGGCACCGCGACCTCGGCCTAGAGCAGGAGAAGGAATGGAGGGGGTTGACTGACACTCCCTGCCGCCCCGCCCTAAGCAGAAGAAGTCATTTGATGATATTCCCCTCACAAAAAAGCGTTAGTTAGGAACAGTTGAAGCTTTATACATAGTGGTCGCGGGATGACGTCGGTGCCGAAGGCTGCGAGGTTGGTGCGTGGGATGCAGACCTCCCGGCGTCGGCGCCCTGCGCGCGGTATGTGTGGCACAGCCTGCGCACGCGCCGGCTCGCCTCTGGCTGGGATCTGCGATGTCTCCTACGTCTACGTGGCCGCTCCAGCTTCTTCTCTTCACAATTGTGTGATTGATTCTAAAGAATAGGCACATATGTACATCTTATATATAAAAATGGATCGCAAAATGTGTTGGTAAGCGCATAACTCAACAACGCCTGGACCAATTTTGCTAATTCCTTTTTTGTTGTGTTTGTTATTGTCAAGAGAAGGTTCTTATCAAAGAAAATATTAGAAAAGTAGAAGGAAAGATTAGAAAAAAAGTGACCCTTTGATAGCGAGATAGTTGGACCCGTGCGAAGCGGGGGCGGGCCGCTAGTAAGTAAATAAAAATATAAATTAAAATCGTTTAATTTGCCATTCATCTTGTCTGCAATTAATAAGACCGTTCCCAATCCCATCCCAACAGATGGCAATTCACTTCTTCTTTGGTGTTACGAATGTCCTTGGGCGATGTCGATTGATTATCAGATATCATATCAGGTGTCCCGCCTGCTCATTATATACAGGTGCAGACCTGCTATATAAAAGACTGTTATGTGCGCAGTGGCTGATCAACGAATTGTGGGTTCGGATCTGGCAATGCTTTGTGTGATGCACAAAGTATTGTTCCCACTAGAAAAAAATCCACTTCGTGAGTGCACAATATAAATATCCTTTCCGCTGCTCAGCTCGTACAGATCATAGCGTGATGTTTTATAGCCTTCCTTGATAAATGGACTAACAAACACAAAAAGAATTGTTCAATTCAAACCAGTAATAGTTCCAGAGATTAGCGCGTTCAAACAAACTCTTCACCTTTGTAATATAAGTAGGTATAGAAGTATCGATAAAAGGTAGGTATGTATGAGTACCTATACATTGTTATTGGTAACACTTTGTTTACAACTGACCTGTTCGCATTCGTGAGGAGTCTGTGGCACTGAAAGAAGCGGTGACAGGGGGCGACGGCTGGGCGTTTGCAGCCTGGCACACCGCGCTCTCGATGCAGTTGGCAGCGTTGAACAGCAGCCGACAGAGCTCGCACTCCGCCGCGGACGATGCTATCCGTTACGTCATAAAATCCATTTACTTACAATAAACCTACAACACAGCTTCAAAAATCGACTGTCACATACCTACACAAACCTAAATCGGCAATTCGACAATAAAACATACGCGAAATGATACATTGAAAAATGTCTTATTTTATTGAAAAATCGAAAGTAACGAGGTCACAAATTTTAAAATTCTTAAAAGAAATTTGAAATATTAAATACCTACCAATGTTGTTATTTTTTAATTGAATGAAAAGTATACGAGTATAAGTTGTTACTGAAAAGTAAACATTTTATTTTTGACGAGAAACTACCCAGTTGTAAAGTATCTAAGCACTAGTTAATCACTACAAAGTTCGTCATTTTGGTATGTCAGTGTTAAGCTTGTGCATGACAAACACCAGTAACGATAATGGGGGATGTCGGAGCTGGAGCAAGGCTCGTACATCGGAGGCAGCACCTGGGTCGAGGTGAGAACAGCCGGGCGAGGCGGGCGCTTCGGGGGCAGTCGGCGCGGGCTCTGGTACACGCTGGTGGTCCCCGCCCGCATTACTTCCGTGCACGTGCAGCTTTATATTGTTGCGTACCAGGTGCGGCTTGATCTCCTCAAACCACACGTCACACAACTGCAACCACAACAAACGTATCATCAAATTCCCCACTTGTATAAAAGGATTAAAAAATATCTTACTGAAATGATCCCAATCTGAATCTCAATGGCGAAACAATACAATATTTTTACAAGTATTTATTTAACTTGCAAAGCATTTAGTATGTGTTTGTGAAGTGGACTCTTGTGACAAAGTTTTCGGGCGCTCTTCAACCAAAACCATAAAAATGTTTCTAACGTGATTACCTAAGTACCTACTCCCGGATCTTATAATTATGGGACCAACTGTTATAAGCTTGTTAAAATGATTTAATTTAAATTTATTTATTTTCGGAACGCCGCCAAAGCTTATATCTATTTCTGCCTACCTATTTAATTTTAAAACTGTATTACATTTATTGACACACATTGCATTTGAGAGACACCTAGGCCCAGATTTGTTGACAATTGTCGGAAAAGATCAAGTATTGCTATATATTTTTCATTAGGCACTTACACTAACTAAAGCGTTCTCTAAGTCGTAGCGCACACTTTTGGGTATTTTATTTTTGCTCCTACTTCGTAAAGGCTGTGGGTTTGTGCGGACATTGCATGCAATGGAATCAGGGGACGACTTGGCGACGACGGGATGACGAGCTCGCGGCCCGTCTTCGCTGGCGACCACCTTACGTGTCCGAGGTACTGACATTTTTACGCGCGCAGCGTAGTCTTCACCATTGAAATAACAAAACGATGTGACTAAAGCACCAAAATCTACACTAATCCAATCCTTTGCCTAAAAATCATTAAAAATAAGATTACATGTATAAAATAAACGTCAAAACCTGCACTTTCAACTGTTCTGTCAAATACCTACATTTTATACCATAACAAAAAAACTAGGAGCATACCTTCATCGACAAGAAAGAGGTGCAACTTAAATTTATTAGTTGTAGGTACATGTGAAATATTAATATACTACATGGTAATAATTACAGCAACTTTAAGTAACTTGGACATCTTATTTGATCCAGATAGGTAGAAAATATAAATAAATTCCCACATTCAAAAAGACAATGAGTAAATCAACTTGGAAATGTATACTGAGTGCTGGATCGTCGAAAGTTTTTGGCTTAGGCTTGAAGATGTTAGAGATAAGCATTTTCAGAAACGTGGAGCAACCTGACACCGCGATCAACGAAGTATTGTTCTATGGCGCCGGGGACGAGAAACAGGTGAAACAAATAGCCCAGAGCAATCTGTATTGTATTCGCTTCATCATAGTGAATGCTAGTGCGACAGTAGATGTATGCGTGCCCAATCTCAGCAGCGAAACCCTCGCCAAGTGTCTGGTGACGCTCCATCAAAACAATAAAGTAAAAATTAGAATTGCGATACACAGCAGTGACGACGACGACTTGGAGAATCTGGAGTTGTTTGCGAAGAATGGTGTAGAAGTGAAGGTGCTGCGGCCGGAGGTGCGGCTGGAGCACGAGTTCGTGTTGGTGGACGCGCGCGTGGCGGGCGAGGCCGTGGCGGCGCTGGGCGCGCTCGACCTGGACCCCGCCGGCCTCGCCAGCGCCGCCACGCTGCTCACCTCCGAGGCCGCCGTGCTCACCGCGCTGCATCGGGAGTTCGAACGAGTCTGGGATTCCGACTCCGATATCACACGTCTGACCTGCGACTGATCATAATAACATTCAAGTCTTTCATGTGTTTATTGGTATTGTAATGTACGTAGTTGGTTTAGGAGTTGCTTATGCTGATTTTATTCAATGATTAATTTAATATATTGTAATTGTCGATTATAGAAATAAAAGATAGCAACTTAACAAAAAATACTTTTAATTTCATCGCTCGATGAGACAATAATAATTGCTTCTTTACATTATTTGACATTAATATTATAGTAAGAACTATAAAACGTTTGTACTCCAGTGCCGTTATTATTCTAAGGATCGATAGTACATAAATATATAAAACTTCTATTGTGACATTTGTAAATGAAGAAGGTGACAACAGTATCACAGTTTACTTTGTAGTCATATCATATTTATGGACAACTAATGGAAATATTTCATTATATTCACTTTGTTCTTAATTTTAATAGTCATTTTCATGTCTTTTTATTACAAGTACTATATGTATATCATTAAAGTCATATGTAAATTATAAAAAATATGTTGATTGCTAGTAAAACTGAAACAATAATACAACGACATTTACTGGAGGATTTAAATACGCAATGTTTATGTACTTGTGAATGGTAAAACGGTAATAACAAGTCGGTGACACACACATACAGGAAATAAGTATTTACAAACTATCCATAGTAACATTTCCTAAAGAAATCAGATTTAAAAGAAATCTTTGGGAAGACCATTATTTTAGGTTATCATACAACTTGGTGACTACTTGCAACATGTAACGATTCACACTTGACACAATTCCATTTACACAAATAAAATACATTCACATAAGATCAACATTATTTCAATGCATTCAGCCCATTCTGAGGCGATTCTACAAAATAATACAATATTTTAGATCATTTTTCTTAAATATAAATGTAGTAAAATATATTTTACAGAATCAAAAAAAGTAAAATGCTATCAAGCTAGACTGTAGAAGCTAGTCACACTAAGTATTCTTAATACAATCATACCATAGATGATAAAGTTTATCAGAGAATGTTAATACTAAAATTAACTATGTTGTCTATGTTCACAGAGTTAAACTAATTTGTCACATACTTAACATTAGACAATATACTTTGGATATTTAAGTACTCAATTAAGTATCTACTAAACCTATACACACAATGTCTAATATATTAAAATTCGATGGACCCAACAAATCATTCCAGTCATGTAAGATAAGGATTTTCCCAGCTGTAATTCAGGCAACCAATGTTGAAATTTGTTTCTCAGCATACAACGATTGAACATACGCCGGCGCCGTCCTAGAGCTTTGCCACAGTAAGAGTAAGAGCTAGTACCAGTGAGAAGCCCCGCGGAGTCCCGCGCGCGAGCAGACACACGCCTAGTCACTCGCGAGGGACAGCTCGTGTCATACGTCCACCTCGATGTCACTGTTCACGTCTTGCGACGCGGGCGACAGCGGCGACTGCTCCTGCTCGTCCAAGTCTTGCATGTCATCGATGTCATGCATCTCGTGCATGTCCTGCATCTCATGCATACTGTGCATGTCGTGCATATCGTGCATATCATGCATCTCCTGCATATCATTCATGTCATGCATATCACTCGGAGAGGCAAGTGTGTACTCGTGCGGCGAACTCAGTTCCTCCTCCCCCGAGCCTGCAAACTCTTCATCCATCATTATAGTAGCTGGTAGCGACGGAGACACTTCTTGTAACTGACTTGTGTACACTGTAAAAATAATAACGCGAGTTATTTAATGAACAAAATCGCAACAGAATCTCGCGCGGTTTTACCCGCTGCTCGTCTCCATTTGATCGTAGCGTGATGTTTTATAGCCTTTAGCACTCAGGAACATTGTAGCTATCTATCAGGGAAAGAATATTGGCAATTCAACCAGCAGTTCCAAAGATTACCCCCTATATACACACTTACAAATTTTACCTTTTTATAGAAAATACTTTGTTGATGGCTACATTACACATTACAATTACCTTTGATATTAGAAGATTTGAAATCAGCTGTATAATTGAGAGATTCCTCCATAGCCTCCATGGTCAGAGTGTCAGTATCTAAGCTGTCCAGAGATCCGGAACATGATGGTGAAGTGTCAGGATTTGTGTTGAGTGTTAACTGTATATTGTCTAACTGAGGTATATGTGGCCGAACCTGGAATCAACAATGATTTAAGAAATATTATATTACCTATTGTTTTATTTAGGGCTGATTTTTCAGTAGTCAGATAAATGTTATCTGTGGAATAAAATTGTTGCTGTCAGTGTCTTAAACAAACATTCCGATGTGACAGCATCATAATTATTCCCCAGGTAACTCTTATCTAACTGTTGAATAACTGCTTACTTAACTACTACTACTTTAATATAAATTAATGTTTTATTTAAAATAAACAAATAATTTTGTAGATAAATAAATTTATAACTTTCTATTTGTAAAAATTTATAAAATTATTTCACTGTTATCACAATTCAATATTACCTTCATTCCATCAGGTCTGTGAGGATTCCTACACCCCTTACACTTGCACTCTGTGCATGGTTTACTTTCCACATAACATGGACACCGCTGGCCGCAACATGTCAGTTTGCCCGGAGTGGCAGTAGCATTACCACATCTACAGCCTTTTCTCTTACTGCTAGCTGAACTACGAGACCTGTTTGAGGGTTTCTTAAAACCTAATTGGCTTGACTGAAACAATAAAAGTTATTATGAATTAACTCCCTGCTCAGTGTGTGTAAGTTATCTAGAAATTTCAGAAAGTCAAATAATTGTAGAAAGCTATTTAATAATTTCCTTACTTTACTTTCCCGACTTGACCCTGATTCGTGTGCATCTAACTCATCAACATTTTTCCTCTTAATAGTTATTTTATTTCCAGAGCCTGCATACATAACAGAGTATAATGGAGACCCGTTAGATGTTGATCTAGAGTTGGGTGAGCCTTTAGATGATCTGCTCTCCGAGTTGTGTGAACTTGATGCAGCATGGGTTTGTGTGCCTGCAGAGTTGGTGTATACACACGGCAGGATACTGTACGCCGACTTAGAGAGACCTGCTGTGCTTTTGTAGTCATCAGAAAAACCAGCACCTTCTTGTATTAAGTCAATTAACCCTGAACTGGCAACAGTGCCACCATTAACTCCTGCGGCTATTTCGTCTTCATCCAACAATGTCTTATACACGTCTGTACCCATAAAATACTCGCACAATTTCTTGTAACACTGCAGGAGTATACGTAATTGCAAGTTCTCACCATAACTTTCATAATCTTTACACCAACTACAAGAAGGTTTTAGCTTTTTTCGTCCACCTTTACATTTTTTGCAAACATGATGTTGGCAGCTGGCGCTTGTTGGCGTATAAGGTTCTTTTAATAAGTTACCACACACTGTACAAGATAAAGATTGTCGTAAATAAGGAACTAAACGAAATAAATCGGTCCACGACGACTTGTCTGCTGCGTCAGCTAAGATTATTAATCGACACGTAGAAACATATAAACTAGTGGCATTCATTGTTATTACAGAAAATGTAACAAGGAGAACATTTACTGATTTATAAATTAATTTGTTTACACCAAGGTGCTACACAACCAAAAAGCCGCAAATGTCTCGTCAAAACTGTCATTGTCAAATGTCAAACTTATATTTTTATTATAGAGTAGCCCATTGAAAGCCTATTAAATTATTTTAGTCGACTTTGATATTCGTCAACAATTTTCCTTCAATTAATTTGTAACCGCCATCCTTGGTTTCATCTGTAAAGATAAAAATAATATACATGAATTTAATGTGGAATTAGAAGCTACAATAATTTAAGAATGTATTTATCTGTCTGGAAAATAATTTTGTTATTTTTTTTTCTCAAAAGGCTAGTTCTCGAATATAAACTGTGATAGCAAACAAAGATGAAATAAACTTGTACACAAACCGAAACCCAGTTCAATATTATAATTATTTATTTGATTGCTATTACTTTTAAATGTATAATAAATTTTCTTCTTATATAAATATTTACTTCTGGTGGTTTTCACTTACGTCTAATGGAACGTTACGATCATTTTAACGGTTTATATCAGCTAGTACATCTAAAGGTAGCAGGTTATTTTTTAATTAATGCAATCTTAAATTCAAGCTCAATTATTACCTTTATTAAGTTAAACTTAATACCTTATTGCGTTCCAGTAGTAGGTACCTACATATAAGTCTTACAAGATATTGTCGAGATCACAATGGACCCTGTCCGGCACAGCACAGTTAGGAGAGAGGAAGAAAAAACAAGTAGCACTTATAGGTACATCCGTACATGATAGGTACATATCTACATAGATACATATCAGCACGCCTGTCTCCAATCGGGATTCTAACAAACCTCTTCCGTTTGTTCTAAATGAATTCATCAATTCCTTCATGCATCCTCGTTGATTGAAAGAAAAATAGCGTGATCAGACCGCTGGGTAGATCACTACATCTATTTTGCGAATGCAAATCTCCTAATAACGCAGAGCTGGGATTGTAGAGACCTGGTTTAAGTTATAAAACTTAAGCATCGTGGACTACCTCAAGTGAGTACGTAGTAGGTACCTCACGTGCTAAAATATAAGTGATGCATAAATAAGTAGTAGGTATCTGTAAGATCTTTTCTTCTTTCAAATCCTTAACGTACTTACCTATCTTTTTTTATTTTGGAATTAATATGTGTAGGTAGCCTACCTATGTCTCAGCTAAAATAGAACCTTCCTTGTTCCGACTGTTCTTCTATTTACCTATATCTATCACCTGTGTCTATCACAATGTCCGACAATGACAGAGCGCGGTTAGCGTGGTAGGTAGACAACAGGCTGCCGCGCAACGTGTGGCGAGTTCGATCTACAAATTGTTGTTCTGGGCCTGGGTGTGATGTAAATGAGACATTTTAGTGCTAGTAAAATGCTAGTGCTAGTGTGAGCCAAGGTTTAAGAAAAAATGGTAGGTAAGTATACGTTTGTAAGTAGGATAGGTGAACACGAACACGGATAGGTGTGGGGGTCCAATATTCAAAGTCTCGAGCACAGGCGCAGAGTAGCCAGCCTTGCGGTTTTCTACAGGATGCATTTTGGAGAGGGTGCCCAGGAATTGCACGATTTGATTCCGCCATCCCAATTTCACCTTCGGACATCTCGGCGTACGGCGAATATCCACCCCTACGTTGTTGAGACACCTGCGGCCCGGACTAAGCGTTTTGCCTCGTCATTTATACCGCGTGCATCGAGGGATTGGAACAGTTTGCCGGCTGCAATCTTTCCGTCCGAATACAATTTAGGTGTCTTCAAGGCTAGAGTGAATAGGCTCTTAATAAACTAGTGCGCCTTACCATCAACGATTGCATCACTGCTTAACATCAGGTGGGATCGCAGTCAAGCACTGGTTTATTGCAAGTAAAAAAAAAAACACTTAGCATAATTTATTAAGAACTAGTCGTCCGCCCTCGCTTCTCACGGATCCGACTATCTCGCTAACAACGAAAGGATCACTTTTCTAATATTTTCTTAGAATGGATCGCAAAATGTGTTGGTAAGCGCATAACTCGACAACGCCTGAACCAATTTTGCTAATTCTTTTTTGTCGTGTTCGTTATTGTCAGGCGAAGTAATCAGGAGAAGGTTCTTATCAAAGAAAATATCAAAAAAACTAGAGGGAAAGATTAGGAAAAAGAGACCCTTTCATAGCGAGATAGTTGAACCCGTGCGAAGCCGGGGCGGGCCACTAGTAAATAGATACAATAAAAAATTGGCAAAATTTTTCTTGTCCAGGCGTAGTTGAGTTAGGAAGCTATCAACACATTTTGCGTTAAATTTTTAAAAATATAAGTAGATAATGATTTTCTCTCGTGCATTATCTAAGAAGGCTCTAGGGCTCCACTACGGTTCCATAAGCTCCCTAGGACCAGGGAGCCACCCAGTTCGTCGGTATACGTTGGAGATGCGCAAGTCCAGGTTGGGCAATACATAAAGTATTTAGGCCTAATCTTGGATGGTCGGTGGGGCTTCGAAGAGCATTTCGAACGCCTGGTTCCTCGAGTCGAGAAGGCAGTGGGTGCTCTGCACAGACTGCTGCCTAACATTGGGGGACCTCGAGAAGAAGTTCGGCGCCTCTACGCGGGCGTCGTGCGGTCGATGGTCCTTTACGGGGCGCCTGTTTGGTCAGCTCGACTGTCAGGCGTTCGACGCTGTAGAGCGAAAATTTATCGTTTACAGCGGAAAATGGCCATCCGTATCGCACGGGGATACCGAACGGTATCCTTTGAGGCGGCAACTCTCCTGGCTCGCTTTCCGCCATTGGATATCCTGGCGGACATGGACGCGAAAGTCTACGACCAAATTCGCACTGTCCGCCGAAATGGCGGTAGAATGCCAGGAGTGGCGTTCGTTAGGCTGAGGCGGCAAGAGAGGCGACACGCGCTCGAGCGGTGGCGTGAGCGGCTAGAACAGCCGGAGCTCTCACGCAAGCGCGTTGTTGAAGCCATTCTGCCGCACTTCGAAGCCTGGCTGAAAAGAGAGGAGCGCGTCTCCTTCAGGCTTACTCAGGTGCTAACCGGACATGGATGCTTCGGGGAGTATCTGAACAGGATTGGGCGAGAGGCCACGGCAAATTGCCACCACTGCGGAGGTGACCTGGATTCCGCACAGCACACGCTCGAGGAGTGCCCAGCGTGGGCTTCTGAGCGGCGGGTCCTAGTCGCCAAGATCGGGCGAGACTTGTCTCTGCCAGCAGTAGTTAGGGCTATGCTGGCAGATGCAGAAAATTGGAGGGAAGTGGCTTCGTTTTGCGAGACTGTTATATCCCAAAAGGAGGCTGCTGAGCGGGATCGTGAGAGGGCCGATCCTGCTCGTAGAAGGCGTCGAGGAGGCAACCGCCTTGACGCCTAATACGCCGAATCCCGCCTGCATGAAATTCAGGCGGACCTTTGGGGTCACGGGTGCATAGAGGGGGGACTCTAGGTGCTCATTCAGTGGTCCCAGGGAAGACGGTGGTACAGTGGTCACGTACCGCCGTACACAGCGAGGCTCGTACTCGAGGGATGTGCCGTCACAGGCGTTTCATCGTGGGGGCTCCGGAGCAGGTCTCTTGTAGAGGACCCGGGGCCCCTTACAGGTGATGAGGGTGGCCACCGGGGTGGTTTTAGTGAGGTAAAAATCCCACACTCCCTAGCCTTTCTCCCCAAAAAGCTAGGCGCCTTTTGAAGGTTTCCCCCCGTAACCAAAAAAAAAAAAAAAAAGGGGCTCCACTACGAACGCTGCTCATAAATAAGAGTCCCGTTGTGACTTGAAATTAGTAGAACTTTTCTCAGTGAAATCATGCGAGATAGTGGCTCTCGATCTATAGGTAGGTACTTATAATAAATCTGTAGAGAGGTCAATTCTGTACCTACATGAAGTATATTTTCAAAATAGCTATCAGGGCGTGATTAGTGATCGATACTGATGCTAAAAATGCAATCTGTAAAAATTTTTTGTCCGTCTCTCTGTATGTTCCGTATAGAAATAAAAACTGGTCGACATATAAGTATTAAGGAAACTTAGTACAATTGTTGAGCAGGTTATGCTTCTAGTATACTTCTTTTCATCACGCTACAATTAATAGGAGCAGAGCAGTGAAGGGAAATGTTGGGAAAATGGGAGAAGTTGCTAATTTTTTTTAAGTTTCCGTCGCGTTTGCAGCTTTAATGGTCAAAGTTACATAGGAATCATGCATGACGGAAATGTTCTACATACAATTATCTAAGAAATAGTTCACAGCATAATTATGTCTATCTTTTATGGTTTACTGATAATAACACGTGTAACTCCTGATATTTATTTACTCTTATGTTTATAATACACTTATACATACAAATTCAATAAAAAAGAATGATAGAAATCAGTATAGAAACACCAAACTTATACATGAATTACGCTAAGAATGCGTGCACCTTCGCGACTCCATGCAGCAAGATAAAAAATGCTGTGGGTATGAGCTGTTTAGTTATTTTACAATCTCGGCGAAGCCGGAGCGGGTCGCTAGGTTATACAATAAACTTTGTGACTATGTTTCATGATAGTTACTTAAAAATTGCGATATGTTATTTTTCTTAATTGGTTGACTAACTCTCAAAATCTACACAAGGAATGAACTACTTAGGTACCTAGGTAAATCTTTTAAATTCCAAAATTCTGGAGATAGCAAACGAAGTTTCAAATTGTAGATATCTGGTTTACCAATTACCTACTTGCTTGATTGGACCAACCGACCAACCTACTTACTATTCGTCTTAGAATGCTTACCTATCCTCCACTCCTGGAAATAACAGACGTAGAACTGAACTTTTCTTACCAAAGTAGGTAACGAGGTAGTTACCTACTCCGAGAGACTCAATATTATGTATAAGTACTTAAAGCGTTTTATTTATGACCAAGATAACCATGCATTCTTCTGCTAATTAACAGCAAACTTCCCACAATATGCGAATAAGCGACGCGACGACCAAAGCGACCGTTCTTGATCTATTATCCAATTGAAAGCACTTAACAGTCAGTTTCTTGGCGAGCGAGGAGACACCAACTGAACAAGTGTTGGCCACGGTACAACTAAACAATCTGCATCTGCAGATAACTGTGTGTCATTTATTCGTCACCAATAATTAATTAACACATTTTTTGAATCCATTTAAATGTTTTGCCACTTATCTAATGAGCTCGTTATAAATTCATTACGAGACTTCTTATCATCATTTATTGGAGTTCATATCAAAACAAAGACGTCCATTTACTCGACAAACATAGAAACTATTACAGAATAAACATAATCGACGAACCAATCGTAGCATTTAGATACGAGTCATATCGCATCGTGGTAGCAACCTATCTGGGCCGAACGATCGCGGCCCGCGCCTTCATTGTCTCACAGCAGTGGTGAAACTAGATACAGGGTGCTTGGGCGCAGAAGGACGTGCTGATAACAGATTACAGCGTCACCAGTATCAGTTGATCCTCCGACGCGGCAGGAGCTCCTCACCGCCCGCCTCTGCTCTTGGCGACATCGCGACATCTGACTGACTGTGCCTGCGACTAAACTAATTGAATCAATTCAACGAATGTCTTCCGTCGCTGATTGCAGCTCCCTAGTAGTGCCCTCTCCGTGTCATATTAGTGCACCGCGAGATTGGACTCTATCCGCAGTGTTAGTGTTGTGAATAGTGCTGGTGATGTGATACTTCCACAGCGCCAATACCTGGACCTGGATATAGTGCAAATCTCTACTTAAGGCGCAATGAACAGGTAATTTGCTCAAATTCTCATATCAATCCAGGCTATTCACATTCTTATGATGATGATGACTACCTAGACTTTTATAACGCCTGCTCCATGTGAAGCACACACCTACATAAGCCTATTAACGTTTTAGGTCGATAGCAGTAACAGATATTAAGTATATGGATATCGTTGAAATAATTTCATTGTTTTTCATTTATATTGTGCTAATCCTGAGTGGATGTGTCTGGTCGTATGTCACCGAACACACACAGTTGTAGGTTTTCTGCTGGTGATCTAAGGTCTAGAAATGCATTAGGTATCTACCAGATAGTCGACAATAATTTAAATAAAATATATTAAAGGTAGACATTCCACATGTGATTATTTCTTCTAAATTAGTTTATCAGTTAGTATGATAGCACATTATCATTGGTAATTACCTCGTTCACGAATTTATGATTGTGAAATCATATGATTGCATTCAACTTCCCATTGTATCTATTATTTACTTATTGAGAACCAACAAAACCAACTTTATTATTGATACGGAGTTTTATACCTAACCGAAATACATAATAGGCATAAGGGAAACATTTGGGATTTTTATTTAAAGCCCTAGGCTGTATAGTACAACACAGTTTTTTAAAAAAAACAATAACCTTCTCAGGTTCAGTACCCACAACGCAAGTTTTTATACATATTACTGATTACTATGTTCAAACTTCGGAAAACTTAAATAGCTGTCTACTGTGCATTAGGTACTTACGGTACTTACTGTAAGTACTATTTACTTTTTCTATGAAGACTGTGATTGACACGTAGGTTATAGGTACTCGGTTCCATTTGATCCAAGCAAGTAAATGATGAAAGGGCACTTTCTTAATTTGTTAAACACAAGAAATCTTCTGAACAAAATTAACAGCGAGTTTAGTTTGGTCTATGATCTATCGGTTTGGGTGGAAACTAACGGTACCCATACAATCTCGGTATGTCTTTTTATATTAAAGAGGTCGTATAAAATTCATATAATGATTATTGAAATTTAGTTAATTATTAGTAATATCTATCGAATAAGGTAGATACCTGATTGTAAACATTTCTTTAATTGAATTTAAACAAATATCCATTAGAAACTAGCCTAAATACTTGATACTCCGTGATTATTTAGGAATTAGTGGTTTCATGAAAATGTGAATATTACACACGTCCATGTTCCGGCTGACTCATCAAACAAAATACGTTTGTCGCGTAGATCTTATCAACATAACATTTATTTCGTAAAGTCGTCACGTCTAAAGATTAGGAGTTAGTTAGTCAGTGTGTTTATAGCTAAATTAAATACCTGAAAACATGTTTTGTAACTCAAAGTGGGGACATTTGTATGAAATTACTCTTAAGAATGTTATTTAAACATATATTTTAACATGTAGATAAGCTGCAACCTTTGTCACGTGGTTGCACGAATTGGTTTCGATTTCTGAGATTTTCTATTTTCTTTCAGCAATAGCAAAGAGTTTGGTATGTCGCTGATGCGATATTATTATAGACACCAACTTATACACAGCCAACGTATACACTAGATAAATACTAAATAGTGCCAAGATGAATGACAGAAGAACCACATGATCGTGCGAATCAACATACCTAACTGCTAAAGGGTGGATGTAGTAAATTGTACCTCTGAATAACCTTTTGGAGATTAAAAGGTATCTTTCATCATCATCAGCCTATAGCCCACTGCTGAGCAAAGACCTCTTCTGACACGGAGAAGGTTTGAGCATTTATCACCACGCTTGCTCAAGGCGGATTGGCGATTAGATATAAACTTATATTAGAAATTATAAGTCCAAAAAAAGGTCCTCACGATGTTTTTCCTTCACCGTATGTCAGTGGTGACTAAATAATCATAGAAAGTAAGAACATATAACTTGAAAATGGTCACATTGGTACTTGCCAGGTTTCGAATCCGCACCCATGAGAAGCGAGCGCCTTAACCTTCGGACCACCACGACCTGTGATAATTTTCCGAATCGAAATGTGAAATGATGTCATGCATGGGAACGCCATATTCTCCGTTCCCACTCCCTTTACATTGATGTTTATGACATTTATAGAATTTCGCTGTATTATTGCATTTTAGTTTAAGATAACCATATAAATAAGCCATAAACAATAATAAAAACATATTTAATGTTGAATACTTAACAACATTCGTGCCTTAATTATGGAATTGTTTACAAGAAGGACCCTCGGCACGTATGACTAAGCAATGAATCTGATAATGGTTCATTTGAATCAATATTTTCTGGAACAACAGCGACAGGGCAGGGGCGTGGATTGTGCGGAGTGTGGACGCATCATAAAGATCAATCAGACAATTGGGGCCGCCACGCTTGTTGCGCAGGAGTGTCTCTCAATAGCTTCCGTTGAATGAACCTATCGGTGAACGCTCAACTCAATCACCTGGAGCTACAAAATGTATATCCATTGTAATTTGGTCACATACATTATTATAGGTAACTTAGAATGTTAGTGACTACAATTTTGCAAGTAATCGTGTACCTACCTACCTACTTAGTAATATTTTGAGATCATTATCTGTTTAATTATTGTTAGTGTACTTACTATTGTTGGTACTTACATGTCATTTAAACTAATTTACTTTATCTAGCTGCAAAGTTCGTTTAATGGACTACGTTGACAATACCGAGACGTTACTTTAAGTCTAAGTATTTAATTATTATACTTCTTGTTATCTGAATATCGTCGTTATAAATTACCTACAGTTTTCACGAGGTAAAATTTTCAATAAATGTTGGTATAATCGGTCTAGAAATTCCGACCTTATGCGTAAAAATGTATTGTAGTTCTTGGAATACAGTGTTCTGTCTCAATGAATCATTTTGTTCTTCAATTCTCCGTCTCAAGTCCCGAGAGCGGGAGAGTCCAAGTCAACAGTTAAAAGGAATTAATTTGACCTCTCCGCAATTAAGATAGTTGACAGAGACCCCGGGATAACCACTGGATATTGCGATATATATATCGTCATTCGCCATATGTATGTACTTACTAGGTAGTACATGTCTTATAACTTGTCTGTTGTTTTTAAATAGTAAAATACCTACTAAAACAAATGTTGATACTGATATGGTCATCCTACTACCTTTCTGTCGATACAAATAGGTAGATCTGTACCTAATAGGAATAGGTAAGATAGCTGAACTTCGTAGCTACGAACGCTACGAAACTAAGTTCATACTTTTCGTGAAAAAGGAAGTCATGATCTGGACTACAATTATTTAATACTAGCAACTCTCGCGCGGCTTTCATTCGCTGCTCAGCTCCCTTGGATCGTACCAAGGTGTTTATAGCCTGTAGCACTCGGGAAGATTGTAGTGTAATGAATTTTGGAAATCTGACCAGAAAGATTATCCCCTACGTACACAATTAGGTATACTAATTTTACCTCGTTATAGTACCTATTAGTAAGTACTTAGATGCTTTTAAACAAGCAATAATCAAAAGTTGTTTGCTTCATGTAAACGAGTAATTATTATGTGTCTTTTATAAATCCACAGGATCTCGTTAACGACTCTAATGATTTCGATGTAGTTTTGTATGTAAAGTGTTTCGGGGACGGAAAATCAATATAGTCTAAGGTTTTTTTTTTCAGTAAAAAATACCGAACTAAGCTTATGTACTGAACCTGACTTCGCACAATTGAAACCAAAAAGAAATACTAATCAAAATAATGCTGCGTAAAGATAAATAGGACAAAAGAAAAATCATCCTATCCATCAAATGTAGTCGAATACCTACTAGGTATTACTTTTGTAACATCATCAGATCGTTTTCTCACAATTGTAATTAAGTATCACTCCTGAGTTTAAGACAGAATAAGATTTGAATAAAGATTTACCTACCTCACAATCTTAAAGTAAAAAATTGTTTCAAAAAAAATATAGTGCTTGTTTTCCTTACATTTACATTTGGCATGACAATACTAAGCTAGATAACTAGAAAAGTACCTAATCAATGAGTCAGCGATGCAGTTAGGTGATATGAGAATTAGAACGAAATAATTCGAAAGGGCAGGTTTATTATTGCTACTATCTACAAATCAACTGATAAAATATAGTTCACGTTCATGTATCTTTTAAATTCTTCACCTTGGAAGTTTTATCTTGAGGCGAGCAAAATTATAAGTAAGTAAAATACTCACTTATCTATCTCTTTAGACTGCTATCATGAATTACCTACACCGACCATAGTGTTGTGACGAAAAATCTCCATTGCGTATTTAGGGCATGGCCAATTATATTGTTTGATAGATTAAAAATCAGGTCATGACTGTATACAGTTGCACTCTTCTTCTTCTAGGTATCAGTGCAACGTTGTTTGTACAAAAGTGATTAACGAGTCGTAAGTTTTATCAAATTAACGCTTCAATTACATAGAAACAGTTATGAGTAAACATGGCAGTAACGGTTACGTGATTGTGGTCTTGTGATTCTATTTTCTGATCATGTGTTGGCGCTTTGTTAGTGTGAGCCATCCGACCCCGATCGTGAGATATTTCATGTATCGTAGTAGGTAGGAAGTAAGTAGCAATTTGCCGAACAACGACAACAAAAGCCCCTGTGACCGCGACCGGCCTCCGGGCTGACAGTAGCGACAGTAGCTCCACTGGCCGTCCACACATCACGAGTTCTCGACTGTCCACGAGGATGCCATTCATTACGCACTGCACCGCGCCATTATTGCATTACTTTAAACCATCTAATTTCATATTATTTAGCTCCCATTATTTTCATTATCTCCGCTAACATTAAGTAAGAATAGGTAACCAAGTTGTTTTACAATGTCACCATATGACGTCAACAAATTACAGGTGTGTAGGGCAGAACGCAGTAAAAACTACTTTTTTCAGGAAACAGTTTCCGTGTTTATCATTCGCACACAGTCATTGTAATATGTGTAATCAAATGAGTAATTTAAGGTATTTACTCGGTAGTAGATAGGTCCAATCAACACATTTCTGGAATAGAGGAAGTATTAATCTTTAGACATAAACGAAAGTTAAATCAATACGATTTAAGGAAATATTTTGTTATGAAAAATAGCATCACCATAACGCAATGATCTCTCGAAATAAATTCCGAAAAACCATGTAGGTATCTAATGTGTAGGTATGCACAGTGTAAACTTATTCTATCCCTAGGTATATATAAATATTAGATAGAATAAGAATACCATATTTCATCTACATAGAAAATCTTTAAACTATGATACATTTTATTTCATAGAAGAAGCATATTATGACAGCAAAGAATAGCGACCTCTTAAGGTCAACGAAAGAAAGATAAAAAGGACTCGATGCTAAACATTTTGCAAATACAATAGCAATGAACCTGGTTGTGGCTGTAATGATGTTAATCAATCACTACATAGTAAAACAACAAAGTGGCTTTCTATGTCCCAATATCCTTAAGTACGATATATGCTTAAATCTTTAAAACTACGGAACGGATTTTATTGCGGTTTTACTAGACAGAGTGATTGAAGTGGAAGGTTTAAATAATGTCCAATAACAAATATTAAATAGTGGAGAAATGGGGCGGGTTGTAGTAGTATTATAAATTAGGAAATTTAATTTCAAACTACATAGAAGATATGTATGGTGCATGTTTAAGACACAATGTCTAATTGCGTGCCAAGCTACGCTGGTAATATCGTCAACAGGTGGCGCTGTACAAGACTCATGTTTCCAGGACAAAGACCCAGAAACTCGAATCTTGACCGAGACATGAGACCTTAATTGCTATTACAATTTGCGCCCACGATAATAATAATTGTGTCCGTTGGTTGTCTACTATAGGTGTCATGTTAATAGATAGAAGACAATAGCTAAGTATGTCTTCAGATTTATCGAATAATGTTAGATCAAGAACAGAAATAAATCTTGATACACTTTCCTACACGGTACACCTCAATCAATGCCATCTCTATTGTAAAGAAGAAAAGAATCATAATCTTTTACGAACAAATAGAAAAAACATAACATGGCCGATATAGTTAGTGTCTCACTTCTGTAGCGCAGTGCTCAAAAAGGTCATTGCTATCTGAATGTTTGAGTAAAAATTATGTTACCTTTGACTTCCGTGAGTCTCAAGTAGTTTTCTGTAAGGTGGTTTCGGGTAATGTGCATACTTATAATGTTTGAACTTAAACCGAGTAGGGTAGGTTGGGTTGGTATCTACGCGTTTTGTGACACGCAATAATGCACGTGCGTATCAATTTGATTCTGCATTAGGTATCAACATCCTCCTACTTGTTAACCATATTTCTATTCCAGTTTACTTATTTAGTACCCACATACATTAATGAACTTTCTGTTATTTAATAACAAATCTTCGGGGGTTCTTTCGTCTATACCGACTTTATTTGCCTAGGTATCTCCTTAAATTGCAGAATTCTCTATTTTCAGTCTTCATTCGTTTATTGGCTTGTATTTGCATGATCGCTACATCCAAACTGTATTATAAGATCAAGACAAGATCCAGTTTATTATCTCCAGCTGTTCACAAATAGATTATCTGACTAACTTAAAAGAAATTGAAAGTGAAATGAAATATTGAAAAGTTCAAACCCAATTTTCGCAGTTCATCATTTTGAACGGCCTGCCTTCAAAATATGCGGTAATACGTCCCGTTTAACATGCACAAAGCACTTATAATTAATGCTTTATAACTACGTTATCAGTACTGCTATCTATGTCGTTTTATCATACTATGTATAAGATATATTAGTAGGTAGGTTGGTACAGTTTTCGTAACGTAATTCCTGTTTGGAAAACTAAAACGCGGTCACTCATTTCATCAGCCATATTATTCTACAAACAAAATGTATCGGATACAATGAACGATTTATTTAATAATTCCTTATTAAAACCTAATTTTAAAATGGATGTACCTAGGTATTGTTTAAGAATAAGCGTATCAATTACTTTTATTCAGCAATGGAGACGATCCGTTACATAACATTAATTTTACTGTGGGCACGTCTGTCATCGCTTCAATCGTTTTGAAGGCCCACCCACCTAGCATATACAATATATTTGGAATAAGTCCAATAAAGGAACCTCCCAAGGCGAGGCAAGGCTAGGATTATTCAAAAGCGCATAATCAAACGATTCCAAACATTGCCTAGCCGAGTCATGGAGCTACATAAATTATGCAGGTATCCAGCTGACTAAGTACCTTTATTTCTCCAACTATTTTTCAGTAAGTACTCACAAAAACCAAACAGTTCAATGAACTAATAAATACAGATTTCTTAAAAATACACTTGCGCTACTTATCTTATTGCCTACTTATCATAAAAAATGTATCAATACGAGATATTGTATCAGTCTGAATAGGCACCCACCTACTTATTGAAGAAAACGGAATGAACAATAGGAATTCATTTCCTTATTTTAAATAATGTTTTAACCTCATTTTACAACGGTCCAGCGAAAATGACTTCAAAATAAATGACTGTTTCAGTGTTTCAATTGTTTATCCTACGCAAGATTTCCGCTTCGCATATAAACCTATTAATATGAGATATATTCATTTTTTCGTTCATAAATCCTGTAGCCCCATTTCTTCTCTTGCTTCTAGCATGCCAACGTTTTTTTAAGGGAAGAAAATGATCAAATTATTTTTCTGGCCTGTAGGGCCAGAGGGAGTGTCAAACTCTTACTAACTAAATTCCACTCCGTTCCATCTCATGCATTGGGCCGGGGCCGCGGTAGGTATATTATTGCGTTTAATCCGTAACCCGGCCCTTTTGTGCCTACTTAGGTAAACTTACGTCACTTCCAATAACAAAAATAGAACACCATGAAAGCATTGCTTAGAACAGTTTACAAACTCATAAGATGCAGCACAGCCGACTGAGGTCAACACAACTGATAACCCGTACCGAGAAAATATAAGCATCTACCTTCATTTTGACCCTAGCGACCCAAAGATACAAACAGCGTATCTGTACCGCACAACGCGAGACGATGCGCTTGCGCTGATATGCAGACTCGTTTATTATTGCTTGAAATACATCCTCATATAGGTATTTTACGTATTTACATAATATGATTATTGTGCTTCCGTTTAAAAAGATTGCCACATAGTATAGCTTAACAAACAATTGGAAATAATTTAAAAAAAGGAAAATTCATTGACGATCTATAATTATATCAGCGGATTATGCTATTAACTGAGGCAAGCTTGTAAGTCCTAAAGACGCATACCTCGTATCAGTGAATAGGCGTGGTGGCAAAAATTCTCGCGTGACGGGACTAGGTAAAATTTGCTCGGAATAATAAATACACCAACATACATTTGTTTTTTTTTCTAGAGAAGATGCTTACTATCTACATGCCTGCCTTACTATTGTGAAAATAATATACCTTCTATGATACCAGGCAGGGTCGTAAAAGTAGATACCTACACCTAGCCACGTTTTGGTTAATTTGGAAAATATTGTGCATTTAGTGGCTTACGTACCTACATATATCCTTGGAAATTAAGCAAGACTGAAATAAGTCTCCGAAGCCTCCTAATTTATGTATATAATTTTCTTCACAAATCAGATACTCAGTTTTATTGATTTAATTGATGATTCACTTTTGTGAGTTACTGATAAAATAAAGATAAATAAATACAATTGATGTCAATAACTTGTGAGACTTCTTTGTTCTACTATAGTTGAAATACTAGCCTGCGTGTACGTACCCAGGTATCTAGATGTAGGTACCTACATAAGTACTTAGGCCTAGGTACTACATGTGTAACGAAATGAAAATGTACTAACTGGTGGACCAGACTGTCTACAAAATTTATTTATAATTTTTAATACTTACGAGTAGATACCTATAATAGTATACTTAATTTTCTACCCCTATTGAAGCTCGAGGCTCTCCCTACCGCCATGAGTGAGGCGCGAGGCTGTCAGAATGCTACCTTATGCTGATAAAAAACCACTCCTGCCTTTTGCCACGACTACCTGACTTTTCCTACCAGATGTACCGGAAGAGCTTTTCAACTATTATTTTAACACCCATATTACTGCTAGGAAGTAATAAACACTTAAAATTTATAAACGGGAATGAAATTCCGAATTTTACAATGTAGGTAAGTAATTGTAGCCTTTTATTAAATTGATTCTTTTCTTATATTTCAGAATATTTGAGAGACTGTTTCTGGCGGTTCTGCTGTGTGTGTATAACACACAGGGCAAGGAGATGACGGAGATTGAGGCGTTGGGCGCGCAGCCCACACACTGCACCTACGAATACGCGTTCGAAATGTACGGTGCGCACTGCGCGAGCCGGCGCCTCAGCAAGATACCCAAACTGAGGAGTGGAATTGAGGTGAGTCTCTTAACCCTAGGATACTAGAATCTGTTTTTTATTCTTAGCTAAACCCTTATCCCCAAAAGTTCGACACTCCTCAGTCCTCTGTTGTTGCGGGTGTCCAAGGGCGGCGCTGATTGCTTGCCATCAGGTTAACCAGATGCTCGTTAGCCGATCTAACACATAAAAATGTATTTATTCTATGTATAAGCAAAACAGTTACCTATGCAGTTCCAACAAAACTTTGAAAATCAAGTTCAATCAGTTAATTTGTATCTACTTTAATCACTTTCCAGATCCTGGACTTCAGCGACAACAAGCTGCAGGAGCTCAATGCCGACACGTTGTCTAGTTACACGAGCATCAAGTTCCTGTACCTCGCAGACAACCACATTTACCTCATAGAAGAGGACGCGCTCACGTCCCTGACAGACCTGCAGACGTTGGATCTCACCAACAACGTCATACTAGAATTGCCCAACTCAATATTCCAACTACCGTCCCTAAGAAAACTGTACCTGAGAGCCAATCCAATTTTCTACAAAACTTTGAACGCCCTCACAATAGTGAAGCCGATTAAAGCGCCTCTGGAACTCTTGGACATATCAGACTGTAAGATAAAGGAACTGCCAGATTGGGGCTACCTGCCGCAGCTCGTGTTCTACAACATCTCACACAATCCACTCGCTTCTCTCAACACGCACCACTTCGCTTCCATGTGCAATCTTGTGAAGGTTGATCTGACCGAATCCTTAAACAGCTTAAAGCTGTGCGGCGTCAGATCTACAATTCTTTGGTTTCAACAGAAAAGAGTGTTTTTCCAGTTGGAAGATTACTCTAGACTCAATACTAGAGGTTGGTTTTAAAACAAAAGATTTTTCTTGTTATATATTGTGTTTAATAGGGTACTTACACGCATTTTCACAATTACAGAGTTCGAAAACTGTCCGGTACCAGAAGACGACGGATCTCACAACGCCACCTTCCATCGATGTAAAGCAGAATATTTGCAGGTTTGGACAAACTTATTTATATTTTCCCACACCTACACGTAGGTGTCTATGTACCTACATAATAATGTAGGTATTGACATGGTTCTTCAGATGAATGAAATGATATTTCTTAGGTAGGTAGGTTACTTATAAATTACAAAAATCTAAATTAAATATGATATTTCAGGTGCAAAGTATAAGAACGTCGCGTCGCACGTGGCTGACAATAGGTGGGGGGCTGGCGGGCTTCCTCGTCGGCTTCATTCTGCTGCTGTACGTGATGCACCGGCACAACGTGGCACAGACCAAGACCAAGGCCGAGAAGATCAAGCACGCCACTCCGGCTGACGCCGACAAAAATGCCAATGCAGTCCTCCTTAGCGACGTGGCGTAGTTACAAACAGCGTCACCTATTTATATTCTTGCCTATAACGTGCCTGATAATACGGCAATCATTTCAATGCCTAGTACGCAATTCGTAAGACAGGCGTACAGAAGTTGCTAAGCTTGATAACAAAAGTGAAATGTCGAGATACGTCCGCCATGATTGCGATTGACGATTGTAATACGTCCAATCGGCTATTTATAAATGGTGAACATTCAGGGTATTTATCGAACCAAAGAATATTTGGCAATATTTTAAAATAACACTTTACGTATTTAAGTGGTTTGAATGTATATTGTGCTTGTGCTTTGTCTGTTTGATGCGGTGCTTTAGCGACAAACCTACATATTGTCTAACATTAAAATACATTTGTTTATTTAATTCAGCACTAGCTTAGCCTTACTGAGGAATATCTAATATTCATATGATTAGTGACAGCACGCCCATGGGCCTAACAATGATGATTTATGGAAATGCTAGATGATAGGTATATCTTATGTATGAAAACTAATGAATAAGTTAAGAAGGTGTTATAGTGGTCAAATAAACTCTCATCGTGTATGCTTCAAGTCGGTAAATTTAAATGTGAAAAACTGAAGAACTTCAAAGCTACGAAAGGCTGACTAGTTATATTATTGTGCCGTTCGAATCATCTAGAGGGTTTTTATGCAGTTATATTGTCAAATGTGGAGTGTTATGGTGATATGTTTGAGTGTATAGGTACTTTAAAATATGTGGGTAGGCAAGCATGATATTTTTTTATTTGGGTATAAGAATCTTGTTACCAAGAAGTTAAAAAAGTTAGCCACGTATATCTATATCTTAGGTAGTTCAAACAATGCTTCAAAATTTTTATTAACTTATTGTCATCCACACCACATCTGCGTCATGTTTTTGCAGGTAATGGGGAACAAAACGTATCTCTGGACGTGTGGGGCTAGATATTTAGTAGCAATATGTATAAATAGCTGGTACATTCTTTACCCCGAGATATGAAACCAGTATAAATTGACTGCAGATGGCACTGAAAGATCATACACAACAAGACTAAGATAAACTGGATTTTATGTAGCTTGGTGTAGCTACATAAAATCCAGTTGTAGCTGTGAGCAATGTAATAGTATCGGCTTTGTATGTTCGTGTGTTCATATGTCAATGATCAAATCTGTGTCTAGTACATTTACAATTTGTTCTCGAAACATTATTTACAATTACGGAATTTATGATGATGTGAGGGTATTTGTATAAAGTGTATCTGATGAGTAGGTGTTCAACTATTACATGGAATGAAATTATTAAATTCAGATCTTATAAAAGCAAATGTAAGCAACTAGACATTATTTGTAATAACACACCCATCGAACAAGTCCATAACGTTAAGTTTTTAGGTATTACAGTAGATGAACATCTTACATGGAAAGATCATATCGATACCGTATGCAACAAAATTAATAAATCTGTCTTTGCTATAAAAAGAATTAAAGACTCTTGTTCAAGACACACATCGTTAATGGTTTACCATGCCTATGTATGCTCCGTTATACGATATGGGATTGTGGTTTGGGGATATACATCAGATTTAGCACGGGTATTTATTGCGCAGAAGAAATGTGTTCGTGCAATTTTTAATGTCAAATGGTCGGACTCTTGTAGACCTATTTTCACATCAGAAAAAATATTAACTGTCCCTAACATTTATATTTATGAAGTGGCTAAATTTGTAAAGTCCAATATTAAATTATTTAAAAATAAAAACAATACAAACAAGCGCAAAGTCACTCATTCGTATTTAAAAATGCCTGCTCCGCGACTTGAGATGTGTAGACGAAGTTGTGTGTACATGGCGCCTTTAATTTATAACTCACTGCCTCAGAACATAGTCGATCTGCCCTATCAGAAGTTCTGCAAGACTCTAAAAAATTGGTTGATAGAAGAATGTTTTTATTCGTTTGATGAGTTCCTAAAAAAGTATTCTTCTCAGTCTTACCATTTTAGGAATGCATTGTAATTGTTATTTACCTACCTGTATTTTACTTTTGTGTTTCTGTATTTTACTGTAAGATGTCGAACGTTTTGTACCAATGTATTGTAATGATGTAAAACAATAATGTGCATTTTACTTGAACATTTGCATGCTGTTTTATAACTGCGGAATGTGTCTAGCTCTAAAACATATATTAAACCAACTCTTGTACCACATTTTATGCAAATAAATATATTATTATTATGTATGTCTTTACCAATCACGGGGCCACAGGGTCCCGGTCATTTGGAAGGCGTACGAGGGGCCGGAGCCAACTGCGCAGAGGCCCTTTAGACAACTTTAATCTAAATGAAATGGGACACAAACCGGCGACTATCCCTGTATGCATTATGGGAATGCACCCAAGGACAGTCCCCGGTTAGTGTAGGACTATTGCAGATAATGGGAACAAAATACAAGGCTATGGGTGTGGGTTGCTATGGGCTAGTAGGATAGGAACTATGAAAGATTGGATATATCTCGGCCAACTTATAAAGCTAAACAATTAACGACGTTGCGGGTCGCAGTTCCCGCCACAACCTAACCTACCATTCTCGTAGCAATTCAGTTTTCATGACAATCCCTTCAATTTTCAACATTTCAATAACAGCTGGAATGAGAACTTCAGCTATTCAATCAGTTCATGCCGTTGATTGAATAGTGGTAAAACGGGGTGAATAGAATTCGAGGGGTGAATAGACACAGAAGAGGGTTGAATAGATACTAGGAAAATTCGCCAACATTCACCCCTAGAATTTTATTGATTCCGTTTTACGGTAGCTAATTTAGCTAGGTGGCTATGACTCTGTGACGGATCTATGAGTAAGATGTTTAGATATGTATTATGTATTGTATTGTATGTATTGTTTAGAAATCCACAAAAAATATTAGTGTGTCTGTGTGTGTTGGTCGGTCTGAGTAACATGTACACTTGCATGGTAATACCACACCACACCTATTTAGAAGAATGTTTTAATCTTATATATATATATATATATATTGTGCCTACAATATGTTATAAGAGGAAAACACACTAAGTAATACTCAAATAAAATGGTAAAAACATATTATGGAACTCTATGGTCATTACATTACCAGACTATAAAATAATATTTATTTCCATGAACTACCTACGGTAAAACGGGGTGAATAGAATTCGAGGGCTAAATAGACACGGAAGAGGGGTGAATAGATACTAGGAAAATTCGCCAACTTCTATTCACCCCTCAAATTCTATTCACCCCGTTTTACATACCTTCAGTTATGTATATGAAAAAGTTGTACTTGTCTTACAGGTTACTATTATTACCAAAGATTTCACTGTTAGTATATTACACTGTAATATAATTTGGTATTTTTGTAAGCAATTATTAAATTGTCTATTTGTAAACTGTAAGTAAAAATTCACTGTGATAAGTATTAAAATTGTTACTAATAACCGTATTGTTTATTTACTGCAAAATAAAATAAAATCCAGATACCCCTTTTCAAAAATTAATTATATTTAAATGAAATTAACAAACTGAGTTAAATCGTCACAAGCTAAAAATATGTTGCATTAAATGCTATGTTGATTTTTTTGTAATGTTAAAACATCTCCAACTCAATCGAAATGAATGTAAACTAAACAAATCAATAAAAACAACAGCTGAGTAAACACGAACAGTGGTTCCTTCAGTTGGCACGTTCAAGTGTCCTCATCTACTGAGTCTGCCAGGACATGTATTGAATGCCAGCTTCAGGGTAATTCCGTTGAATGTTGTCCAAGTTAAGAGTAGCGTCATATTGACTTCAGGTGTCTTTCTTCTCACTATCGTTTATACTTTTGGCCGGCGGCGGTGCGTCCTTCTCCTTGGCCAGGCGCTGCTTGCTGAACTTCCCCATGCCCGGCTGGTAGATTACGAGGCTTGGACGATCCTGGAAACAATGGCACATACATATTACAATTCTTAGATTGAAGCGGTAGTTCATTTTTGAAAGAGTAATTTTACCTAATAAAACTTATTACCTTGTTCCTAATTCTCCTTTCTGTGCGACGATCACCACTCTCACTCTTCTCTTTCTCCTCCGAACCCTCCCTGTCAGTGGATTTACTTCTGTCGTCCAGAGAGTTTTGCCTTTTCAATACCATATCATCCTTGACAGGCATTTCTCCAGACTCCAAACTATTTCTCCTCATTTTTGATACACCTACAGATAAGCTCTTAGAGGTTGAATCATCGTTGGAGTCCTTACTACTATCGCTGAGCTTAACTTTCTTGTCCATCCCCTCAATGATCTTAGTCAAATCGTCAGTTTTTACTTGCGGCAGTTGTGTGAATGGTTTGATGTCGTCATGATTGATAGACTTAACTTTACTGTCAGAAGACATGATTTTGTTGATAGCTGATTGTTTGTCTGATTTCCCAACTTCAGTTTGTTTTATTCTCTCCTTCCTAGTGTCACTATACTTTTTACTCTTCACCTCGCGGGGTGACTCCTTGTTAAATTTTGTGTTCTCCCGTTTATCTTTCTTGTATCCAGCATCGTCGTCGTCAACTTGATCGTCGTCCCTAGCTGCATCTCTTTTATCAGAATCAAGTTTTTTCTTCTTGTCGCTTAAAACATTAACACCAGCCTTGCGGTCTCTATACGATTTAGATTCAAATACAGATCCATCTTTCCCATCTGACTTAACCTGGTCGTCTCTAGCATCACTTGCTTTATCTTTTTCCCATTCCCTGGATTTGATCTTTTTAACTTCACCTTCTGCAGTCTCTTCCTCCTAAAATTCATTCAATCATTTTAATTTTATTGTTTTTATTTGGCAAAGGAGATTACACTATTATAAGTTTAGCTTATTTGACATTACATACTTTAATTAGTTACATTCGAGCATTTTTACAAAGTTACTTCTTTACAAGTGTCAGATTTGAAAACTAGACACAAGTATAAAACTATGACTACACCACAATGATATCATTTTTAGGTGTGCAATAATGTGTGATTTGTGAGAGGTAAACTTATGACGATACAAACTACAACCAACCTAATTTGTACTGAGATAAAACTGAAATCTATACAACAAACTACGAGAAATTTGTGTTGTTATAATACTGAGAACCTTGAGGCAAGTGTCGCCACCACTTTTCTGGCTACCTTCTTGTGTTTCTTTCTTATCACAGAATTTACCAGAGGTTAGTGTGAAAGTATTGTGGGTCTTGGCAGACAGGGCGGGGAAATGACTGTCCCAGTCGGAGTCAGTACTGATAAACTCATCAGAACCATGAATACTCTTTAGTTCCGACTTGGAAACTGAATACTTCACTTTGCTTTTATGGTATATTCTTTGCTCGCCATACCAGAAACTGTGATTGTTATATTTGTTGTCATAGTAATCTATGTTGTCATTGAAGTTTTCGTCTTCTGATATATCCCCAGGTCTCTAAGGACAGGATAGAGGAAACAAAGGATAAAGGAAGAGATTATGACAAAACAATGATTGGGAACAGACAAGGAATGATTGGGTTTGTTGTTAAGCTTAGTACAAGTAAAAATGGTTTATTATCAGCTGTTGTGCGTCAATGAGGTAGTTTCCTAGGTCAATAATAAATTATTTTGACTTTTCAGTAAAATTAATTATTTAACATAATATGTTCATTAACTCATTTGGCGATATCAATAATTTAAGATATTTTCTAGCTTATTTTTGAAACGTATGTTATTTGTCGTAAAACATTATGACGTCATATGTAACTATTTCATACAAAGTACATAGATCGAAAGTATTGTCGTTTTTAAAATTTCAATAAAAGTATTGAATTCAACTAGTTGGAAACTACTGTATTATCTCAACTAACCTTCTAGAAAAGTGGTACCTTTCAATTTTAAAATATCATTGAGTATTTCTCAAAGTAAGAGTTGCTGTCAGTTACCTTAATAGAGTCTTTGGTTTTTCTTTCTATCCTCATTTTTCTCTTGTCATTCTCCCTCCTACGGCGCTCATCCCTTCCCCGCTTATCCTGCTTACGAGCAGCTAGGTATTCTAGCAGTGGAGTTGATTGCACTTTCTTGTCATTGGCTGTAAAAGTATAATAGATTGTTTAGTTTATTCCTGCATGGTTGGCTGAGTGTAGAAAGAAATTTGTAGAGGAAGCAAATGGAATTTAAATAGTCTAAAAATGCTTCTGTTTAATCATGTGTGAACATCAAGTTTCCTACCAACTGGTCATGAATGACAGGCTTGTATGTGTATTCATATACACAGTCAAAACATGTTAGAAATGAAATTAGAAAATTTATCAATTTAGTCTCGCATGATCTGTGATTTGACTGCGAGTTGGTGTCTGATCATCATCATTTACTTCAAAACTTTAAAAAGTGTGCTAGCTAATTTAACAATTCAAATGCATGTGTTGGTAATTTTAAATTCGCAAATTTAATCAAATCCAGCCTATTTTCATATTCACATGTTGCCAACCTATCACAATGAATGTAAAACTAGTGCAACAATTGTTACATTTTTGTAAATGTCCCAATTTATTAGTGTTGATGCACCTATTGTTTTTCTATAGAATCTACTACCAATAACCATGATAGAAAGGATAAATATATGTTTTCAAGATCATCATACTCACAATCATTGACAGGATAAGAATATTCAAGTTTTGGTTGATTTTCAGTCTCGGGATCTTTTTTGAGACTTTCAACAAAGTCTTGATAGATGGGGTCACTCTCTATGGTACCACATTTGGGATCCTTCTTCTTTTTTTTCTTAGGTATTCTTTGGAACGGGGCATACTCCACTATTCCCACATACTCTACACCTGGAACACATTTTTTGTATTGAAAAGCAGAGACAGAGAGGAAACCTTATTGAGACTTACAAAATAATGAGTGACTGCTACAACGTTCCTGGACTTAAGAATATGTATCTTCTTAATAAAAATCGAAATTTGAGAGGACACTCATTAAAACTATGCAGAACATCCTCAAAACTGAATCCCTTGACACACTTCCTACCTAATAGGGTGGTCACGGAATGGAATAAACTCCCAGAAAATGTGATAAAAGCACCCACAGTTAATTCTTTTAAAAACAGACTCGACAAAATCTCCAAATCCTTTAATACGCACGCATCAGCTTTCTAAGCTGCTAGTGTGTTCAAGTATATAATAATAACAAGTATTAGAAAGAATATAGATAAACATATAAATCCAATAAAACTCTTTTACAGTTAGGAAGTTTTCTATCCATTTTCAAGATCCAAACCAACTACAAAGAAACATTCTATACCAAATGAGAGTGGGGTCTCTTCCTCAGGCCAACTAGGCTCCCTTAAGATAGCGTCTTACTTATAGTTACAATACAATGATACGAGGTAAAACATTAACATAGATTATTATTAAGTGTTGGATTTGAACTATATAACTTGAAACTAATTATTTATGATATAAATATTAATATATTCTTTTGGGTTTTGTTTGTCAATGCAATACATTTAGCCTAAGTGTTGCTAAAATTATGAAGCTGAATTTACAATAAGGGAATAATATTCTTAAATTCTTGTAGAATTCATATAAGAACAAACACACTGTGGTCATAATTATCTCGAAAATAAGGAGAGAACAAACTCTGGTGTTTAATAACAAGTTGGTATGAACAACTGAGTCAATAGTGTTTCAATACAAGTTGTATACATTTACAATAAATATCACAATATCATACTTAGTATACATGTATTAAATCCTTACCTTTTTCATCAAGAAATACATATCCATCAAATTTATCTCTAAATAAGTAAATATCGTCAACATTAACGAAGTTTATGTAAGCTCTGGAATATAGGTTATTGGCAAGCGAAGGGTCTGGCTTAGCAAAATAGAAATGGTCATGTTCAGGTATCGGTGAAACCTGCTCCAAGAACGCCTCCTCAGTCATAGTAGGCGGTAACCGCCGAAGAATAATCTGAAACAAGTATAACCTCGTTCAAATTTCTTTGTTGTAAATATATTTACAGACAACAATTTCTAATAAGGCAAACAGTCACTTTGGTCAACGGCCGTTGGGTTTTTGTTTTCTTGTCCTTATTCTTATTAATAAAGGTTTTGCTGCCGGAATCTGACTGCGAATCTTTTGCATCTTGATCTTCAGTCATTATACAATTTAATTAATAATATCCCTCAACGTTTTAGGCAATCCCTCAACATTATCAAAAAACCGTGTGTCGTGTGTAATTTTTTTGACATTTATTTGACATATGTTGGTTTTTATTTTTTATTTCTAGCAATGTACAACATAGACATTTATTCATGCAGCCTAATTTAATAAAATTTAGTCGATTAATCCATTAATCCCTCCTCTATTTCCATGATATTTTTATTCTGTGGTAAACTTTTCGTAATGTCAATGTCAAAATAAATAACATTACTATTTTGAGGTTATTGTCGTATTAATAGATTATAAATCTAAAAAATACTTCACAAAATAAATCGAATACGGTTACCAAATAGTCTTGATCGCCGTAAAATCACATTCTCCTAACAATATGCTTGCCACAAGACTGTCCAGACAACTAAGAAGAACCAGTGCTGTGGTTAGTTCACGAGCATTTTGTAGCCCTACTGGTCTGTCTGGTACAGTTGATACTGCTAAAGAGCAAGTAAATGTTCCTACAGAGGATGCTGCTGTAAAAGTTAGCGGATTTGCTAAGGCCTTTGATAAACAAACAAAAATGTTAGATACAGAAAACAAAGAGCAAAACTTCACATTTGCATCTCTACTTCGGCATTCTAAACTGATGGACGTAAGTTGAATGATTGATTTCATTATTATTAAATACATTGCAACACTATCTAATTACTGGCATTTAAAAAATAATTCTATTTATATTTTCAGCTTGGTGACCCAACAAACAAAGTAGTTATTGGTAAAATATTCCATGTTGTTGAAGATGACCTATACATTGATTTTGGCTGGAAGTTCCACTGTGTTTGCACGCGCCCTACTGTCAGAGGTGATGAGTATGTCCGAGGAGCAAGAGTGAGAATACAGATTAAGGACTTGGAACTGTCTTCCCGTTTCTTAGGCTCAAGTACAGACCTTACCCTGTTGGAAGCAGATTGCAAGCTCTTAGGATTAGTGTCTACACCAGTCAGAGCCAATACTACTGCACCTGTAAGTGAAAAGTAACATCACTTAGTATTTATGTAATCTAGTTAGTAGTAGTTAAAGTAATAAATAATGTTATTTAAAATATTGTTTTTTCTTTGTAGTCACTTCTATGCAATGCTTAAATGCCATACTATTCAAATAAATTGTTATTTAGTTACTTTAAACTTAATAATGTTGAATTGTCTAATGTATTGGCTACAGTATTTGTGGGATACAATAAAAAAAGTGTTTACTAATGCATTCATTATTTTTTGGAATGGCAACCAAATTACTCAGGTTTGCTGCAACTTGCTAAAGGAGCCACAACCTACTGTCTCATAAATTAGCAGTCAAGAAGTTATTTATCTACATATTCATGCATAACTTTTTGGTTAAACTGTAAGTATGTCAATTATCATTTCCACCATAGGCACACACATATTGGGCTGAATTGGTGCTGAACTGGTCAAAATTGGTGTACTAAATATAAATTTAGTTCAAAATTTGGTGTTCACTGCCCACTCTGTGATTAATATGTTGTGGTGTTTTATGTCCTATTTATAAGATCTGGATAGCAACTATGTATCAGATAAATTTAAATACATCAGCAGATATGCACTTTATTTTTCAGAATTATCAGCTATCCAAGTTTTATGAGTACTTATGTAAACATGGTAACATAAGCTCTTTGGCATTCTTAAACAAGTTGTTACCATAATATTATACCCATTATTCCGCTCCAATTCTTATAAATCATCAATAATAATTCCAATGATACTTGACTCAAGTATGGTTACAATACATGCTCATCAACACTGAAAACACTTGATAGTGATAAGTCAGTGTTCAGTGACACTATGCTGGACTTTGTCCAACCCACCAATAGAAACACAGAATGATTTAAGTCAACAATTTATTTAATTGACAAACATTTGGACAACATCAATAATGGCATAAAATAGCTTCTATTTATTGTCAGAATATAAGTGATTACTTACACATATATATTTATTAATATTATTAAATAAATATTTTTTAACATTCCTTCAAGTGGATATATTCTTCTAGAATAAACACTGCTGTTCCTGGTACAGCAAGCCTTTCGTTTATATCATATGGAATGTTAAAAATACACTTTGGGAGTACTTTTTACTATGATCAGATGCTTAAAGATAGACAATTAGTAGAGAGATTAACACTGAGATACCATGGTTAATGTACATGTCTGTATTTCACCTAATAAATTTATCTAAAATCAGTAGCTACATACTACCTACTTATTAATATTGCATAAAATCTTCACAATTAAAAATTATCTATGAAAGAGAGATTACATTGCTTAAATTGTACACACAAAATACACACAGTTTTGTGTAGCCAATTGTCTCAAGTTCTCAGTAGAATATTAAATTCATTTCTCTAAGCATCTTTCCCTTAAGGTTTCTCTCCTTACCAGATGTTGCCTTGTGCTTCCATATTACTTTAATATCACACCCTTCAGCTCAGTGCTGAATAAATTCAACATCAAAGCATTTCTCATCACATACAAATCGTCATAATTGTAGATTTTTGTAAATGTCAATACAAAAAGCCAAGTAAGCTTTTATGAAGACAATAAATAACATTTGAAAAATATTCACGACTAAAGCTGTCCAAACGTGAAATGCAATATTTTTCTACTTAAATAAATATTTTTGGGCAATAGCACAAAGTGTGCATGCATACCCATGAGCATATCTAGAAATAGATACACAGAAATTAATTTCCTTTCAATTGCATTCCATGAATCGTGCGCAATAACATTTCTATTAGCATCCTCTCTTATGTTCACATAACTGCTACAGAAAGAAACACAATCTGCACACAATGCTGAGTCACCTTCATAATGTATTTAGTGACGTTAAGTCACGAGATCATCTCATTACATCATCCCAGTAGAGATTCTATTGTGGTTTGTCTCCATTCCTGGACACGATCTCCTGGATACTCGGGTCCTTGACGGCGTCATCTGCGTCTGGTTTAACCTTCAATATATCATCGACATCTGACGCGCCTGCAGCAGCGGCCACGGTTTTGTCTGTAGGGTGCGTCAGCTCCCACTCCTTCAGGTACTGTACGACAGCGGTGTGTCCAAAGGTCTCAGCCTCGTTAAGTGGTCGGCTGCCCCAGCGATCACGAGGGTCGTGTGGAACTCCGCACTGAGCGAGCAGGAAGTCTACACAAGATAGATGACCTTCTGCCGCTGCCAGATGTAGCGCAGTACGACCGTCGTAGTCCGATAGAGTCATGTCCATGCCGGAGAGGTGGTGGCTGTGGAAGATAAAATTACACCAGGTGTAATAATATATTTCAAATTTGAAAAAAGGCAATGCGGTGACTGCCTACTTTCGCTTTCAGCTCAAACTAATGTACGGTACCAAATGATGAATAATTTAGACTAGCGTCGTGTTGTGAGCTGATCGTAAAGCGTTTTCTACCCATAGAATGGTACTCGAGTAACGAAGAGATTAATAGACCCATTAAGCGCAACAATAAGCAAAGGTGACTGAGTACGTATGAAACAACGTTCCTGTATACTAGATAAGCAGGTACTCGTACTTGCTTAGTACTTGTCGAAAGCAATCTATTCATTAGAATTCACCGGTACGGGAAGAAGTTTCGGATCAGACCTTTGGCTGTTAAACAACAATTACTGATCAGCAAAAAATATTTAGTATAAAGTAAAACTACCCAAAGTAAAAAGTTATTTATACTGACCGTCGTAGAGCACTAAGATCACCACTAGCAGCCGAGAACAAGAGGTTGACGATATTGAGACCCGCCGACTCGAACTTGTACCGACGAGGGTCCTTCTTGTGACTGGCGTAACGAATGTTGTCGTACTTGTGGAAGTTGAACCTCTTGATCATGTCCTGGATTCGAACGGATTACGAAATTATGAGCTGCTTCGACACTTTGAAACAACAGTTAATTCGTCAAGAAGGAAATAAATTGAATCTTACGTCACAGAATTGCAAGCCTCGGCAGCTGTTTCCCAGGGGGTCCAGCGGTGGCGACCATGTGCAAATGCCCATGACATTGGGAACTACTATGAGCATAGCACCAGACACTCCAGACTTCGCAGGAAGTCCTACTTTGAACGCAAACTGTCCTGAGTAGTCGTACATTCCACAGCTATGCATCAGAGAGAGCACATTGCGTACCGAGTCGGGCCGAAGTACTTTTTCATCAGTGATGGGACATATGCCACCATTTGCTAGAGTGGCAGCCATAATGGACATGATGTCGCAGTTGGCTTCCATTGAGCAGCACTATATGTAAAGAAACGATAAACGGTTATTCAATGTTCACAGGTTTGAGTACTTATAGCAGAAGTATAAAAACAAATATTTGTACCTGGAAATAGAAGTCCATACATTCACGGAAATTAGTCTTTTCCGGATAACATTTATGTTCTCTCATGTAGAAGCCAAGTGCATAGTTTCTGTCGGCAGCTTCGCGTTCAGATAAAAATACTGCATTGTTGAAACCAAGGCTTTCGTTGCCTGCGAGCCGACTAAAGAATGACATGACGTAATCAAACTTTTCAGCGAGAGTCATCTCGGGCCTGTCCAAGGTCTTCAGTAATGAGCATACTAGAATTGCTCCCGCGTTTATCATCGGGTTATGTGGCTTCACTGTGAAAATACGACGACAAAATTATTTGCACGCGGTGGAGCGACGTTGGCAAATGTTATTGTTGATTCTAAAAGTAGGTACGTAATTGTTTATGCACGTTAGATTTGTCATATTAAACTCACAACAACAAATAGTATCGCAGGTGTAGGCGTTGTTGATATGTACGTACTGTTATAATCCAGAACGAGTTCATTGAAGTTGCGGCCGCTGGGCTCCGTGCCAACATATTTGTGTACCACGTCGGGTCCTAGAGTTTCAAGTGCCATCGCGTATGTGAGTGGTTTGCTGCACGATTGAAGAGTGAATGGGACTGTCACATCACCTATAAAACAGCGGTAAATGGTTAGGTTTACTGTTCACTAATATAATTGTGTTAAATGATTGAAAGAAAAGTAATTACCGATAGAAAATCGTTGGCCGTCTATAGTACAAATGCTGACTCCCCAGTTTTCAGAGCTAGCTCTAGCAAGCTGAGGGATGTAACTGGCCACTTTACCATCTGTGTTACTCTTGGCAGCCCAGTACATTTCTTCCACGTCTTTGATAAAATCTTGAAAGTCTGGAATTACAAATTGACTGCGGAACGCCCTCGTGATGAGGACGATGTTTGGTGCGATCACTTCTTTAAAGGTCTTCCTGTCTAGTTTCAATGTCTCGGGTGAACCACCTTCAAAGTTGGATTGTTTGTGCACCTTGTATAGATTATGCATGACTTCTTTAACGCGATTATCATTTTTCCTTATCCCAGTGGTCCTCAGGGCCTAGAAATATATATATAAATTAAATGAGTTAGTAACTAATAGTAAGTAGAAAAAGGAAATAATTCATTTTCGAAAGAAGAACAAACTAACGGCCAAGAATTTTCCAACGGGAAGGAGACCCGTATCTTCATTCTTGAACATGTCAAACAAAACATCATCGGCGTTCTTGTGCGGTCCTTCGCGCGCCCTGTGAAACAACAACATGGACGTTAGATAATAATTTGGTTATGTCAAAATACTATTATAAAGTATCGTATTCATCTACAAAATAAAATTGTAATCGTAGATAGGATCAAGCGATCTGCAAAGCACTTTGAATACAGAGTAATAAAGCAAAAAATAATTGTGTGGTACCAAAAACTAGATGTTTTCTCCTCAGAACCTCTTATTAGAAGTAGGTTTAAGCACAGAACAGGGTTTCAGTACTTATGTCTAGTTCAGCTAGTTACAAACCGTGTTTCTATTTCCCACTGATACCGTTACAGGTTCACATCATATGACTTGAAACATGACTGCATAAACCGAATTCATGTTGTCATTAAGTACAGTCAGTTTCTAAATAAAAGCAAGTCAACGTCACGCAGGGTAGGCAAATATAGATAGATGCGATTGTTCACGAGTGTGCAATTAGCACGACATAGTTAATAGAGCAATTATAATGTATTGAACAAATATTGTGTTACTTGTAATGTACACTAGACGCCCCCGCGTGACGTCACAAGCTAATAATATCTGAAGCGTGACTACGTAGGACGGCGGGTGTGTCTGCGACGAGCAAACACCGCATCGTGACAAAGCTGTTGACCATCACCTGATGCCGATATATTTAAACACGGGACATGCTAAAAAACAAGCGAGTCTGACAAAAAAATTTAATTATGACGCAAGCGATGCCAATTGAACAGCCAAAACATATTTATTGCATATGTTTTGGCTGTTCAATTGGCATCGCTTGCGTCATAATTAAATTTTTTTCAGAATTACCAATACGACGACGTAGAGATAAAAGATAAAATCATAAGAATCCTCAACGTAGGAAAAGTTTATCGCTATGTAAATAAGTATAAAAAACTATTACCTTACCATAAGAACTACTAACAAACTCGTCAAAAACGTCTGCAAGTTTGCCGATAGTACCTAACTATCTAATTAACTAAGCAAAATACCAATACACAATCTTAATAAGATTTAACTGATCTTATTAGGATTTTCTTAGCAGCCAAACTAAGGATTCTACTTCATCAAGAACTATGTAAAGCTTTAAGAAAAATATTAGCAAAATTAATACAAAAATAAAACACGAAACTGCCTTCAACGTAAGACTACGAAATAATAAGTGCTCCAAAAATAAGGGTGGTGTAAACAACATAAAATAACCTTATGAAATGAATTCAGTTCTAGAGTCCACCAGCATTGCTATGTCACGTCGGTTTTTTCTCAAAAATTCGTTTTCTGAAAATCTGAGACAGTTTTGAATAGATGACATTAAAAATATAGGTCCTTTCATCCCTATTTACGATATAATCGAGTATACACATTTAATTTCCTACCATAAATAGGCCTACTTTATTAGGACAACGAGTTTAATTAATAGGCACCGTCTTATTCCTGTCTTTTACTTATCCTATGGACCGCCTTGAACCAGATCGAACCGGAAAGTTACAAAAATTCATCCTTGAGACAATATTGTTCTAGAAAATTTTTCATCGTGGGGTTCAAGGTTTGTTTGTACATTATACTAACCAGTCACCGTTACAATTGATAGGATAAGGCAAAAAGGCTAATCATACACAACAAGGTCAAGCAAATTTTTGGTAGCTTTATCATGCATTCAAAATTTGGAAAAAACCGACACGATGCGTTTGAGCACCACATATAGCTGGCTATAATAGACAAATTCTGAACTGAATCCATAAAATACAACAACAAAATAACAACGTCTATCCCAAAATAACATCAAAATAAAAATACATAACCTAAATTCGGGAAGTAGCGGCTTTTACAACAAATTGATCCATGCAACACACTGTCAGGAGGCAGGCCTCAGTACTCACGATATGGGGTCGATGTTATGCACGAACGAGTACTGTCGGGTTTTGCTGCTGCCATGAAACGTGAACAAACAATAATGTGAAAATCTTATCAATACTACGCGAACTTATGAATCGTAACTCTTTTATCTGTCGTGACTGACAACAAAATGACAAATGACTGCACGCGTTACAGATTTATCTCACTATGAATTCATGTGTATTTCAAGCAAATATTCGGTTGAACAGTCAATCGTACGCTACGTCTATATAGTTGCATAACTGCACACATGATTTGTGGAAAAGTTAATAAATGATCTGTAGTTGGCAATATACTGCCCGTGCTATACATCAGTGTATAGGTGAATAGTTTCAAATGTCAGGGGTGAATTGAACAAGTAGCTACCGGCGCCGGTCCGTTTAATATGAATCAATAGAAGTCGAAGTGGGTTATTAACAGCAATTTATTTCCAATAGACGGGTGTATGTTGACACTATTTGTGCATTTGTTAGTAATATTAATAGTGCATATCATACCTCATGTCGAGGGACTGGACTGAATAGAAATGCGGGGCTGAATTGCGCCATTTCTGAAAAGATAACGTCGAAAAATTAGTGAAAAGTTACATATTTGACCGCTGTATCCCAGATTCCCAGAAACAGAGACACACATAATAATCCCTCTGTCACCGCGGAAGTATAACACAAGGAAAAGACACTCACTTCAGGTTTTGATATAACATACACAGGTCTCACTTGACTATAGTGCCGATAGCAGGTGCAAATCGAGTGATTGGGTTTGGCAAGGGGGCGGGCGGCGACGAGCCGGCACAGCTGACGGGTGCTCATGGCGGCGGCCTGTGTGACACACTTCCAAGTCCTGGCGTACGCACTCTGTACAGTAGCGGGCGAGTCGCGGCGGCGTGCTTATGTCCGCTTCCAAGGCGCAGGCGCCAACTGACGGCTCTACGCCCAGCGCACCTCTCGCTTATCTACTTGTTTACATTCAGTGTTTACATGACAGCTGACGCGTTACATTAAATTAAATATTTTGTGGTCATAGTTACACCTGAACTACGTTTCATCATAGTATTATATAAATAACTAGCTACGTAGTGGGAAAGGCCCATAAATGCTGCTATAAGTATACATAAAAATTAGACATGTATTTACGATTGTCTGACGGCATGATAGGAAGCTATTAAGTAATTTGGTTAAACCAAAGATTAGTTATACGACGAAATTTTACAACACTGTAAATATACCACTGAATGGTTCTTCGGGTAATAACATATAAAAGGTGTTCAAAAGGTTGCTGAAAATATGATTATTGCAATATTTGCAACGAATTAAGTGCTAGATGACAATATGCAACGTGTACCTACTTACCTTTGGTAGTACAGATTGCAGAAAAAAGTAAGGATCGACATCGATTTCCTCACTTTACGTGCCAACAAAAAAAGATCTAAGCGACTTAGTACTCCATAGCAACGGCCTCGTCGATCAATACAATGAGACAGTAGTTCTCTCTACAGTTTTGTCAATGTACGGAAAGTCGTAGCAATTCGTAGCAGCCGTAGCAAACACGATAATGATTTAACAAACAGTTAGAAATAAATGACACAGCCATTTTTTATACCTTTGCGTAATTAAAATGATTGTAGCGTTAGCGTAATTAAAAAGTTAGGTATGCAGCCAGGAAATCTTTAAGAACGTAAATTATACGATGAATTCGACATTGTTTTGTTAACATGGATTAAAATTAGGTAAACCTGACTTGTCGCTCTCTATTGTTGCTATACTTTAATGTATTCAAATTATTTTCTTTAGTTTTAAAGAAATGGAAAACGGCTTACATGTTTTTTTCATAACACCTTTTCTTATAGTAACCATCTTCTATAGTGAGACATAATAAGTTTCTTAAAAAAAATACTTACTTATATGAATTAACAGATAAAAGCTCTACTAGTTTCAACTCACAACAAGACTCTTATTCGTTAATTCACGTAAGTAAGTGGTTACTTTCAATAAATGGTTTAAAAGAACAATGCCAGCTGTCCATAGTAACGTTGGCTCAATATTAATTAGTCATGGACAGCGAATATTCTTACGTGTTTTTATGTTGTTTAATGTCAAAAGCATTTCTGTGATTGCTACTTTTACATTGAACTTCTACGAAAGAAGTTATTCAGACTTTTTAAATTAGAGGTTATGCATTTTTATAGAGAGTAAATTAAACAACAAATATACAGTAATTGAATAGTTTTATTATTTTTTTGCCATTGTCATTCATTATCATCATCATCAATTACATTATCAAAGTCAATTAATAAATCAATAAGAAATTGTGCAGGTGGCTCAATATTATTTTGGTGCTACATTTATACAAACATTAAGTTGTGTTACATATAACCATCAAGCTCATTTAAAACCGTTTACATTATATAGTATTAATACGAATTATACTCTATACCTCAGAAAGGGAAGTCCATTGCCGTAACAATCAACGGACATCGTCAGATTCAACTAAATGCCGTTGCATTCGGAACACATTTAAACCACAATTAATACAACGTAGTTGATGAGACATGGTCACAAAATGTGTGTGGATATAACTCAACAAGTTAAAACGCAAACGCAAATGAATTCGAAACGAAAACAGAAAATAAACGACAACAACACCGTTATAAACATAAACAATATGTGTCAATGTCAGTTTAAGTTTTTGCGATTTTGACAGAATTTCCGGAAGTCGTAACCTAACAGGGTTGCTATTACAAGGCAATTACGTTATTGATTACAGATAAAAAATAATCGATTTCTTTAATCTTGATGTTATAATTGAATAAAAAAAAATATTAGTATCTGTATTTATATACCTTATGAACGTATTATTTCAATAAAACACTGAAAAGGGGTGATAAATAAAAAGTAAAGAACATTTTTTTATTTTTTAGAATTATTTATAATAATCGATTAAAATGTCAAGACTGGCAACTTTTTTATTTAAATCCGGATTTAAGAATTTGAATAGTAAAATGATTTACTTATTAAAAATGAATTTATTTTCGAATACTTCCCGAAGATAACTAAATGTTTGGTTTTAAGTTGGTATTTTGTATTTAAATTGTTGTAGGTAAAAACTTTGTGTCCGCGTGAATTTAGCTATAAAAGTTGTGTAAGCCGAAATTCGTCATTGTTCTTTGGTCTAAAATGGTGTAGTAATAAAACCCCTAATACGATTTCTTGATAAGAAAAATAAATTAAATACTTTTCTTTCAAATAGCTTCCCCCGGCCTGGGCCGCCTGGGTGAGATGAGAAGCAATGTGAGGCTCCTAGTTATTGAAAACCATTCCCTTCCTTCTTCTGCTCTTAGCCGGGGTCAAGGTGCATCATTGTGCTTGAACCGACAACCCTGATGGTGATAATACCCTTAGAACCTGTTTCATCATCTTCATGTAACTTTCCGATAGTCTTATGTGGCACATACTTCAAACAAACATTAATTTCCATATTTAATTTTTTCTGGTGCATAGCGACTATGCAGACTACTATAAAATAGGTCCTATTCCGAGTAATATTAAAATTTTTACCAAACATATTTTTGTTTATAATTTTACGTGTGAATATTAGGTAAGTAGTTTTCTTATTGGTGTACACATTATTTTATTTGTATTGTATCCATGCATAGTTGCAAAAGACGCAAAGAACGCATTAGAAATTAATTAAATATAATCATAACACCAGAACATAATTAACGAATATTATTAACTGAAACTTCGAAGTGTAATTGTTGTCCTAAATTAACCATAAAAATGTAATGTTTCACTTTTTCAAAGCTTTTCAGTAGATATTGTTACAAATTATTTTAATCGACAAGCAACCTTCAACATGCTTCTATATTTTTCTGTCTCAATGTATAAATAGTAGCTACAAAAGTATTCATATTTTGTCATTTTTTTTAATAACACTGTTAGATAATGAACACCTTTCAAAACAACAACTATGATATTACTTCATAAAAGTTTTTAAATGAAGTCTACGTACCTAGGAGTTATGAACGTGATAAAAGTTATGTACCTAAGTTTTATGTAACATTGATCATGCATGACCTGAATTAAAAGATTAGTTGAAAATGAAACCATGACTATTCGATATTCCATGTGGAATGGAATGAGGAAATTATAAAAATAAATGAGTAAAATCACCTCAAAACTGTTATCACATTCCATCATAAATTCTTCGAAACCACTGTTGTACAAGTAGCGCATGCCAGAATTACGGGACGGCTGCGAGGGATGCGTACGCGCCGTGAATTGCACGAACTGAGCCGAATATCGTGCGAAATGCCCGACACTTCCGCGCACGACACACTGAGCCATTCTCCTTCTGTCTCTCGTTTATAAATATACTACATCTGGGAGTGCCAAATTAGTAATAGACGGGAACCTCTGCCATCATATATTATGTAGTATATATACACTCTATATATTACAAAACAATCACAATACTAATCCTAATAGCGTCCGGTCAAATGCAAATTACTTTCAAAATTTCAAATAACCAACAAATTTTATAACCTTGACGTTTTGGTGTGAAATTTATTTTACTTTTAAAAATAATACACAGAACTCTTTTGTCTCTGTCGTTCTTCCTTCGTTCATTTATACGTAATGCAGTTCGCTAATCTATTCTTTTTTCTTCTGGCCTTTTCCCAACGATGTTTTGGAGGTTATTTTCAGTGGTTCGACTTGCCATGTGATTTCCATGACCAAACATTTCTTATGACGAATTTCCTACCGAGTCACGACTAAACAGGTTTTTAAACTTTTAATGGTTTGATTACGGTAAACGACTATCCCCAAGTTAACTATAATGCAAACGACAGCGATGTAGGTAGTATCAAAAGAGAATAATATTGGAATTCAGACCTATTGGAACGAAAGTTCACACGCGACCGATTTTCGTTTTAAAATTGAAGTAGATAGTAGTGAAAAGCTAAACATGAAATTACATTACTTACTTGTATTAATGACGAATTGTATCGAAATAATATCTATTCCCGTGTAGTATTATGATGCTAGAGTAGTGTGAATATGTGTGTGTGTGTGTGTGTGTGTAGTTTTTGTTGATTGGAACACAGCTGTTTAACTAATGCAGCATTGTTCTATATATTGATTTATTTTACTATACATTGCGGCAGGATAGTAACTTAATATCCCAACAATGTTATTACTTTATAACGAATTTGGAAATACTTACACCGATTTAAAATCAAAAAAGGTTGTTTGTGGAAAAAGTGGCAGGGGGCAAACGGCCACACAAATAATTTGATGGTAAGTGATCAGCGTTGCCCATGAACACTCACAATACCAGAAGACTAATTAGTACGCTATTGGCCTTTTAAATAGAAACACGCCTAGCTAGATGATTCTTAGCACAGATAGCTAATAACATTATTTTATTTCACTTAATAATTTATACTTTTGGGACAACCATGCTTCGGTAAGAATGGGTCTGCTCGACCTGAGAGATACCACGGCTTGAAACAACACGTGTTTCGCCGTGTGAGTGAGGTTGCCGGAGGCCTAATCCTTCTTCTCCCTCAATCCCTTAATCTCATATCATAAACCCTAATTCCCAAAAGGTTGGCAACAGACTCGTAACTCCTGCGTGTTTCGGGTGTGAATGGGCGGCACCGATTTTTTTTTTTTTTTTTTTTTTTTTTTTTTTTTTTTTTTTAATAATTAAATCATTTATTGGTGTTAAAAAAAAACTTTATACAATATAGACCCACCAAACTGTTTAGACAGTTTGACGGCGGGAATAGCGCTCGTTATAGCATCGTTTACATATACATATTTAAAAAATCAGAACAAATCAGGAAAATCAGTAGACAAAAACAAAATCAAAGAATAAAATAAAACTAAAGAGTAATTAATTTAAACTAAAAGATCGAAGAAGTTACCTATGTGCGTTAGCTAACATTATTAGAGAACTCTGTATTTAACATTTGTAGCACTTTCTTTTTGAGGGAATATCTGCTTATTTGAGTGTCTATTTGCCTCAACCAGTCATTATTGTTGTACAACATGGGGATCAAATACTTGTTGGTTCTTGACCCGTAATAGATTTTCCTGGGCGGGCAGACTAACTTATTTTCTCTTACGCGTCTTGTATTGTACTTATTCACTATTTTTATTTTTATTTGTTCATTATAAAACTGTTCAAGAATCACCAAGTATCTGACCCGAACATGAACAGGAAGTATTTTACAGGTAACATACAGTCTATCGTAATTTTCTTTACATTTAAGTCTAACTTTAGGTGGTACGAGATATTTCAAAAATCGGGTTTGCAGGGACTTGATATCATCTAGATAAGATTTAAAAGTGCGGCCATATACACTTAAACCGTAACCTATTATTGAATCGACTAGAGCAAAATATACAATCCGCAATGTTTTTCTACTTAGTGGCGCTTTTAGTGCATAGAACTTGGTTAAAACAGTTCTGAGCTTCGTACACACCGTGTCAACATGCGTCCGCCAGTTAGCGTTGCTATCTACCCACAGACCGAGGTATTTAAAGGTTGGAACGAGTTCTACATTTTGACAGAAGCAACTACTAATTCTCGCGTGTAAACACTCATATGTGTGGCCCTGTATACATATGTCTGATCTATCAGTACTCTTTGCCACTCTGTTGTACGGTGAGTGAATATGCATTAATTTGGTTTTTTTGACATTCAGAATGATTCCATTATCATGCGCCCACTTCGTGATGTTATTGAAATCCTCCTGAATGACGGTTCGGGCTTGTTGTATGCTTTTGGATGAGTATAGTAGACACATGTCATCGGCATACATAAACACCTCACAGTATCTTACCGCGTTTGCGACACTGTTTACGTGCATAATATAGCCAACTGGACCGAATACGGAGCCGGTCGGCACGCCCAACGCAACTCCTGCTTCCCGTCCCTTGATACCCGCTACGCTCGTCTGTATGGTTCTGTCACCTAAATATGTACGGAACCACTTGTTAGTGGGTCCCCTAATTCCACATTCATCCATTGCCTGGAGCAAAACCTCATGATCTAACGTGTCGAATGCTTTTCTGTAGTCAATAAATAACGCCAGGATCTGGTGGCCCTGGTCCAGCCTGTCATTTACAAACTCAGAAAAACCCGACAACGCCGTCGCAGTACTACGACCGCGCCTGAACCCGTGCTGAGTATCTGATAACAGCTTGTGCTGCTCCAGGAACTCACTGATTTGACCTACTACGATTTTTTCTACAATCTTATTAAGTACTGATAGAATGGCGATTGGTCTATAGTTGGAGTAATCCGTATGATCCCCCTGCTTAAATATAGGTCTTATTAGTGCTTTCTTAAGCAGGCTAGGGTATTGCCCACTGGATAGACACATATTGACAAAGTGTGCAAGAACAGGTGATATCAACTTTTTTATTGATTTTATCTATCGCCCTAATACAATCCAAACCTGGCGCCTTCTCGCTACTGAGATTGTCAATAACTTTGGTTACTGTGTCACTTCCCACTGGTCTGAACCTAAATGTTACATTACTTGGCTTAACATAATGAGATCTTTCTAGGAACTTTATATTACAATTATGTTTAATATTAACAATTTCCTGAGTAAAAGTATCTGCAAACTTATCACATATATTCTGCATTGTATCAGTATTGCCTAAATACTTACTAATTGTACTATCGATACTAGCTTTCTTATTACCTAACCAACTATTAATTTTTTCCCATATCTTTTTAGGATCTCTATTGCACTTTTTAATTTCTTCCTGTTTATATTTATTCTTTTCTTTAAATATTAATTTATTAACCTTATTTCTATATCGTGTGTATTCTAATCTCTTAGTATTATTTTTCGGCTCCTCTTTCCATTCTCTAAATAGTTGATCTTTCCGCTTTAACATATTTTTCAATACTTCCCCTACCCAGTGTGTGTAGTGTTGCTACGAGTTTTGTAGCGAGATAAACAAGAACATGTGACTGACGTATCTAAGTATACTTTTCATAATACGTATTCGTACGATTATCTGCGCATTCAAAACATAATTGCTAGATAGCTATTTGGATTTTTCGAAGCATGTGGTAGTTAAGTATATAGTACCACAACGAAGGATAACAGCAAAGTAAAACAAAAAGCTACTAATAACATTCATAATACATGTCAGTTTAATAATTTTCACAAAATTATAATATTTACACAGTAATATTATAAGTTCTTACAACTAAAAATAGAATAACAATTCTCGTATGAAAAACCTTAAATTACTGTCGTTTTACAAAAATGACTTCAACAGGACCGTCGTTTCTCAGTACAACGTCAGTAATAATCCGAATGTCGTCAGGATGGGTGACCGGTTCCAGAACAAACTCCCGTAGCACCTCTGCTACAGCCATTTTCATTTCCATCATGGCGAATTTTTGACCTGTTATATTAAAAAAAGGTTTTTTTAAGTGATAAATCAGCAAACTCGTTGACGTATTACCCTATGGTAATCGGTGTATGGTAAATCAGTCAGAGGAGTAACGAGTACCGTTACCGTTAAGAGTTGCCTTTTGGGGATTAAGGTTTCGGAGATTTAGGGATTAAGACGGGTTTGGCTAAAGGGAAGAATCGGGCTTCCGATAACCTCGGTCACACGGCGTAACAACGCTGTGGTTTTTTCATGTCAGTTTTTACTGTGAGGCAGTGGTATTAACCTGGATAATACAACCAATTTAAGTGTGTCAATAAATAAATCTCTAAATCTCCAAAACCGTAATCCCTAAAAGGTCGGCAACGCACTCGTAACTCCTCCATTGCGGATTTCCATGGGCGGCGTCAGGTAATCCGTCTGCTCGTTTGCCTATTACATAAAAAAAGTTATAGATACTAAACATGTAAAACGCCGATTAACTGAATCGCCCTAAGAAGAAAAGCGACTCTTCGGGTCCTATGTATTGTTCTATGTGGATAATATTGTGTAAATTAAAACCAAATTTTTGTAACAATAACAATATTATTACTTATATTATAGCAGATATATTTGAAACTACTCTTATCAACGTGTTCGAGTACACGTTATTCTAGAACTGCATTTCATAAACTGATTAAGTATGTATATTCTATATATGACAGCCCGATCCTGAGGGCCTACCATGACGTGAATCTTCCGAGCGAGAAAGAGCCATGGATCTATAAAAGGTGTATATACACAATAACACGTCATGGTAGGCCTACTGGTCTAGTCTATGTTCGCTTATATGTATGATTCGCATAAATCCGAAAAAAATTTTTTTTTCTACAGTACTAACCTTCAAATAATGGTACCAGTACACGGGCAAAACATTTTTGGTAATTTAATCGATCTTTCTGATTGCCTCGTCGATCGCATACGAGGGTTTTCATTAAGGGTGTCAAACAGGAGATTTTTGCGACAAATTCATGGACAAACCAAGAAAGCTACATGAAGATATTTTTTCAAAAACCTCTATGGTTATACGAAACAGTAGTAAGTAAGGCCTGTTAAATAAAAAGCTATCTTGTTGTAATAGGAGATTACAACGACAACATTAACAAACCCACGAGGTATGCTTACCTATACAATTTCTTGGCCCTGCACTGAAGGGGATGTAAGCATAGGGGTGTCTTCCAGCACTGTTCTCAGGAAGAAATCTGTCAGGGTCGAATTTGTTTGGGTTGGGATACAGGTCTGGGTGACGATGCAAGTCGTAGATATGTATGTGGCAAAATGTTCCAGCTGGTACTACGTAGTCACCTGGAATTAAAAGAGAAATAAGTTTTTTTAAATAGGTTTTTAATAACATGTACCTACACCTTCTGTAAGATATAAAGTCCTGAATACCATAGGCGGCAGTAGATCATACATTGCATATTGTATTCATACGTAGACCAAGAAAAACTGTCACGTCTTACTTTAAGCCAGGTTTTGAATGGAATTTATAAATGAGATTCCTTTCGTGTTCATCTAGTGCCTGAGATAATGTTAATATTTAAGAAATTTTGTAGTAAAGCTACAAAATTGCACTAGTCTATTATTTTATTTAAGGCGTTGATTATTGCTGTCTGTCATTAATTTCCCTCCAAGATCAAATTTTAATTATGGTTGAATAAATTATAATAATATAGTCTTTCGTAGGCACAAACCTCAAAGCCTATTCGCACGGCGAAAAAAAATTCGCGTAGATTTATTTTCGTACTGCGACGCCGACACATTAGTATGTTATAGAATATTTTTTGCTTGATTATTTATATCTTCTTCGAATACCTCCATAAGATTTAATCTATTACCTTATTGTGAAATAAAAACGTGGTAATTTATTTCACTACGCGGCCAAGCTCTCGACAACAAACAAAGTTACGAAAACTTGCGATGATGAGAAGCTCAAAAATATGAATGAAGGTCTTTTATTCATTAATCAATCTATTAATCAAAATGAATAAATTAATATCAATCACTTTTGTGATAAATGCAAACATTTCCATTACAATAAATCTTTATATCAAATAATCAATCATTATCTCACAAAATAAATCCAAAATGCGTGCGATATAAAAATTGTGATTATAAAAATACCTACTACCGGATCTTGTAAGTACTGCTTTATTGTATTATGATCATACTTCATGTTTAACGGTCCATCTATGGGTAACCTTAGTGATTAATATCTGATAAGTAAACTTATTCTAATAAATAGAATAATACCCACTAATCACATTTTGTAGGTATGTAAATTAAGAATTAAACCTATTGTTTTAATATCTACGGAAGTTTGTCTTGGATTGGTACATTTACGAGCCAAGAATGGTTCGGCGCGGGAGTTGTACCTAAGTTTGGTAAGACAGGTGAATATAAGTCACTCTAGCGCGTAAAAACAACTGACCGCACCTGAATGTGGCAAAGAGATATGTAGATTATAGTCTGAATTACCGCATAGAATATTTATCATAATAGCCCTACCGGTTAAGCTGTTGGAAGAAGCCAGAGTACTTATATTAACTGAAGAAATGCCCTTTTTAAGACCTAGTTATCAGAACTCCGGTAGTTGACCATGGTATAAGACTTGTCTGATGATGTTGATGATGATGATAATGATGAGAGAGAGAGAGAGAGAATAATGCTATCACTTACTTAGTGTCACATCTTCGTTCAAACTTCGACTGATGAAATGCACTGGTGGATACAGACGCAAAGATTCCTTGACGCATCGCTCCAAATACTTCATCTTCGGAAGATCTTCAATTGTGATTGGACGTTTAAAATCTCCCAAGACTTCTTTCAATTCATCTACAATTTTTTCCTGTAAAAATATTATGACCGAAATTATTAAATGAATTGACCGTGTTTTAAAACTTATTATAGATATAGATACCTAATTAGGATCAGGAAAGGAGGTTTAATTCGAGTTATTACCTCAATTTGTAGTCCAAAGGTACACAGACAGGAACTTAGTGATTAAGAACCGAAAAAAATTGTGAGTAAAAACTAGTAATGAGTTATAAATAAAGTATCAAGTAAAAAACCAACCTGTGCATCTTTGTTGTGAGCTAAAAGCATGAAGCAAAAAGTCAATCCACTCGCTGTAGTATCGTGACCCTACAAAACAAAAATACACATTAATTATGTAACAAATAGCTTTTGCCCGAGACTCCGCTCGCGTGGACTAGAGACTTCCTACAGATTTTTGGTAAAAAACTATCCTATGTCCTTTCTCGAGTTTTAATCTATATCTGTACCAAATTTTACACAATTCAGTTCAGTAGTTTAGGCGTGAAGAAAAGACAGACAGAGTTACTTTCGCATTTATAATACAGAAGTATAGATTAATACAAAAAAAGCTATATCTTATATATCGTTAGATATCTACTACATGCATGAGTGTTCGAACCTAAGGAATTATCAAAATGTGTTTTTTTTTCAGTTATATGTATTTTCTATTATTTAGTCACCAATAAGTTAAGGCGAAGGAAAACATCGCTAAAAAACCTAGCCACATAATTTCAAATTATGAATTTTAAATCGTTAATCTGCGGTGAGCAATCGTAGTTCTTTGTATGAAATGAGGGCTTTTTCTAGCATTAGGCACTTATTGGCTAATGATGGCTAAAATTCTTTATTTAACTTAATATGTTACAAGTATGTCTCAAGCATAATCGGGTCAGCAGAACCACTTACTTCGAACATAAATGTGTCAACTTCCTCTTGTACTCCAATATCGTCGATAAGTCCTTCTTTTTTGGCGGTAATCAATAAATCTAACATGGCTGTCTTCTTTTTTCTCTTGTACACATAATCATCTTCTGATATGTCCTGTTCAGGTACACCAAACTTGTCAATGTATTCGGTCCTCTCTTGTATAACCTTTTTAGTGAAACCATGTACTGTCTTGAGATACCCTTCCTGCATCCTACTCAGTGGCGATAGGTTGAATATGAAGTCAACAAAATAGAATACTTTGATAAATCTCTGGTAGAATATGTATCCCAAGTTGTATATTGCGTCTTTGTAAGCGTTCATCTCTGATGTGCCCAAATCACTCAGTCGGGTACCCATTGCAGTTTCTAAAATATAAAGACGTCGTTATACTCTTTTACAAAAATCTGTTTTAAGAAAGTTTAAGTTAATTTTCTCTAGTATAACAATCTTGTAGTGCGTCTTGTAAAGTGTTGTAAATTCAAAATTACTTTACGCTTATAGACAGTAAAAAATATTAAATATTTCTTAACATTTGATATACGTACCGCAAATTGAACTAAGCGTGAATTCCGAGATGATAGGAGCTACATCTACTGGTCGACCAGCAACCTCCTTGAGATTTGCCACAAAACGCTGCGCATTTTCTTCCATAACTTGACAAAATTGACGCAAAATATTGAAATGGAAAGTGGGCGTCAGTATTTTTCTTCTCTCCTGCCATTTTGACCCTTAACACAGGAATAATAAAGATTCAAATTTGATTTCAAGTTTCATTAATTTTATTTATGGTTAAATTTTTTGGCATTCAATATTACCTTTGCTCACAAGTAGACCATCTCTTAACCAGGGCCTCAGGACTCTGTAGACTTGACTCTTTTCGTTGAACTTCATACTTGAAACTATTTTCTAGAAGAAGAAAAGAAATGTTTAAGTTACACGCGTATTGGGAACAAACCTACACATATTTTTAAAAACATAAACGTTAATACAGAACGTACCTCAACATCATTAGCGTTGTAAATATTGACAGCACCAAATGGCGGAATCCAGAGCCTGTATATTCCAGAATTATTGTTAGCCAATTCCCTAGCTAAGTCCATGAGAGCAACTGAAATAAATATATAATAGGTAACGATTAAAATAACTTATTTAAAATTTTTTGGCGCCACATCCTTAATAGCTGTTGTCAGTATTTTATTTTTGTGTATTTTCTCTGTGTGGGGGTCAGGCCCCCGTCAGGGTTTGTCGGACTCTTACTGACTATAAACTGGGACTGCAATAGTTAAATTCGCAGTATCAAGGGGTCTATTGTTCCAGAATAACTATACCATAACTCCAGACTATGCGTACTTATAGGAACAGTCTTCAACATATTCACAGTAGCAAACCTAATTGATATATAAGAATGATACTTCTGTCTAGCTGTCCCATCAATGGACACCTGGGTGAAGTCATTTCAATGTCAACATACATATTTCAAGATCAAAAGCAAACAACACTAGTTATAGACTACTAGGTACTGTATAAAAAAAACATACCTGAGGAGCGCATTACAGCTGGGCCATTTCCTAATATAAACGAATCCTTTGGTCCCGGAATTTTCCTAATTTTCCTCGCTTTTCCATTGTAATTACAAATTATATGCAGGAAACACAAAAAACCCGCAGTCAGAAATAAATACCAGAACATTTTAAAACGTCCACTTCCTTGGCCTCGAGACTTTGTACTAAAAACTTTATCACTTATTTATAAAATTAACCAATTGTGTCCATCTTGGGTAATCACTTGATAAAATAATGATTTATTGTCGTGTTTCGTTTTATATCATGTTGTACTACATTGTATGTTAAATAATTTATTACACGCTCACTGGAGACCTGCATAACGTTAGTTAAATTATTTATTTCATCATTGCAATTTAAAGTTTTTAAAGTTTCCTCCACCGTCACAAACCACAGACACAAAATATAGTTACATTAAATGATCCATAGACAAAGCCACAGCGAAATGTATGTTACGAGGTAAAAGTTTATTTGTTTACCTTATCATTGTGTATCTTATATTTAGATAACTAGGTACTAAACTGATATATGGTATATTTAGCGGGCTAACTTACGATAGGGAAAAGTGATTTAATGATTTAATAAATAACAGATATATTATATAGGTGGTTTCTTAATATTTATAGTATTTAATTAAATATTATTATTGAAAATGCTCGAATGGTCAGTAATTTTGTATGATAAAATGGTCTGAAAGTTTTGCGGAGTATTTCCTGCGACGGCTAGGCCGTTACGCACTCCTACACCTCCTATGGGGACTATAGCTCTTAAATTCTTCGTATTAATTCTTTGGTTCAGTTTGGCCATTCGTAAATTACTCAATTACAAATTAAGAATCGACGAAAGAACTTCGCGAACATGCTCTACAAACTATTGACTGGGACTACAGACTACCCTGAGCTTTTAAGCTTTTTACAGACGAGATAATAGAAAAGATTAAGATATATAGTTTATTTAACATCCTAACTTAGAGCCGCTGTACCCAGAATCTCTAGACAGTATAAATGCATTAACAAAAACAACCGACTTAGACATTTGCTAATGAATGTCCAAACGAGATATAGCAAACTACTATGGCACCCGGTTGCCCTCTTGTTTGGCACAGTACAGTGGTGAAAATTGGATACAAGTTATGGTTATGAACATAATTATATTAAAGCAAAGTTCAAAACAAATTAATTTTTGCAGACTTTTTACAAAAACACATAAAATACTTACCCAGGATATTATTTGAAGTTCATTTGGCGCCAAAACAATATCGTTTTGAAACTAATTTAGGTTAATATTTTTTATCTGAAGTGATAATGCGTTCAATTTCATCTAACTCTAAATTATCTTATAAATACAATACTTGTAATAACGATATGTATCTGTGAGATCTAAACCAGCAATTTAACCTTTTAAGTGTTGCTCTTGGACGTGTTCACTTCGTAATAGCCAGCCATTTTCATTCAACTCCTTTATATAATATTATATTGTATCGTTTATTTGCTATATATCCTATCATTGTAATTTACATAACCATAGAACATATGGTCCACGAATTGACCAGGTGCTTCCCGTGCGTCAATATGATGAAATCCATATATCGTTATGTCCTTTTATCAACCACATGTACTGTTGTATAAAAATAACGGTAAAAAAAACGAATTAAACTCTTCGCAAAACGCAGAAGTGACCTTCACCTTTACCGCCAGGGTTGTACAAATACAACAGTAGTGACGTCACCCACTCCATCTCTCCACTATTCTTCTGTGGAATGCGCTCCCCCCGATATCAGAACCGTGACTAGTCGGCTATCTTTCAAGCAGAGTTCGGGAGCGGAGCTTCTTTTGAAGAGGTTGAGGGAATTATCGTGACTGCATTTACAAATAAAATTCACTTTCTAACTTTAACATCTAAAACTTCACAAGATTAAAGGTCGATTCGTTTTTATTTAGTAAATCGTCTTAAAGGAACAGCCCACTACCATTACAGCGCCTTAATGTTATGTCAAAGGAGTCCAGATCCGGTGTTGTGTACTATATGCAACTGCTTGTGACGTCATAAGCAAACTCGTAATAGTAATATGCATATGCATACAGAGGAATTAATAAGGATTTTAGTCGGTTTCGAGGAAGATGTAGAATTCGAATTAAAGTCTGGCTTGGCTTGGAGGTACGTAAACTGTAATCGAACCTTTTTTTTTTGTCAGGGGAAAATCATCAAAAGACCTCTCCCGCCCAGGGAAAGCGAGAGAGTGTCAGACTCTTACTGACTAAAACCCCCCCGTACCTTCTCCTGCTCTGCGCCGAGGCCGCAGTGACTCATTGTGCTTAAACCGCAACCCCGGCCGAACATCAGCGCTATAGGGCCCCGTCTGTGTTGATCTATTGGCTCTTTAAGAACTGTAATCGAACCTAGGTATATTAGATTTAATAGCAGAGAAAAGCAAGAAATAGTTCGCCGTATCAAAACATGAGCTTGACTTTGACATGAAGGAGTACACCAACATACAATACACCTCTTGTTATACTTTTCCAAGTTATGTCAGGCACGTCTTTTGTTTTAGATCTAAAATAAATAAATAACGGAGTTTGTAATTCTGTTCGGGATTTGTCGGGATAGCTACATTTATATAGATAGGGCTCTAGGTTATTAGGTAATTATCACTATGCATTTTTAATTGCGGAGATAAGCGCGTTAAACCAATCAAATAAACAAACTCTTCAGATTTTTAACATTGGTATAGGCTGACAATTTATTTTTTTCTAATTTACTTTTAATAAACATTGCCCCACACTAGGAATATCGTTTGTGTCGTGTGTACGTTTACAAACATATAATTTCACATACACATCACTTGCAAAAATTGTGGATCACACAGAGAGTAGAAGCAGCCGATTACCCAACCACTGCGCTAAACGTTCAGTCAAACTGGGTTTAAAGTCCTTTATTAACTTTGAAAGTGACTCAATGTGAGCCCGATAACACAACGTAATCTTGGTTAGAAGAGGTCCGGGGTCACTACAAGTACTTTCGATGTTTTCGCAGTCTCAATACTCATTGATATCAAATCTGTGTGACCAAAAATGTGACTAACAACCTTGACCTTAAAGTATAAAATTAAAAACATCAACTCAACTTTCAATTGTATAATAATAATCAAATATCTAAATAGAATTTACACGTGTAGCGTGTAGCGTAGAAACAAAGTTTTATCAAAAACTAATAATCAGTTTGATCTGTTTATTATATCATCATGATTTAGGTATCACAATTTGTATAAAAGGAATTAAAAATGAATGTATCAATGTACACACTGATAAGAGCTCACGACAATTCAGCGTGATACGACCCTAAACAATGACCTAGTATCAGACTTTGATACCAGACAACGACGGATAACAACAAAAATTAAACATTACAATTGATTGAATGAGAACTGACTCATACACATTAAATAAATATTATAAATACTGGAACCCGTTACACGAAAGAAAACGTGGATGGATTGTAACTAAAAAATTGAACTTAATAAATAGTAATAAAAGAGAAAAAAAAATACATTTGATTTGATTATGAGAGAATTTATTGATTGGTTTTGTATTTTTTTAAAAACAATTGGAGAACACAGGTGCTATGTTTTGCCCAAATGCGTTAAGAAGCATAAAAAATTACGTAGGTACTCATCACAAATACCATACCTTAGATGCTACCAATAATCATGCCATTAATCAATAATGGATTATGAGCCAACAGACCATTCCGATGGTGAGCAACGACAGGAACAGACGTTGGTTACCTACAAGGGTACTGCCGACCTTTGGAGTTAGAGACCTGATCCTGAAGCTTTGTGGAATATTATATGTAGATGGGTGAAAAGAATTGGGATGAAACAATTAATAGTTTCTCCGTACGGTTTTCTCTGAGGCCGTGGTGTCAACTCCGTTGATCAGAAACAGCTAAAACTATTAATTTTGTTTTGTAGTTTTAAACAAAATAAACGCACACAAACACGCTTTAGATATATTATTTGTAAAAATAAATTGATTAGGGAATAAAATAAATATCACCAAATAGTTTTCAGGGACATAATGTTTACTATTCACTGATAAATACAGCGGTATTTATTAATATTAATGGATACACATCATCACATCACATCACAAAACCTCATAATTATACATGATCTTAATTATTTTTCATACTTATATACAGTCAACCAAGTTCTTTGTTATGCAGGTAATAAAATAGAGATTCAGACAGTAGTTATTTTTATGCTTTTAACGAAGCCATTTCTTTTGTAAATAGTTATTTGTGTATGTACTAAATCAATCTTTATTTTCTCATCTGTATACCAATAAACTTAGTGGACTATTGTTCTTAATTTATTATTTTCTATTTATACATTTCTCTTAACAAATTTGACCTGCACTGGCCCATTATTCCTAAGTACGAGATCTGCAAGGAATACAATGTCGGATTGTTTCGTCACCGGTTTCAGTTCAAACTCACGAAGTACTGCAGCGGCAGCTATTTTCATTTCCAACATGGCAAACTTTTGACCTGAAAACATTGAGTTCATTTTACGCAATTCATATTTACAATCTAAATGTTGAGCAGTGCGTGCAGTTGCTGGATAGTAATCGTTGCAGTGTAACGAAATTGTATTTTGATGTATCCTTTATATTATTTTTCAGAGTTATTTTTAATAGGGGCTGTATTTATATGTATGTTTCACATCCATCTCCTTTTTGGGGTCACAAGATGTGTAATAACGTATTTCTTGAGGTACCTATCGCGGTCCGCGAAAGGCGAACGCGCGTCTCGGTCCGTTTGCAGTTTAAAGGACCATCCGAACACGATATATGAGGATATCAAGCCTGACGTAAACATCACTCATCATCAACATTAATGAATAACGACCTGGCTCAGATCAGGAGAAGAAATGAGGTGGATTTTCGAAGTCTCTCTTCTCGTCTTACCCTGGGAGAATAAGGTCATTTGATAATTATCCCCTTAAATACACACCTATACAGTTTCTAGGACCAGCACTAAACGGTATGTAAGCATAAGCATGTCGTCCTTCACTATTCTCTGGCAGGAACCTATCAGGGTCGAACACTTCGGGGTTCGGGAACAGATCCTCTCGATGATGCAAGTCATATATTGGTATATGGCATAATGTACCGGCGGGAATTGAGTGGTTACCTAAAAGAAGAAATATGGGTAAATCATGACCGAATTAAAAAAACATTCTGATATTATAAAATATTAAACAGACGCGTAACGCGTCAGATGTCAAATCATCAATCAAACCCTCAATCGTTTCAGCAATATTTCTATTATTTTCAGGCATCGAAAGCCCATAATATACAATACAAAACTTAAAAATACTAGTCATATTATGTTACATAATAACTATAACTAGCAGTAGGTAGGTTCATTATATGGATCAGTGTAACGATCGGATTAATTATTATAAACTGCCAAATTTAAAATAGTAGCCGGTCTATGTATATTACATGGTAAGTACAGAATTATCTTAGGTGGCAACAGATTCACTGTTGAACAAAGGCCTCCATCTTCAGAAAGTTGGCTTGGAAAAATTGGAGATGGCAGTTACGGAATAAAAGTAGAGTACGGTAGTGGATCCACCTGGAGGTGGATGGCGACAGTTTAGACTTAGGTGAATCAAATAGTATATAACTATTCTTATAATAAGCCAAAGCGAGATTATTAATTAAAGTATTGAAGAAATCAAACATACTTAGTATTGTCTCGTCATTCAGTTTCCGACTAATGAAATGTACAGGCGGGTACATACGCAGCGACTCCTTAATACATCGGTCCAAATACTTCATCTTTGGTAAGTCGTCCATACAGGCCCAACGTTTCGAGTCTCCAAATATATCATTGAGCTCATTTACAACTTTGTCCTGTAATTGATAATCAACATTATCATTTAAGTCGATGATCACGTACGTAGGTACTTTGTTAATCATTTCAAGGATTCTAGAACATGTTTTTAAATTGGTATTCGGAAGTGCTTCATATAATAATTCTGGTCCATATTTTCTTGATAATTTAAGGTATAATTTATTGTTAAGAATGAAATCTGATTATTGTGTAAGGTACTCTGGGGTTGCTGGTGTAACCGCAATAATATACCACAGCTCTGACCCGTAGCAAGAGAAAGAACGGAGTGGTTTTTAATCAGTAAGAATCTATTACTCCCTCGTACCCTTTCCAGAGCGGCAGAAGTCACTGTAATTAGTAGTTCTCCCCTGAACAATAAAGGTACATAATTGCGTACCTCAGTGCATCTATGTAGTAGGAGTTTTCAAAATTCGCCCAATAGAGCATTATACCTTGAATACTCTACTTACCTGAATTTCTGGATGATTGGCGAGCAACATAAATAAGAAAGTTAGTCCTGATGCAGTAGTATCGTGCCCCTGGAAGTAACAAAATGTCATTAGCAGTTTGATCCAGCTTAATCCAGTTATTAGAATGTAAGTACCTACTACGTATCGGTAGACTTACTTCAAACATAAATGTATCAACCTCTTCCTGTACACCAGTTTTATCAATGAGCCCTTCTTGTTCTGCTGATAGAAGGAGGTCTAACATAGCAGTCTTCTTCTTCTTCTTGTACACGTAGACTTCATCATCATCAACATTCTGGTTGAACATATCAAAACCATGTTCCTTTACATATTCTCTCCTTTTTCTTATAACTTTTTCAGTAAAGCTTTGTACTGTTTTCACAGCTTTATTCTGTTTCCGTGCAAGAGATGTAGCATTGAATATAAATTCGGGGTATAAGTAAATTTTAATGAATCTATGATAAAATATATTTCCAAGATCGTAAATTGCTTTTTTGTATGTTTTCGCTGTGGAGTGTTCATTCAGTTGAGTGCCCATTGCAGTTTCTGAAATTATTCTTTCACAATTAATTTTGTAGGTACTGTGTATTTATTATGATAATTTAAACAGAAATTGTTTTGTTTTATTGATTGGCGCCTTTTATTTTTAGATCTTTGACATCACTGTGTATAGACCTATTTTTACTCTCTTATTAAGGAGGCATCTGCTATGTTAATGAATCACACTATATTTATTGTGATAAATGGTCAATTAAATTGTTAGTTAACAAGCAGATATTGTGTATGACTATTTTCGTCGTTGTTGTTCAAAAATATTTTCAACTAGCTTTTGCCCGCGACTCCGTGCGCGTGGAATAGTGACTTCCTGCAGATTTTTGGTATAAAAACTATCTTATGTCCTTTCTCGAGCTCCACACTACGTCTGTAGGTACCAAATTTCACAAAAATCGGTTCAGTAGTAGGCGGGAAGAAAATACAGACAGTTACTTTCGCATTTATAATATTAGTTTAGATTGTATCCCAAATACACCAAACCTCTATTGTTCAATTTCTACGATATATAATTATAAAATTATGGACTTTAATTCATTCTTATTCGATCAAGAAAAATAAAAAAAGAACTGAACTATTTTAGGTGACAATATCAGGAAAAATAACTATTCCCGTGATAAGTCAGTTTTTAGGCCCGGTGTGATCATGAACATCATGGTTATGAGTAAATTATTTAAGGTTCTAACAATGATAATCAACTATACAATATCTTAGAGTACCTAATAGAAGGTTTTATATGTTGAATATATTAAGGCGAAAATGTACTATCTGATGTATATGTTTCAAGATGTGTCGTGGCGGGAAAGTAGCATATCAGTTTCATATTCATCATTATGGTTAATATCGTTTTGTATCGTGTCAAAACAGTGCTTTCCACGGCGTCAGAACACGCCTTGACACGATACCTAAGTTTCAAAGAGTTATTAGTTGGTTCAATAATGTTTACCCACCACAAATAGAATTAAGTGTGAATTCAGAAAGTATAGGCACCACATCGATGGGCTGTCCATCCGTCTTCTTTAACTGGTCTATCAACCGATGTGTATTTTCTTCTATAATGACGCAGAATTGACGCAATATGTTAAAATGAAAAGCCGGCGTTAAAATCTTTCTTCTTTCTTGCCATTTTGTACCTGGAATAATGACATAATTTCTTGTGATTAGCAAGGCAATAAAGACAGTATTCTTGAATTTATTGAAACAATGGCACAATTAATTTTCTTTTGCTAATAGGCCATAAAATGAGCGTACTCCTTCTTAAAAGGCCAGCAACGTGCCTGTGACTCCTGGTGTTGCAGCGGTCCATGGGCGGTGCCAATCATTTACCATCAGGTGATCCGTCTGCTTATTGCCTCCTATCCAATAAAAAGAACACTTTTACATTTCAAAATTCTTCTTATTGTTATGATAAGAACGCGACATTGTCTCTTTGCTCTTGTGGCCGTAAATACTTTACTTTCATAACTTAACAAGCGAACATCGGTGTTCGCGCATCCATTGTTCTTCTATTGTGCCTCGAATTCAAAGGTTAAATTAAAAAAAGTTAGTGTTAGTTAGTGAAAAATAATAAATAAGTATTGGTTTGACAACAACACATGTTTGTGTGGACCTTTGTTATTAATAAAATGCGCTAATAACAATACTTTTTACTTGTTTTGTTGTTACAATAATGTTATAATAGTTTTAGCTGTTCAATATACATAGTTTGGACGTTTTAATGTGACAGAAATATAAAGATAGAGAAGTTTTCATAAATTATTTTTCTACTTACATATATTTTAATACCACCATGAAATATTAGGGACATTAAGTTCAGTGTCTTTGCTACTTAAAAAAAACACGTTGTATAATCTGTTTCCAAGGCTGTTTTTAAACGGAAAACTTTAAAATGAGAATGAGGACAACGTGTCGTTTTCACGTTTTCTTAAAAATGTCTCTTAAACATTTGAAAGGAGCTGTGCAGAAAATTTTGGTTTTATGAGTTATTAAATACTAGCGACCCGCCCCGGTTTAGCATGGGTGAAATGCTGATCTTCCTCTTCAATAATTCTATCTTTTTTAATAGTCCGCATTTAAAACCATTGCGTAGTTTAGGATTTAAGATACAAATGTCTCATTGTCTCTGAATCCCTAGATTTCGGAACAGAGAAAGGAGTTATATATATTGTTTGTTTTTGTATGTCTTTTTTATTAACCAAGAAGGGTTTGTGTCTGTTTATGTTTTTATGTTTTTAATTGTATTTTTATAATGTTTTATTTAGTTAAATGCCTCACTAACGCATTGGATTAGTCTGTAATGTTAGTGTTAAGGATGATAAATAAATAAATATTTATAGTGAAATAAAAACGTAATGATACCTACCATTACTCAACAAGAGTCCATCTTGTAACCATGGCTGTAAAATTTTGTATACCAAACTTTTTTCACCGTATTTCATACTTGACATGACCACCTGAGAATTGCAGAAAATTTTAGTGTTCGAAGTAAAATCGGAAATTGACCAAGGAGGATGCAACACAGATACGAGTTAAAAACTACTGAAGGAAGCCTGCATTACAATGTAAGGAAAATTAAGGTTTGGTTTAGAAGCCATTTAGATAATTGTAATCGAAACATTTAGATTTACACTATATCAAGTCGTAGGGTGAAATGAGATGATAATAACTAAATCTGGGAAAATCTTTTTTTTTTCAATTTAATTGACTTTCATAAACAAGTCAACAACAGCCTATAATTGTCCACTGCTGAGCAATAGCTTCTTCTCATACAGTTTGAGCATTAATCAGCATGCTTGCTCAAGGCGAATTAGCGATTTCAAACTTACAAGTCCAGGTTTCCTTATGTTCTTCTTCACCGTATTTCAGTGTTGTCTAAATAATGATAGAAAGCGTACATGACTCGGAAAAGGTTATAATGGTACTTGCCAGGTTTCGTATCCGCACCCTCAGACATTCTTAATCAATTGAACTTACATAATATTTTATTATCTATGTATTATTATTCTATGAATAGGTACGTAAACGTAACGATATTTTTTTATTACCTCGATATCCTCCGGATTATAAATGACTACAGCAGAGAACGGATACACCCATATTCTGTATATGCCATTCCATTTCTTGGCGAATGTTCTTCCTAGTTTCATCAGCTCAACTGTAATAATAAGTGAAACAAAATTGATATTTACAAACTTTCACAGAATGCAACAGGAGGTCAGCATGGACTACACTACTACACAACGCGGGATTCGCTCCTATACGCAACAAATCTTTTTGTGATCCAAAAATTGTTCTTTCCTGACGTGGCGTGCACGTAAATATAAATGTTTGTTATAGCATCCATGATACTAAAGAAAATTCAAGCATAGCATGGATTTTTTAATGCATCCTGTTAATCCGTTCCCCTGTTTTTAGATTGCATAGATATATGTTTAGAGAGAGTCAAACGAGTCATTGTGTTGGACAGTCATCGGACTGGCCAATAACGGTTTCGTAGCATAAAGTGTCGAAGAGACATATTTCGGCACGAATAGGCTGACTCCACCAAACTCACACCATTTTTTTTATGAGGGGAAAATCATCAAATAACTTCTCCCGCCTTGCTCATTGCGCTTACCCCGCAACCCCGGCTGAATATCAGCCCTATAGGGCCCCGTCTGTGGTGGTCTATTGGCTCTTCGAGGCGCGCGCGGAACGCTACGCGCCGTACACTAAACTCACACCATGGCCTTACAACGTGAAACATTGCGTTCGTTGGGTTTAGTAATGTGTATGCGGTTACCGGAGGCCGAAACCGCACCCCATCCCAAATACTCCAATCCTCGAATCCCTAAACCCCAAAAGGCCAGCAACGCACTAGTATGTGCTCGATAGTAATTCCTGCTAATACAAAAAAAGAAAAGCGATAATGAGTTATCGCTTGAATGAGAAAGCGTCCAGAAAAAACCGGTTGTTAGAAAAAGCGTCGTTTAACATTACCTGGATCGCATATGATTCTAAATGCATTCCCTACAATAAAGTCATCCTTAGGTCCAGGCAGCTTCTTTATCATCCGAGCTCGTGCATTGTAATTCAGGAACAAATGTAGAACAACCAAAAATATTGTAAATGCACAAAAATACAACCACATTTTCGTCAACGTCCTTTCACATAAAACGCACAAAAGAGACTGATAGCTCTCAGAATTCGTAATTATGTAGTAACTAACAATGATATACTCGTGTGATATTTTACATATAAAAAATATACATTTACACACATAAAAAATGTAATCAATACCTACGACATTTTTTCTAGAAAAGAATTGAAGGTTTTCACTTGGCAACAAATTAAAGAAAATGTGTATAATTTAGCTTTCATGCCATGGCTGCGTACGCTGTGATGGGAGGTTGGGCTGAATTACTAAAATGGGAACATTGGTAGACACAATTCTCAATAATTTTTCTTTATACATATATGTAAAAATGGATCGCAAAATGTGTTGGTAAGCGCATAACTCAACAATGCCTGGACCAATTTTGTTAATTATTTTTTTGGTGTGTTTGTTATTGTCAGGAGAAGGTTCTTATCAGAAAATATTAGAAAAGTAGAAGGGAAGATTAGGAAAAAGTGACCCTTTGATAGGGAGATAGTTAGACCCGTGCGAAGCGGGGGCGGGCCGCTAGTTAACAATAAATGTTTATGTGTATATTGGGTAGTTTCCTGGTTCAATAATCAATTATTTTCAATTTATCAAAATACATATACTTAGGTAATCATATTTTCATTGATTTGACAATTGTAATAAATTTATGATTTTTCCTTATTAACTTTTTATAAAGTGAATATGCTATTTGACTTATGTATACGCACGTTATGTCGTCATATGCGCCTTGAAGGTGAAATTATTAGTATCCGGTAGGTAGGTGAAATTGTGATAACAATTAAAATAAAAGGATTATTTAAATATCTAGATAATTCATAATCATTTAATCGCGTATTACTATTTGCTTGGCCTTCATTGTAATAATATCATACATATTGACCCAAAAACAATAAAACAACGGTAGGTACACTTATTTTTAATACCATTATACTTATACAAAGGTACAGTCTAAATTTTTGCTATCATTCTCGTTTGACAAAATTGACGAGCACTGGACCATCATTCCTGAGTACTAAGTCAGCAGTGAATGTAATGTCGGAGGGACGCGTGACTGGTGAGAGGTGGAACTTCCTCAGGACTCTTGCAACTGCTATCTTCATCTCCATCATCGCAAACTTTTGACCTAAAACATTGAATAAAATAATTAGGCGCTAATTAATATACCTACCTTACATACACATTATGTAAGTACTTATCATGAGACTGATAATGTTAACGGGTTCGAGAAAGCATTTTACACTTTGATATTACATTTTATAGGTACTTTAATATTGAGATTCAATGTCACTATTATAAATGAGCAAACATTACCAATAATTACATATTGTTTACTGATACGGGTAAGTACTCTACTGATACTCATCCCTGTACGAGTGGGCCCTAGATTTAAAAAGTCCAAAGACGGCGAGTATCTATTGAAAAGTTCGAATAAGAAAAGAACCATTAAACATTATTTTAGTAGTAGTGACTGCACGGTTGGTGCGGCGGCTAGGCATGCCTGCAACGTGTCGCGGATTCGATTCCCCATGGAACAACTCTTTGTGTGATCCACAAATTGTCGTTCCGGGTCGGGTGTGATGTGTGTGTGAAATTTTATTTTTATAACCGCACTCACGTCACGGCACAGGAGTAAATCCTAATGGGCAACGTCTTTTTTTAAAAAAAATCTTTTTTTTTACTATGCAAAATAAATAAATTTATTCTATAATTACCTATACAGTTTCTAGGTCCAGCACTGAAGGGAATGTATGCGTATGGATGTCTGCCAATACTGTTCTCAGGTAGGAACCTATCAGGGTCAAACACTTTTGGATTCTTGAATAAGTCAGATCTATAATGCAGATCCAAGATCAGGATGTGACAAAATGAACCTGCTGGTATCTTGTAGTTACCTGAAAATCAATGGACTATTAAAAAAATATCAAAAAGAGAAAGCAATGAAATTGTTAGGAGATCATTAGATACAAACTAAGAACTGTGTCTTCATTCAAATTGCGGCTTATGAAGTGCACTGGCGGATAAAGTCGCAGCGACTCTTTGATGCAACATTCTAAATACTTCATCTTTGCTAAATCGTCCATCTTAATGGGCCGGTCTGTGTCTCCAAATATCTCATCTAGCTCTTCAATAATTTTATCCTGATAAATAATTTAAATATTTAAGTAGAGTAATTCATTTTCATTATGTTAATCATTTTCAATAAAATATTTTGGATAGGATATCGATTCGGCTTTAATAACTGACCTGAATTTTCTTGTGATTAGCGAGCAACATAAAACAAAATGTCAGACCGCTGGCGGTAGTGTCATGGCCCTGAAAAATGTAACCACATTCCACAATTATATAAGAAGTCGGTAAAAATAAAAAGTAAAATGAATTTCAGAAGAAGTCCAGAACAATAACTAACCTCAAACATAAAAGTGTCCACTTCTTCTTGCACACCAATCTTATCAATATGTCCTTCCTTCTGAGCGGACAGAAGTAAGTCTAACATTGCAGTTTTCTTCTTTTTCTTGTAAACATACGAGTCATCGTCGTCGGCCTCAATTATTAATTTATTCTTCTCGATGTATTCCCTCCTTTGCTCTATCACATTCTCAGTAAAGCTGTGCACAACTTTCAAATGTTTATTTTGCTTTCTTCCCAAGGGTGAAAGATTAAATAAGAAGTCTGGGTACAAATATATTCTGACAAATCTGTCGAAGAATACAGATCCGATGTCGTAAATTGCTTTTTTATACGATCTAGCAGCACTGTTATCGTCACTTAATTGAGTGCCCATTGCAGTTTCTGAAACAATAATAATAAATTAAATCGGTTAAGTAGCAGATGTGTTATGAACATAGTTAGATTTTATCGCCACACTTTGTAATTGAAAATACAAGTAAGTATGTTGTTGTGAAATGCTTGAGAGATATTATTTAAATGATGGCAAATGATTCATCTACTTTTCACAGTTAATATCTTTAACAAACGAGAAATCCAGACGAGATCTTCTCATCACAACGGTCAAACATTTGTTACTAAGTCAATAGGTACGCACCACAAATAGAGTTGAGGGTAAACTCTGAGAGCACAGGCACCACATCGATAGGCTTCCCCGCATTCTGCTGCAGCACTTCTAGGAACCGTTCGCTGTTCTCATCTAATATCTCACAGAACTGCTTCAGTATGTTGAAATGAAAAGCTGGAGTCAGAATCTTCCTGCGTGTCTGCCATTTATCTCCTATAAAAATAATGAATACAATACCGATATTATTGATTACGCTTTTCAGGGAAAAGAGCGAGGGTCATATGTACATACATAAAGCCGTATAATTTTTGTTACCCTTGGTGGGTTAGGTTAATCCTACAGAATATAACGTGTGATATCTAGGTACTATAAAAAAAAGTATAATTTACCGTTACTGACAAGTAATCCGTCTCGTAACCAGGGTTTCAAGAAATTGTAGATAAAACTTTTCTCGCCGTACTTCATTCCAGACATAATAATCTAAAAACATATTATATTATTTTATGTTTATTGAAACATTCATCGACTTATCTATATGACGATTTAAATAAATAAGTCACTGACCTCAATGTCCTCGGGGTTATAAATAAAAATCGCACCATAAGGGTAAATCCATACTCTAAAGATTCCGTCAAATTGGCTGGTATATTCTCTTCCAATTTTCATTGTCTCAACTGTACAAAATAATATAAGGATAGGTTAATAAAAAACATACATAATTAGGTTTAGCAATAATGATTGTAATTGAATCAAATATTGAAAAAAAAATAACGTCTTGTAAATCAATCAACCAATACTAACAAAGTTGCTTAATATGGTTATTAGTTTCAGAAAACTATTTATGTGATAAAAAAGAAATAAAAAAGAACTCCACTGTTCTTTTTTAAGTTTTTTCGGAATTGGTTGGAAGCTGGAATTAATAAGGGGGCACATTTTACACTATTTTTTTTTATCTATTTCAGTTTTTAATATTGTATCAATGTTTAAATGGTATTGTTACCTGGCGAACGAATGACAGTCCATCCATTGCAAACGATAAAATCTTCCCTGGGCCCGGGTATTTTTCTGATCATTCGAGCTTTTTCATTGTAATTAAACCAAATGTGAATAATGCACAGAAATATAACTATCCCTACTAAATAAAAGAACATTTTATGTAACGTCCTAATACACTGATGTTGTAAGTAAGACTGATAACAACTAGTATTAATTGTATATAAAAAATTATCATCAAATACAATATGTTCCAATATTTCATTTACGTTACTGAGATAAATATGAAAATAAATATACGATTACTTTAGTTAGTTATATTACATCAGTCATTAAATTGAGTTAATTAGGTTAGGTCGTAGTGCTAGACAAATAAATTAGCTGTGGTAGTCTATCGTATTAGATTAAGCGTATCTACATTCTACACGTAAATAAACAGAGATTATGACAACAATCTATACTGTCAATAACTTTTATGTTATGGTTTCCTAAAAATAGCCAAGTAAATGTCCGTTGTGTACAGAAACATAAGTAGACGAGTTTTAATCGAAAATTTTTAAAATATGCTTTTTAATTATCTTTTTATTCTAACTAATAGGTCGTTTTTGTTAAACAAGAATTTTCAGAGTTCACTAAAGTCGAAAGTGGAAGGATCCTACTCTACTTCTAGGCTACTGCCAAACAGTTTTCTGTTGTAATTGTCTATGCGTGATTAATCGAACATAATTGGTGACTTCATCAGATGATTGGTGCTGTTGAATTGTCTTCTTCTATGTGCGTTGCAGTGTATCATAATAGACCTAATATGTAAGTTACAAATCACAAGAAGTCAGACAAACAGGCGAACATTAGTTGGCTGAGTCAAGAGTGTGTTATAGAAAGCAGTAGATTTTGACATGAAGCGTAGGTATTATCCGAAAATTCCTTTTTCTAAAGTCCTCATCATCGGGGCTAGAATTCATTCTGGTATCTATGAGATAAGAACGATATTTCATATTTTAAAATCTTTTCAAAAATCAATCAATATTAGAAAAAACTAATGTTTCAAAAATGCTAATTACGTAAGACATCCGTGTAGATAACCCTGTTATGTCTATCACTTTCAGAATGATAAGCTGAAATAAAATACTGAAGATTTTTTGATAACCTTTAGACTTCACATATTATCAATATAATTTCTTTAACAATAAGTTGATAAACATCGCATTTATAATTTGTCTAAGGGATAAACACTTTCATTTTCTGTGTACTGTTATACGGAGATTGTCAAAAGTCTTTTTAAAAAAAATAGAATTTAAATTAAACTTGAAAATAAAACGAATATTGTATTTTGTAAGACAACCGTCTGGATTGGGATATGGATGTAGACTGGCGAGAGGTTGCGAGTAAGGAGGTAACTTGGAAGGAGAGGAAAGCGGAGTCAGGACTTAGTCAGCAAGTAGGAGTGGGAGCCTATAACAGTAGGCTGTTTGTATTATTAAACAAATAGGTAAGCTTCATGCTTAATGCCAACCTTTGGGAAAATGGGAAAATTGGGACTATATCTGACTAATAATCTAATAATAAAATAAATTATGTATTTCTACATTATTCGATGTTTCTTTTTTTAATGCCTGTATTATAAGAGGTAGGAATTATATTCAGTTTTTTATAAAAAGTTGGTTATGATAGCAGGGACGTATCTTCCTTACTTTCTCTTGCAAAATGAATTGAATATTGAGATCGTTGGGTTTGTTGGATCCTTTTATTACCGTGACGCGCTGCCTGATTCAATGCATTTAAATGAAGGCTTTTTTGCCTTTTTTTGTAAAAAAAGAGCACATAATATTAAATGCGAGTTTAGGCTATATTAAGAGTAATTTAATAATAGAAAGAATAATTTAATTATTGCCTAATACAGTGCATGTATCCACTAAGTAAGTAGGTAATAGTAATAATAGTGATTAAGTAATAAATAAATGCCTGTAATATAGGAAAGCAGTGAAATCAAATAAAAAAATAAGTATTTTAAGTCCTTATATTTCTAACCTACATAATTTATTTAACAACAAAGCAGTCCTTTATAAACATATGTACATACATATGTAGTTAAAGTTAGTAATCATTATTCAGTATCCGGCTTTATAATTCTCGTTTGACAAAATTGACGAGCACTGGCCCATTATTCCTAAGTACTAAGTCAGCAGTGAATGTAATGTCGGAGGGACGCGTGACTGGTGAGAGGTGGAACTTCCTCAGGACTCTTGCAACTGCTATCTTCATCTCTATCATCGCAAACTTTTGACCTAAAACAATGGTAAAACAATACAACTGTTAAGTACATTAAGGTCATTGAGGACATCAATTATAAACCCTGATAAAATAAACTTATCAATTTTGTATAGAGATTAAACCCAAAATAAGGCTATAGATTATCAAAATATTATATAATCTATATGTAGGTATATCATACAATTTAGCTGCCGCGTGTAAATTGTAGTATACTTCAATAGATACGGAGCTAGATTATCATAAATGAAAATATTTTAACAGAACTTTTAACACGAAATCTGTGTGGAAGACACGATACTAATGACCGAGGCAAGTTTCAAAGAAACCTGCAAGTTTAGAGATTAATCAAAATAAAAAAACAACGTTTGTAGTTAGTTACCTATACAATTCCTAGGTCCAGCACTGAAGGGAATATACGAGTAAGGATGTCTGCCGACGCTATTCTCCGGCAAGAACCTATCGGGGTCGAACACTGTTGGGTTGTTAAACAAATCTGGTCTCAAGTGTAAGTCCGAGATTAAGATGTGGCATAAAGTTCCAGCCGGTATTGTGTAATTACCTGAAATTTTATAAAGAAGTCAGTAACATCACTTATTTTAAAAAAGGCTACGATTTGTAGTATATGAGCCTACTTAGAACTGTCTCTTCGTTTATATTGCGGCTTATGAAGTGCACTGGCGGGTAAAGTCGCAGCGACTCTTTGATGCAACATTCTAAATACTTCATCTTTGCTAAATCTTCCATCTTAATAGGCCGGTCTGTGTCTCCAAATATCTCATCTAGCTCTTCAACAATTTTATCCTGAAACATTTGTATGCATACATTGCTCTTAGTGGAAGTGGAACTTATTATTAGCTACAAATTATTTACTATGTTCAGTCACTAACCTGAATTTTCTTATGATTAGCGAGCAACATAAAACAATATGTTAGACCGCTGGCGGTCGTGTCATGGCCCTAGAATAATAAAAAACAGCATATAGTACATAATGACGATACTGTTACATTTCACAACAAAATTTGGATGAACTCTAACCTCAAACATAAAAGTGTCCACTTCTTCTTGCACACCAATCTTGTCAATATGTCCTTCTTTCTGAGCGGACAGAAGTAAGTCTAACATTGCAGTTTTCTTCTTTTTCTTGTAAACATACGAGTCATCATCGTCGGCCTCAATTTCTTCATTTATGTTGATGCCATTCTTCTCGATGTATTCTCTCCTTTGCTCTATCACATTCTCTGTAAAGCTGTGCACAACTTTCAAATATTTACTTTCCCTCCTTCCCATTGGAGATAGATTGAAAATAAAATCCGGGTACAAATATACTCTGACGAATCTATCGAAAATTAAACATCCGATGTCGTAAATGGCTTTTTTATACGATCTGGCAGCACTAATGTTGTCGTCTAATTGAGTTCCCATTGCAGTTTCTGAAATCAAATTATTAACGTGAATCGACAACTGCAAAGCGAACATATGACGCTATCACAATACAACAAAAAATATTTTGCATCGGTGTGCTTAAAGTTTAAAGTTTACAGAGTTTTCAATTTAGCTGTTGTCATTAGTATCACAATGTAAACTTTTTAAACTGTAAGCAGTATGAAAAACGACTTAAAACATATAATGAGATACCTAATCAAAACATGGAAAGGTACATACAAAAAGGTGGGCTTAGTTTACTTATCTTATAATTATATTAAAGTACTACTGATAGTTGTAAAACTTTCCTATAAAAAAGACAGTACCTAATCTTATGTTTAACAAAAGGGCAAAGCAGATAACGTAGGTAAAGCAAAGTTCATTTCTTTTAACAAATGCGTAATTAGAGCGAATTGTTTTAGCAAACACGTGACATAGGATAGGGTATGAACGATGTTTTCTATACTTATATACTTAATACTACAAAGAGGCAAAATTTCTTTGGAACCGCTGGTCGGATTGCCAAAATCCTTTCACTGATAGATGTTCCTGAGTGCTATTGACGCTACGATTAAATGGAGCCGAGCAGCGGGAGAAACCGCGCGAGAGTAGCTAGTTATTATTTTAAGTGATATAATATGAATGACTATTTTCTATGAACTTTAATTTAATCTCAGGCTGCTTGTCAAGTCAAATACGATTTCCACTTTTCTTCATTTAAAACGGTAATTCGATTTTGAAATTTATTATGATTCTCAGGACCTTCTATCGGTTCGATGTTTTATGTTGCGATGACAGTTGAAAACATCATACTTGCAATAAAACATGGGATTGCATATTAAAAAGGCACTCAATACACTAAAGTTTATGAATACATACCACAAATAGAGTTGAGGGTAAACTCTGACAGCACAGGCACCACATCTATAGGCCTCCCCGCATTCTGCTGCAGCACTTCAAGAAACTTCTCACTGTTCTCATCTATAATCTCGCAGAACTGCTTCAGGATGTTAAAGTGGAAAGCTGGAGTGAGGATCTTTCGGCGTGTCTGCCATTTTGCACCTAAAAAATACATAATTATTTTTGTTAAAAACCGCCATCATAAATATTGCAAAAAAAATGTTTTATAAAGTTTTCATAATTACCGTTACTAACGAGCAAACCATCACGTAGCCAATTCTTCAAGAAATTGTAGACAAAACTTTTTTCACCAAACTTCATGCCCGACATGAGTATCTAATAAAAGAGTAATTTGATTTTATAGAATCACTTAAGATAATAATTATGTTTATTTTAATATCAGAAAGCCACTAACCTCAATATCCTCAGGATTGTATATGAAAATCGCTCCCATTGGGCAAATCCATACTCTGAATATTCCATCAAATTCTGTACACAATTGTCTTCTCAATTGCATGGTTTCAACTGTATTATAAAAAAAAAAAAATATTTTAAATAAGTATTTAATAATTTGATTGCTTCTAAATTTACTAGCTCATCGCTTGTAGCCTTACTTGATTTTTTGCTATAATAACTTTTTTAATAAAAAAATATTTTATCCTTAAAAGGAAAATGTTATTTTTTCTGCTAATATACAAAATTGTACAGATATAGGCACTGAGAGAATTTCCTGAAATTTCCCTTTAACTATTATACTAAAACGACTTTGAGTTTTCCTTATTGATGTGACCTATTAATAAAATAATTGCATATAATTAATAATAAACGTTTATTAATTAGCTCAAAGTTTCCACTGCATGTAATATTACATTTAATAATCAATAAATCTATATTTATAATTAGTGATCGTAATACACAGATATAAGGACAGTTCATGATCATCACCATTTTATCCTTTTTATGTACCTATAATATAGTATTAAGCTATATATATATTTTTTTTATAGTCACATCAAAAAATGAACAGCACTTCCGTAACATTGATCCATAATTTACCTGGAGAACGTATAACAGTGAATCCATTGCCAATGATAAAATCGTCCCTGGGTCCTGGGATTTTTCTAATCAATCGAGCCTTTCTGTTGTAGTTTAGCAAAATGTGGACAGTACACAGAATGATAACTGTTATTACTAAATACGCGATCATTTTGCATAACGTCGTTAGGCAATAATATTGAAAGCACTACTGATTATTTACTGAATCGATGTATTGTTTATATCGAGTACTTTATCAAAATAATTCACCATATACCTACGAGTAGTACCTATCTATAATTATTTTAATAAATGATTAACTCAGTACTAGATAAAGATCCTTTGTATGTGAATTGAAATTATTATGCAAGATGATTTTAGATGTTCATGTTCTTGTTACTCTGTGTAATTTAATAAAAGATAAAGATTAAGATGGATAAAGATGATTTTGTTTTTTTTTTTTTGCAATTTACAAACAAGTAAGCAGTTCCACAAGTTATAAGTTCCAAATCAGTTCATTAAAGCACGTTTTTTAGACCGAAGTAGGACCGAAGAACATATGTTGGGCAGGAGTAGATGTCATAGATCCGGTTCCAGCACAGTAAGTACCTATAATCAAATCTCCATCAAGTGTCACAGCACTTCTTTAAGTAAGAAAAGTATCGTTTTTGACATTTGGATAAAAGTAATGCATTTGACTAGTTGGAAACTACCGTTTTCTTAACAAAAAATATCATAAATGTTCTCTGATTATAGACTCCATTCACAGCCATTTTTGTGCATTGTGAGATAATCTTAATCCTTTTATTATAAATATAATTCCGAGCAAAGTTCGAGGTATAAGCTAGTAGTATATAATAGTAGGTATATATAGTTCATAGACTAAAGAAAGAAATTTAATCGATTGACTAATAGGACCCTGGGCCTAAGCCTAAAATTATCACATATCTATGAATATATAGATTTGATAATTAAAATAGATATTATTTAAAATCAAACATTACCTTTTTGCTTTTATCGCTTACTCTACACGTGTTAGTATTTTTGTACTCGATATCTTTTCTGGATATTAATTTTTAGATTACAAAATATTTACCTAATTATATAAATATAACAGTATTTTATAACTATAACAAACTGCATTTATAGACTTATGACTAGGTAAGTTATAGATACATGTAGTTGTATTGTTTGAGATCGGAAGGCCAGGCAAAGTTCAGTCTTTGCCCAGTGTTTGTCATCATATCGAGTTATGGATTTTACACAAACACATATCATAGTAGATATATATATATTTTCATTTTATGGAACTTCAAACTTAATTTGAATTTTTATGATATAGCAGGTAAACGAACAGGATTCTAACATGTTGGTAAATGTTTAATACTGCCTATACCTAATAACTCGCGACACATGAACGGGGTGGTTTTAGTCACTTCCAAGAAAAGTGTTGTTTTCCCCCATCAAAAAAAAAAGGTTCATCGTCCATAGTTGAATGAAGACAAACAACTTATTTTACACTGCTTTTTTAAATTATTTAAATAACATTTAGACTACAACTTAGCAAATGATAAAGATTCAGAAGAAAAAGTATAGGGAGTAATTTCTATAAACAAAAGGCAATGTTGTTTGTGAAGAGTCAGACAATATATAAATAAAATGAGTCAGGACGCGATAATGTGGCTACCTACGCGTTCTGAACGATGGAGATTGTTGATTTAACTACCATATTTTGCAGACATTAAATAAACAAAGGAAAACTGGTGTATGATAAGATATCGCCTGACGGGAGTATGGTAGAAAAAATATATAAATTTATAGCAATTCACATCGTACAACGCCAATATACGTCGACTAACTAAAACAAATCTCATAAGCAGACATGGCACTTTGATTAGACTACTTAAGAACATCGCAATAATGATCACGAATTGTACACCATCACATAGAGCATAATGCAGACTAACTGCTTCACAGTTCCTACGTGCAACGTACGCCCATCTATTAAAGTTTTATGTCATTACTTTGCTTCATGAAAAACTGTTACATCGATTTTCCGCTTTACTAAGCCTAGTATGCCCACTGTGACCTGCCACTCGTAGTACTCCACTGCTACGTAGATTCTTAGCCATAGTACACCTAGTAGCTAGGAGCACTACGAGTAAGTATATTCTACTCAGTATTACGCGTAGCTACTTGAAGCGTTTGGTACTACGAAAACTTAACGCTATACTACCCCTTACTTATTGAGGGCTACGTTAATCCTACGCTGTACTAAGCCCAGTTGCTTCAGCGCTACGCGCTTTCGCCCAATATTAAATTGGGCACTCCAATCCAATCCTTATATTAAAGTATTGTTTAAAGAGTTACGCCTCTAGGGGCACAAAAAGGTATTTGCCGCTATCAAAAGTAAATTTCTTCAAGATTTCAATATAGTTTTTTTTTACTAGCCTGTAATGTCCCACTGCTGGGCAAAGGCCTCCCCATCTCGCTTCCACGCCTCCCGGTGGTTAAATATTCAAAAATAATCGTACTTCATTGATAGGTTTCACGATATACCTACTTAATTTTAGATTATTACTAGCAGACCCAGCCACGCGTTGCTGTGGGTAAGGTAAATAATATTGTGACTATAAATTGAGATGTAAGCTATTCCATCTTTCAAGTTGGATCAAAATGCACACGGAATGCAAATCAAATTTAAAATCGGTTTAGCAGTTAAGGAGTCCATCGCGACAAACACGTGACACGAAATTTTTATATATTATGCCGGTTGACCCAAAAAAAGATGACGTCACATTTCAGTTTTCCATATCAAACTCATTTAACAGTTTAGTTTTTGATATTACAATAAAAAATTGACTAGTTGTCAGTTACCTTATTCTACGTAGTGCTACGTCCTAGGGGCCCTAAACAACTACGCCTATTCCGCGGGTAATACGAAACTTCTATGCATACGCATCGTCTTACCTACTCCTGCTACACTTTCTAATCCAACAGTTTACCTAATTATTGATTGATACATTCAATCACAATGCAAATATATGTATTATGTTTCTTTTACTTATTTTTTTTTTGTAAGTATCTGTGATGTTGCTGCTTTAGAATTAGTTCCGTAAATTTAATTTTTTAGTAAAATAAAATCTAAATATAAATTTTATTTCAGGAAGCAACCTTCAGATTGTCAACTATGTTTTAGTGCGAAGACTCTCGATGTAAATAAAGTAGCGCCTGTCATAATTTCTGAGAGCAATCTATTCAATCGACCTTAATTGCTTACAGTGTAAGCACATCGCAGCGTGCACTCGACCAGTAGAGGCATAAAACTATCTATTTATAGAGAGCAGTTATCGGCTTCAATGCCAATTAAAATTGTGCCGTCAATGATTTTACGATTTTGGATGATGCATGGATTTGGATGTATGTTTGTTACTCTTTAACACAAAAACGCTTGGACTAATTTGGTTGAACTTTGGTATTGGTATATAGGTAGAAAGGTATTGGTAGTTAGGTGATGGTCTAGATTAACACATAAGCTTTTTATCAACATACCATGCAGAGAAAGCCGCGGGTGGAAGCTAGTAATATATATTTTTTGAACATATTCCAAACTACAAGCGTTAGGTATTTCATATTACATGAACTTTTTCAATTTTAGGTATTGTACTCGTACATACTTACCAACAACACCTGTTCGCCTTTTAATTAAAATCGATCAACGATAAGACTAAAAAGTTATCTTGTATTAAGGATCAACCAATCATCAGATATTTATATTTTATTAATAATTTTATCTATGCCCCTATAAGTGCATACGGAAAATTTTTTGACCATTAACGACTACGCTTGCTCAAGATGGAAAGAGCGACTTCAAACTTATTATAAGAATTTATATGACCAGGATTTCATACGATGTTTTCCTTCACCGTTTGTTAGGGGTATCTAAATAAACTTATTAACAACATACACTTAATTCAGAAATAAACTATTATTTCTTAAATACAAGATAACTAATATCTTTGTATATTACATTTTACCTTAAATAACCATATCAACTTATCTGGTTTGCTTCAGCCGGCTCGGTTATTGAGACTGACGCCTATCCCTTGTCAGTGGCATTTGTATCCTTAAGACAAAGAAATTATCTGAATACATGTAAGCGATAGAAGAACTTTCGTGACTGCAACTTTATTAAACAGCTTTATCATATATCTAGAAACCGTAGAACACGTATTAGGTACTCAGTATAAATGATATATACCAGTGGCGCCGCAATAATATAAAAAACAAACCTCTTAATTATGGAACTGAAGAACTATCTATTGATTGACGCACGAGGCTAATAACAACAAAAGGAGCATTATTGATTGTCATTTGTAGGCATGCACATGAACATAATATATTGTTCCAGAGTCCATGTCATTTATTTCTATGCTTATGATATTCCTCTGTCTATTGCGCTATGATTATTTGCATGGATAGTTTCGGGGAAAATAGGGCAGTTAACACTGAAGTACCATTTACATTTTACAGGGTAAGCAGTAGAGCTACCACTACTACCTCAACCAGTCGGCTTAAAAAGATTATTGAAGAAGGAAAAATTGCTCTGAAACCCGCAACACCAGAGGAGTCGCAAGAGGTCCTCCGGTAACCTCACTCGAACGGCGAAACGCAATGACGTGGTTGTTTCACGCCGGTTTCGAGTTCGTAGGATCACTCCGGTCGAGCCGGCGAATTCATGCCGAAGCATGACTCTCCCAAACTAAGTGGTTCAGGGAAATAAGTTATCAATATTTATGTAACAGTGTTTATATGTTAGTCTCGTGTTCAAATTTTATCTTATGTATTAGATATGATGCTGGTACTTAATCTATCTCAAACTCTTGAAAATAAGCACAACAATTCAAGGTTGCTCTGCTATCTTGTAATACTGTTGTAGTGACGAGTTACACGAAAATAATATACTGTCATCACTAAACATCCACGTTTAGATAATGCCAGTTCGTCAAAAAATACGATATCATACGTGTAAAACTAAACGAATACTATGGGGTTCAAAGAATTTATTTCATATAACAACACATATATTGTTCACGTAAATGAGATACTTCTCCTGGTATGTACTTATCCTATCATTATTTTGGGAATGTTGGTTAACCTATAATTGGCAACTGTGTAAGTCCTAGTAATGTAAAAAAATGTACTTTAAGTGTTATCTACACAGAAGCTGTTGGTAAACCTTTTTATTAAATAAATAAATAAATAAATAGATACAATGTTCCTTGTGTACATTTGTTTTGTTTCAAAGAAATTTATAATGTATGAAAATGGATCTTAAGTCTAATTTTAAATGCCTTAATGTTATTACAGTTTTATGTCATCAATTGATTGTCCTGATAATAAATACACATTTATTAAAATTAGTTATGAATAGAGTCAATACTTTTTTCTAAAGGATTTATTCTAACAATGTATTTTATCAAAAATAGATAAATTTTTGATACTGAACAAAATACTTTTTTCTGAAAAAACAAACATTTTCGTTTATGGCAATCCTAAATCACTTTACGTCATAGAAAATGTCACAACAAAAGATGTACAGAAATCAACTGTGTGATTTAAGAATTACATAATTATAATTGAAAAAAATGGATCAATCTATGTCAATAAATAAACACGAGATTGGCACAAAAATGACTTTGCATAAATAATTTAATGACAAAACCGTAATATGAAACCATATCGCCGATCAAATAAAGTGTTTATGGTCGAAGTATGATCAGTGTAATCATTTTTAATTAGTTTTAGATTAATCTTTTCCCTATTCCTTTTTCTACTAGGAAGACTTACTGAGTCCTTATTGGATTCGACTGAATGCCATATATGATTATGTACGACATAGCTGCTTCTTACCCTGAACAGCCTCCTTGGTAATATAACATCTAGTTATGACAATATACGGGTTTTTTGACCTCCCCGTGTGAACTGATTGCCACAGACAACTGAATTTCATTTTTCCCGAACTCTGTTAGCAAATAGAAGTAAATCAACAACACATTGCGATGCGGTGGCTCCTCTGGAGTTAGGAAAGTATAAATTGGCTTAAATAGAGAACATAATAAGAACTTAGATTTATCTACTTTTCTGATCTTTAAATTCTGCCATTTGAGAACCAATTTACTAAATTATATTTCTAGCAGTTACGCTCCGCGTCGGGCCTGGGTCGTGTGCGTGTCCTGGCGAGGGAGTTCGCCAGCGACGTGCACTCCCTCTGGCGGTACGGAGCGCCGTTCCCCACATTCCTGAAACTAATCGGCACCCTGATCCTCTGTCTCCTCGTCGTACTACCACTTATCTACCCAATCTTCGTCGTCGTCATCTCGTACTTCACATGCGAAAGTTTATTTCTAAGGTGAGCCCTTTTTTTATGTTTCCGACTTCATTTGCCATCATCGTCTGGATGTATCCCATGATAGATAGCTAGACGGTATTAATTTGAATGGACGATGGATTTTGCTGGGCGCTATAATAAGAAATACTAAAAAGAAAATAAATCTTTGAGGCCCCAATGTTAAACATTTATTTTATTTTCCCAAACACCAAATTTGACCAAATATGCTTTTGGTACGGAACAACTCGTACTTGAGCCCGACTCGCAAATGGTCGGATTTTTTTATTAAACTAAAGTTGTTACAAATGTTTTTATCCCTTAAGGTTGGTAACAAGATCCTATTACATTTAATAAATATTTTTCCATACTCATTGCTTGTCACACATAGACTTCCTACAAATGTTAACAAAGAATGATGTTAAGGATTCCATTACTCTGACCAACAATAAGAAACCTGCGCTATTTACCTGAACCATGATCCTATCACGATAACATACATAAGATTAACTTTCACAGCTGGTGGCTGGACCAGCCGGGGCGGTTCCTACCAATGCCGATAGCGCGCCGAACTATCTCCGCTGGGTTCCAACCGACCAGCGCAGCTGATGTATGGAAAGTGCGTGAGGTGCTCACACGTGGTATCCTGCTCACACACTCCCTGGCAACCTCCGTCGACTACCTGTGCGTCATGCAAGGACTCCTTGATGAAGGCTAAAGAAACTACCTACGAATATAAAATATAAAATATAAGTAGGTGAATTATCAAATAGGCTTTTTGAAAGTCCTTTCCATGATATTCCACGGTAATAAATTGTAAAGATGATCTCCTGGTTTTTATTAGAATCGTATTCACTTCTTTCATTATGCATACTAACACAATTGAGACTCTTATTCTGTTATCAGATTTACTGGGAAATTGGTTTTGCTCGTAATGAACATGGAAGGAAACAATTATTTTTATGTGATTAATTTAATGCATTAGGTAAGTCCTGCCTGAGAATTCGCCTCTGAGCATTCTTTTTTGAAAAGTGAAAGTATTCGTTATATCAACATTTAAATCTTGGCAAAGGCAGTATGTAGGTACTGCCATTGTGTAAATATTTTGGTACGCAGTTCTATAACCACAATGTCACCGTACTAAAAGCAAACATACTTAGTTCCATCAAAAAGTTCTGAAGGAAAACACGTTCATAACATTTCTAACAAAAGTGATTGAGTGAATTATTGTTAAAGATATTGTTCATAAAGTTAATAACTATCCGCAGAGCTGTAATTCACCAAATTTACATACCTATACCTATCTGAAAAAAAAAACATTCTGATACAATCCTAATCTGATTGTTTACTACCACCAAGTTTCTCGAGTTTATAATTTAAAGTCTTCAGAACAACTGATATAGTATTGACTGTAGATTTGTTGCCAAGGAAAGTATCATGAAACAAGTTAATCCCTTGTCAATAAACCACACCTAGAGGGCTATCTTCAGAATATCGGTACTTGATTTATCTCACCGACAATGATTCTCGGGGCACTTGACAAGCTAACCTGTGTGGTTGGTGTCGGCTAGAGAGCAGTTCGTCGGAGGAGTTCGACGACGCGACACGGAATAATGGCGATGCTGACTTGGACCACTATTGGGCTGCTGGCGCTCTGCCACTCGTAAGTCAACCTATTTGTAATGATAAGTCATATCTGATCTATGTTTTTGGTTTTAGAACATTTTATTATAATTTCAAAGGTCAAGAATGAATTTCAAGGACGTATCAAACAGGTATACCTGCACAGTTCTTGATGGGACGTTACACCTTTCACATATTAATCGACTGATTATTTAGTCGCCGCCAAACAGCGATACAGAAATGAATCAGGTCTGCCAACCTCTTTCATGTACAGTTACCTTGCGTTCCACTTTACTTACAGTTAGAAGTTTAGCTTTTTTGTCCAAAACAATTTTGCATAATTTCGTATATCTACAGATTCGTTTATTGTACCTATTATCAAATTAAAACGATTAAATGCATTGTAATTTGGATAACTAATTTTATCGTTCTATTAAAAGGCGCGAAATTTGAATTGGAATTTGCTTTACGTACACAGATTATAAATGTTTAGTATGTTCAAACTTTACAGGGTAACTATTTTCAAGTTTTCGTTACAGCACTAAACTACAGCCTTTCTAGATATAAGTATATAATTTTATCATTGATTAAAAATGTTAATTGCTTATCATAATTATTGTTTGACTGTCTGCAAAACATATATGAGGATAAGTAACTATTTTATTTGATAGCACGTTCAAGGCCTGATCAAGGTTAATGTCACATAATACCTATCAGCCATATTAAATAATAATTACCACTTTTTATTATCAGTTTACTAAAATAGTATTATTATAAGTAGGTATTATATTATTATGAGGTCAATGTCTTCCACTAGGTACTATCTGTTTACATTAGGACTTCGTTTAATTATATTACTATCAAGTACAAATGCGTAATAAGTTAGCGGAAAATGTGTGTATAATATCTCTAATGAAAATATCCATAAATCTGAACATTTTAATTAACAATTATTATCTTACCTAATATTATTATATAAATATATTCAAATATTTTGGTGTACTAAGTACTACAAAAATCTTGAAATGAACATCGGAACTTTGGATCATTTCAAATTAAATTAGAAAACGGTTAGTAGTTGTATTTTTTATCTTTCAACGTTTGTTTATGTTGCAGTTAAAAATCATAAAACTACAAATATTGTAGTTAAAATATCAAATCGCCCTTAAGCTGTTGAGTACCTAAGTAAATGTAACGGCAACATTACAATTTTCCTTTTTCACAATACCTACATGTCTAAGACCGGCAACGCACTTGCAAGTACTATGGGTGTGATATAATAAAATAGTCTTATCCCGCCTAACCGTCTAAGTCTATTTGAATTTTAGATTACATGAAAAATAATGCTATTTTCTCAAACTCCTCAAGTGACCTATCATCCACCCATCATTCAACTATATCTCATTGTTGTCAAAGATCCTCAAGTGGATGTAGATAAGCCACAAACACGCAATAAACATACTCGTTATATCTATAACAGGCTCCGGAGCCCTTCTCTACCTAAAATACTGGTAACGACTTGCGCTGCAAGCCTTTTGGGGGTTATTTAAGGCTTGTGCCATATAAATATTCGAATGGGGGAATCGAAATGGGTTTGGGCCTTCGGTAACTCCACTCAGTCGGCACAACAGAGTACAAGTGATATTTTATGCCGATTCTGTGAGTTCTGCTCGTTTTGTTCAGACAAGATGCTCACTATGAAAATTGTCATGAAGGCAAAAAAAAACTCATAACAATTTGATCACATTATAAATAGGTTATTCTGTTGTCGTTAAAACTTAATCCGGCATTTGACTTGCATACCTAGACTACATCAAACATTGCAAAATAATCACGTTCGTACCCCAATCACGAGACCAAACGCTCACGAACGGATTCTCTCCTGTCTGAATTATAACACATAATATTTCATGTTACAGGAGCACAGCCTACACTAAATTCCCACCTGGGTTCACGTTTGGCGTAGCGACAGCTTCCCATCAGATCGAGGGTGCTTGGAACGTCAATGGTGAGTTCATCTTCTATTCACAATCCTTTAATTAGTCCACCTTCTATGACAGATATTTTTACAGGCAATTTTGTTACAGAAACGTAGAAAATTGTACTCTGAGTACAGATAAGTAGTTTTACAGTTTCATTTCGTCTTTCTAATCTTTTAGTTATGCGACTAGTATTCAACTAGAAACCAAACTTACTTTACACAAACAACAACTTCAAATACCACGTTTGACTGAGTTCGGAAAAATCATTTGGAATACTCTCCGCAACTCGAGAAGAGACACGAGTTTTCTGAGAACGAGACAGTTTATTTATCATAATCAAAATCTTTCGCAAATTAGTACATTACAAATACACAATGACACTAATTTCAAAGTGACGTCATTTCATAACAATACCTAAATGTTGATTTTGACAGTCCTTAACTCTGGGTGATTGGATAAGTAATTTAAATGCGGCATAATTGCGATTTAATTGTTTTTTATTGGCTAGTTACTCATTAGATAATGGTGTCCTCGTTCGCAATGCCCAACGACCATTGCTAAAACATGTTTGTTTTTACGAATGGACTGATGAATAGTTAAATGACAATACTACGAGTAAAAAATGGTGTACAATTTATGCAAGGACGTTAGTATTATGCTCCTATGGTATAGACGTTCTCCGCGTTCTAAATTTTTATTATCTACTCAAAATGTACTCGTAACAAGTAGTTTTATTTCATCACCTTAATCGCTACACAAACCACCGACGAAGAACGTTAGCGGAGGACTTGCTTTCTACCTTTCAGTGCTAGTTTTTTAATATGAGAGGGCACCTTTTTGAAACTTTTTTTTGAAACTTTTCAGACCGGGTGCCCTGAGTGGGACAAAAGTTTCAAAAAAAAGTGAATACTTACAATACAAGAAAAATTATTAACTGAACCAATAAAACAGAAGCGATATAACCTAGGTATCATTGCTATGATAACCCTTATCATATAGAGAAAGGCATGGCTAGGTACGTATAACAATCAGACAGACACTCAATCAAAAACTATCTGTTAACATAAATATGTGATATTCAATATGACATATATGAAAAATATGAGATATATTTGTCACTTTGGACTTCGATCATAACTTATGGGACTTGAATCATAATTCGGCCTTGTTAATCAAGTGTTCCTCTTGATACAGCATCTCCCTTCACAAGGTGGGCTTTATAATGGTGCAATGTAAGGTCAAGGCATTAAAGAGAAATAAAAAAAACTGCAACCCGCATCACCAAAGAACTTACAGGTTCATTGCCAACATTTTGTGGGCTCTTAAGGAGCCGTAAATTGGGAATACGGGAGAAGGAAAAGGCCTGCGAAAATCGTAATCATATGACGAAACACAGCAAGTGCTGTTTTTTCTGTGAGACTGTGGTATGACTACGGTCGTGCCGACCCATTCATACCGAAACATGGCTCTATCGCTGTTGTTTAAGATGTTCAAGTGTTTGGCAATAGTATTCCATTCTGTTAAATAAATGAAACCAATATTAATTATAACAAAGGCATCATTCAAAACTAGACAGTTATGTTTATATAGCTTACATACTAACATATCTATAAAGACATGGATGTGTATGATGTTATATTATGTATCTATTACCTATACAAATTAATGTCATCAGAACAATTTTCCAGGCAAATCCGAAAATGTCTGGGATCGCCTATCACACACGCGCCCCGAGATGATCGCTGACGGTACCAACGGAGACATTGCCTGTGACTCCTACAACCGTTACCTAGAAGATGTAGAGGAGCTAGAATACCTTGGTGTGGACTTCTACCGGTTCTCTTTGTCTTGGGCCCGTATCCTGCCTACTGGCCGCATCGATTACGTCAACCCTGACGGAATTCGCTACTACAATGATCTTCTTGACGCTTTGGCTGAGAAAAACATCGAACCGCTCGTAAGTTCATTTTGCTATAGACTTCAAAAACAAAAATATTCTTGAACATAAATATATAAATTATTCGTGGCTTGTCCATGAGTTGGGTATAAATATAAGCAGGTCTTATTTCATTTTTTCTGGTTTCAAAATGCTGGCATTTGTCGTAAAAAAATTTAAACACTATCATAGACAGAAGTAAAATAAAACTCTTATGTCGTTACACTTTTTTGGTGTTGTATGGCCAGTTACTTTTGTAAATAATTCTTTACTTTACGTTGGAAACGATTTTTGCTTATCTGTCAAAAAAATTGACGCAAAGCCATTAATCGTAAAAAAATTGAATACAAAAAAAACTAAATGGCATCTGCAATTATGTAGATACAGCCAGTGTGTAAGTGTGATAATTTTAAAAAGGTTTTACTAAATTAATAATATTTGATTATTTAATTTTAAAATATTTTGTAGTAAAATTTGTCTATAATACCAAAAAAAAACTATTTTATTATGATGTGCTTCAATCATTTTGTAACATTAATTAAATAATTGGTTTGAAGAATTAACATTACCTATGACGCTTATTAGATAACTATAATAAACAATTCCTAATGTTGTATAGGTGACCCTGTTCCACTGGGACCTGCCGCAAACATTGCAAGATCTTGGTGGCTGGACGAACCCTAAGATGATCGACTACTTCCGTGACTATGCTGATCTGTGCTTCAAAGAGTTCGGAACCAAAATCAAGTCTTGGATCACATTCAACGAGCCTTATGAGATCTGCGAGGATGCTTACGGTGATGAGAAGAAGGCTCCAGCCGTGAACAGCCACGGTGTTGGTAACTACCTATGCAGTGACAACTTGCTGAAGGCTCACGCCGAGTCCTACCACTTGTACAACGAGACCTACCGTCCAGTTCAAAACGGAAGGATCATGATTTCCATCAACTCCATCTGGTATGAGCCCAGCGACCCTGCTAACGTAGAACAGGTTGTTCTCGCCGACGTAGCCAATCAATTCAAAGTAAGGAACTTACTGTTCGATAGATTAAAATTTTGATTTATATTGGAAATTAATATTAATGTTTACGTTTGTTTCATTAGTTTGGTTGGTTCGCGCACCCAATTTTCACTGTTGAGGGAGGATACCCTGCAGTGATGGTTGAAAACGTAGCCCGTCAGAGCGCAGCTGAAGGTCTCTCCAAGCCTCGTCTTGAGCAGTTCGACGACTACTGGATTCAAAGGATCAAGGGAACGTCAGACTTCCTTGGTATCAACCACTACACTACGCATTTAATCACTGGTCCCGGAGTCGACCCCATTGCTAAGTCACCTTCGTGGTTGAAGGACATCGGTGCTGTTACCACCATGGAAGTTGGTGGTGACTCTGCTTCAGAGTGGCTTAGAGTAAGAACTTCATAATTTCTAAATACAACGATACTTACTTGCGAATTGATTTTAGTGTCTGTAAATAATTACATCTGTGACCAGGTAGTACCGACTGGCTTCGCTAACCTGCTCCGTTGGTGCAAAAGCTCATACAACGACCCACCGATTTACATCACTGAGAACGGATTCTCAGACTTGGGAACCTTGCTGGACTATGACCGTATCAAGTACTTCAATGTAAGTGGCACTCAAAGTTCTTACATAAAGTTCAAATCAGTTTATAAAAATTTCTTTCCGTCTGAATTTTTTTAGGATTACCTGAGTGAGATTCTGAACGTGATCTACGATGACGGCGTCAACGTACTCGGCTACACAGCCTGGACTCTCATGGACAACTTTGAATGGAGGGCTGGATTCTCGTAAGTAATTCTTTATATACCTAATAAAACAATGAACTGGTCAATGAAGCGGCTCATGACACGAATGAACTTAGACCATCACAGATCTTCGATTTAGCCAAGAAATATATTTTTGTGATCCACAAATTGTTGTTTCATGACAGGGTCTAGCATCCTTGTAAAAATATAATTACTTAGATACTATTTCTCAATTTACCCACACAACAATATTTCTAGAAGAAAAACATACGATGTACTTACTTATCATTCATAAACTAAAGTAAGTAAACTTTGGTATTGAGTACACATTATCTTTAATCCGATATGATAACTTTCTAGTGAGCGTTTCGGCTTCTACTACGTAAATATTACTGATCCCGAGCGCCCACGCACCAAGAAACTCTCAGCTGATTACTACCGCGACCTGATCGCTAACCGAGAGCTTCCTCAGGACGAGCGCTACAAGGTATTCAATATTGTTTACACTAACTCAAAACAAACAAAAAAAAAGAAATTGTATTTTTTATAATTAATTCTGTTTAGAAATTGGGTACTCCATTTTGAAGCAGAATTAATTATATATGCATAAATCTATTTTATAACTTAATCAATTTACAAGCCGTAACTAAGTGCCTATTGCTTGTCTAGTTATCCGGTGTGGGTTTTCTTTCCTGAACTGTGTACGTTACTTTGTTCTTACTCCGTGTTATGTTACTATTCTTCTGTTTCTTTTAGTTCTTAATTATGATTTATTTACTGGTGGTGTTGAGGTTTGCTTTCAACTATCTGCTTTGAGTATATGTTCTCTTTGCGAATAACCAGTAGTTTTAAAATAGTCTTACTAAATTTACTTTTTGACAGATATCGCAAAAGTGAAGACGGTGACGGTCCAGCATGGAAGGCCTAGTATCTATTGTAAATAATAATATTTATTACAAAAAGCATGTATGCATCGCTTGTTAGCGTTTAAAAAATAAATTATTTAAACCATATTCTTAGACTTTACTTTCTTCGACAGATCACGCCAACACCAAGAACTGAGTTGTAGTATATCGTCGTGTAAGTTTTATAAAGACATGGAAAGTAAAATATGTAATAGGTATTAAAACAAATATTTATTTAATTCATATAAGAATATCGAATTATTTACAATGAAATTATAGTAAATTAATAACGTTGACACGTAATTTCATTGTTATTACATTGATACACGTAGTTACATACACTACATAGAAAACTTGCATCTGTCATCAGACTGAAAAGATATGTTTCATAAAGGCTATAACTTAGAAATAATTGATTACAGTTTACTTGAGATATTGTTCTGAATATTATTCTGTAGCAAGTGGCAGGCCTCGAGCCAGGCGAGGCTACAGTACGAGTGCAGTACAGTAGAGTACAACTTGGAATGTTTGTCGACGTGTCGTGACACTAGGAACGACTTACTGGATCACTTGGTCGACCGCGGGTCACTCTCCCGACCTCGCGGTGCTACGGGGAGGGCGAGTTGAGAATAATGAACCGAACAATATGAGAAGCATCCAAACTTACGGACTCTTACAATTAATACACGACAAATACAAATATAAAGTATACAACAAATGGATCTACAGAATACAAAATTAAATGTATCATCAACCCAGCACCGTTACGTCTAATTACAATAGTTACACAGATGCTATTTATTGCTATGCGACATAACTGAAGATTACAATAAAGTCTTATAAGAATAATAGTACTTTTACTAATATGGCAAAGTTTTCAATGTAGCATTTGATATTAAAGGCCTAATTCCATTATCATATTAATCAATCAAGCTAGCTGAATTCAATACACTCATACAAAAATTCTAAAGACTAGGTGGGCTTACAAAATTTTGAAACATTTGAATAATTGATAGAAACATGATCGATGATTGAATGAATTGATTACTAATAATAATGAAGTAATACTAATTACATAACAATAGTTATAGAAAATAGATTTTATACTTTGTTGGCACCAATCGCAATCTGCTCCGCAGCAGGTCGCAATGTTATTTCAATAAATCCATCAAATCACACAATTACTATCTTCTGAGTAAGGCACTTAGAGACGAATTTCTAGCTCCAATTATTCCCTAAAATTAGCTAGCTAGCTGCACCCATACACTTGAATATTGCTTATGTAGTCACATTGTTCACTTAGAACCCAACTAATATAAGTAAACATAATAGTTGCCAACATATTACCTACTTCATGATTAACTATTAAAACTTAACGTCTATTCATAATCTCGAAAATTCACAAGGACGGTGTAAGTTGACAAACAACGTTCTACAAGTACATAAGTAGTTTATTTTCTGTCAAATCACTATTACATCAATAGTTCGACAATAGAAAAATTGTAAAAATATCTCAACATTATCTAAATTATTACAACAATAAATAATTTTATCAAGGCACAATAAGGCACTGTTCATTACATCAAGATGTTATCACAATCTTAATTTTAAAATATATCATAAAATATTGTTTGCTTGTCGATTTATAGAAAACGATTTCCGATAGTCTCTATGAAAAGAATATGGAAACTAAGTTCACGAATGATTGCGTTGCAACGCAACTACTTTCTGCTACGAAAGAAGGCTTGCAGCCACCGCGCGGCGAGACGTCGCCGGCACTCGTCACTAGTGCTGTGCGTACGCAGCCGTACGCACCTCGCACTAACCTCATGACTAGCCATTCGTGATAGTCTTGCTCTACTGATCCGCGATACTTGGCTTACTTTTCGTAGCTCATCTCTTGCTTCAGCTGGTTGAAACATTTTTGAATTCGAGCATCATTTTTTTGTTGGCTTGCTCACGTCATAAGACGAAAATGATTTTAATTTTCTTATGTCACTCCAGCATTATTTGCTAACTATGGATGTATAGATACTAATTTACAATACTTAAGAGGCCAAGTCAAGAATTACGATGAGTATGTGTTGTATAGTCAGTCATACAAAATTCCACACATTTACATATCAACCACAACGAAGTAGAAACATTTAACTCACACAATTTCGTATTCCTATCTCATTCGAATAAATGCAGAGACAGAGATAAAACCAATTCTGCATAAAAGCGAGCAGATATAGTAGGGAATAGTGAAACCGGTGCGGAAATGTGTTGAAATGAAATTTGAACTGAAAAATAACGTTGCTGGCTATAAATACCACCAAATGCGTAACTCCGCACCGATCCAACTGTTCTCATGGAAGCCATCGTACTGGTATTGAAGTATCTATCTATACTAAGTCATAAGCACACAAAATCCCACGTCAGTCATTACACATGTTATGCTATAATTGTCATTTTCAAAGTGAAATTTACACCATCGTTACCGTGTTGTCCCCGACACTGTTATAGCGGTCGACGTCATACAAGCGGTAAGTACGCTACATTAAACATATAATACCTAATTTGAAAGTTTGTAAGCATGGTCTGCGCAGGCGCGCGCCATCTACAGCCACGTCAGCACGTTGTCGGGCTTGCTCGGCGTCGAGTTTATCAGCGATTGCACGTCGTCCAGGAGTATGTCGTTGGTGAACTCGTTCAACTGGAACAGTCGAATTTACACGTTATTACAATCTTTTAGGATTCCTCATCATTATACAAGACTCAACAACGATCATGTCCACTGATGGATTATGAACTTAGCTTTCGGATCGATTCGGATCTTTAGATCATAACAACATAGTTCTATGTTTCACGAGAACGTAATGTCTCGGTGATCGAATAGTTGCAAGTGCAACATCTGAGCGTCCTAGATCTGACAATTTCCCAGTAACAGCTCAGAGGATTATTCTGTTTTTCAACAATTTCCCTGTAGCACAGAGTGTGGAACTGTATTTGTATTGCGTGACAATATAAATAAACAGGTATAAAGTGTAAATCACACAGGCCCATCGCCTACTTCCTCGAAAATTATAAGTAATGTTACGATATGTCACATTTTAAGTAACACTATAATAATTTTTTGCTTCTTAAAAATAAAAATTTTCCCGATAAGAGAATTTATTATTATTTTCTACCTCCTTTTATCAGAATTGTTATTGGATTTTTTTTTATTTTTATATACATATATATAATTTTAATTTAAAAAAAAAACGTTGCCCCACGTTAGGATTTTCTCCTGTGTCGTGGGTGCGGTTACAAACATACAAATGACACACAGACCCGGACAACAATTTGTAGATCACACAAAGAGTTGTTCCGTGCGGGAATCGAACCCGCGACACGTTGTACGGCAGCCAAGTTGCCCAGCCACCGCACCAACCGTGCAGTCAAATAACTAATTTTAACCATAATAACAGGAACTAATAATAGAAAGATTTAAAAGAAACTTAAACCTAATTATATTACTTCGTTCTCATCTATATGTCTATGTAAATAGGTCGTAGTCGATATGCAAATCAGTCTCTCCATACATGTCAAGTACAAGAAGTATAAACCACTAAAATATAATTTGTCAAATTACGGGACTACGCTACGACAAACTTAGTTTATGACTACGGCGTAGAAAAAGGACTACGCTGACTACGTCGTAGGTGATCCAAGGACTCGACTACGCTACGCCATAGAAGTTAAGGAAGAGATAAATAAGGCAATTTAATTACTTGCAAAGAAGGAACCAAGTCGTCAGTAGAGTCGAGGTTGTCGGCTAGCGTTATGTCGGTGGAGTCGAGGTTGGCGCCGGCCTCGCTAGTGCAGTCCATGCGGTCGTCCATGCCGGACAGGAACCCTTCTGGCGTATGAGGCATCGAGTAAGAGTGGGGCACGCCCATCCCTAGGCCGCTGTCAGCCGACTCCTGCCGCTGGTGATCCGAGAGTCCTGACAGGAAGGGATCCAGCGGCAAGTCGGTACTGGTGACACCCGTACTGTTCGCCAGTGAAGATACGATTGATGATGACTGCCTCGCCATTATAAGCTCTTGCTGAAATACCAAATTACATATATTAGAATATTGACCAATTATGTTATTATATTTAATTATTTTCCAGCGCATGGGCAATTTATTTCTCAAACTGTTGTAATGACTAAGGTCATACGTGTCTACCTGTTCCGTATGCATCCGGAAGTCATCACATCAAGGAAATGGAATCAGCAGACGTATGCTAATGAGAGCATTATACCCCACAAAAAACCATCATGGTAAACAAGTTTTCAATCCAACAACGTTAATAGACCAAAAATCGTTAACACCTGTTTAATGTCATGTTAAAACAAAGGTTTTATATCTTTATAAATAGCCACAGTATATCACAAATACCGTGACAGTAATTAACCAAACGTTTATTACCTGGAGTCTGATCTCCTGCTGGCGCTGCTTGAGGCGCTCTCTCTCGAGCTGCAGCGACTGCAGCCGCAGCTTCTGCTGGCACGCCTGCAGCGAGGTGTTGGCCCAGCCGCCGTCCGGCACCGCTCCGCCCGCAGCCGGCGTGCGCTGCAAGTGTTGTGCTGCGAACAGGAACGATCACGCCGTTAGCAATTATGTAAACAATCCTGCCATTTACATCAGAATCAAAACCTGTCCTCGTGACAAAGTTTATTATTGAAGCATGTATAATTAATTGTGCAATCACACAGATGGCTATGCGTTTGTGACATTCACTGTACATGTAGTATACTTACGTATCCTTGGATCGAACCAGGATGTGGTGCGAGCTGCATGATTTATAAAGTAGATTTCTCCTTCCGCCGTCGCGGCCTGCTCCCAACCCTCCGGCAGGGGCCCTAGTGGATCCGTCGTTGTGTTACTACTTGTACTCTTCGCTGCTGAAAACAATCAAACGTACGTAATGAGTACCTTTGAAACGTTACACTTGTCATTTGTAGGAAAACAACTAATGATTCTCTCAACAGCGACTAGTTGCAAGCCAGCACATTATGAACTAAGACGTACGCACACGTGATTGAGAATCAGGTGGACAACGGGAAGGTCGATGTGAGCTCGTTCCAAGAAACGACGGCGCCAGACGAGCGCGAGCTGGCCAGCGCTTGGCACTCGTTTCCAAAAATGAATCACGGCGCACGCGCGGTGCCGCCGAGCCGCGGACCACTCACACGCACGCGCTCTCACGCTTTGTGTACGCGCACCGCGCAGCGCAACAAACAGCCGATCATTCATAAACAATTCACAGATATATAGCCGGCTAATTGATCGCCAATATCGTGCCTATTAACGTTGCTCTATTCTGATTGTGTGATTACATCTAAGTATTACGTGTCTCGTATTGCTTTTCCTGGTCCACAAAACTATTTGTTTGACTGAATTATCAATCTAAGTCAGATTACCGATACAATGTTCTAGGGGCGCCTTACTTTTTATGTCAATAATTTAATAAAATTTAGGAACATGAACGATTTACATAATAACGTCAAACCCGGGCAAGCTCTTGCGACGGTGCCGGTAAAAACAATGCGCTTTATCATAGCTGCAATCTAGATAATTTCTTTATTAACTGTGTTGCCTTTGTGCGGTCCGTGCAGTGTAATTACCTACACATTATTTACAATCATCATTACTCAACAGTCGACACCAGCGCACAGCGGCTCCGCGACTAACCGCGATATTACGTTAGCATTACGTTATGACCGCCTCCACTGCCGTTTTGTAGCTAGCTAGCTACTTTTACCCACTTTGATTAAACTACAAAACAGGATGAATAATATTACTGCTAGAACATAGACAAGAATAAACGCGGTCAGCTACAGAGTTAGATTACGTTGACAAAGCTAACAAATCCCAACATTTTGATAGATCGTTTCAAAACAAGTTCTTGTGACACGAGATGCGTTATACGAAAGATATTTCAGTACGAGTCGTAGTTATGTTATCGCGATATAAGATTAGGGAGGAACGCGCTGTGGAAACACAATTATTTGTATTGTCACCTGATCTACATAGGTAGGTGTTTGTAGTGTGGCGAAGATAAAGTAAGATGTAACAGTGTCACTCGCTAGGAAGAGCGACGCCCGGCCCGCCGAGGTGGCGCTGCCGCAGCTACACCGAACGTGATATGGTACGTGAATAAGTCACGTACGTACACAACTATCATAACTTTAAAAATTAACTCATAAAGGTAAACACGTGCGTCGTGCACATGCTGTCAGGGAGCAAGTGGATTAAATGTCGATGACACAAAGGCGTAAATAGTGCCCAATAATCACTTTGATATACTTAAAAGGAAAGCTGTATATTTTAGTCTGGCGAGACAAAGACGTGTTTAAGTTAGTTGGGGTGTAGTAGTCTGCGTGTAGAGTAAGGCGGATATGTCGCAAGGCGCTGAAAGGCGCGGGCGCCTATGTTCGACACCAAACGACCGACGACGGCGAGTTGCGCGGGCGCCGGGACACCAATGTATTTTCCGAACACCTTTCAACGCTCGTCTCGCATCGACCGACGGAAACAACGCGTTAATTCCCGTCATAAAATCAGTTTTAGAATTCGGGTTATTTACTTGTTTTTATTTTAGTTCCATGATAATTTTAAACTTGCTACTCTGGCCAATTGGATCACGTGAAAATTGGATCCAAAGCAAAAGAATAATTAAACCTAGTTAGTCTTAAACGTATACGCAAGTAATACGCTTAGTGCAGTATAATAAAATGATGAAACAACAATATAGAACAAGTTTAATAAAGCTGCACAGAACAGAAATTGAGTTGAAACAACATATATTATATTGGATGTAGGATTACTAAGTAATAATACGTAACAAATGTTGTGGGAGTAGCTTTAAAAAAAAGTCAGAAACAAACAATCTGTTATTAGATAGTAGATATTTAACCAATTATTAATGAGTGATATTTGAATTAGGGAAATCCAAATCCGAGTTATCATCTTTTGCCTACAAAGAAGAACAATGTAAAAATGTATTTGAATACAATTAATGAAAACAGTTAGTTTCAGATTTACGCCATTACACGGAATAACATTGTTATTATCCTTATACATATCAGTATTTTGTTAATATGTATTATATTATGGAAATACCGTGGACGTCATTGACAGCTATGGAATGATGTGGATACCTATAGTCATGAGGCAATTCTAGTGCTTATTTAGGTACTCTACGAGTACGGTAATGTACAATATTAATTAGATAAACTAAGTTCCTACTGGTCATTAATTAAACCGCCGCCTCGAGTTTATTTTATTCACAGGAAATAAGCTATGATTAAAGTATATTTTCCTCATCAATGGAATATATTTTTTACAAAGTAAAATTTGAATCGGAAAAAGCAGTTTATTTATAATTACTTAATCAAGTTTTCAATTTCTTTTTTTTATAAAATGATGGGATACGGAGTTCCGTATTTGTTTGATATTTTAAAGACGTCCACTACGATACACGAAAGTTTTGGGATGAAGTTTACAATACTGACTATTACTGACTCATCAATATTAGACTTAATGCTATTTGTTTTTTTTTATTGATAATCGAGTAAATGGTTTTTGTGTCTTGATAGGTACACTTAAGATAATCCACAGTACCGTCACTTCCTTTTCTTATATCGCTTTTATCTCTTCTAGTCCTAGAGGTGTGAGCACTGAATCAGTCATCGATAGTTTAATATTTTGCATCAGAATTTAATCTACTTTTTTTGTATTTTTCGTAATTTGATGATGATTTTTGATCTTTTGTTATGAATCCGTTTCAAAATGTTTTAAATTTAGATAAAAGGATAAGCATCTTCTTATCTTTGGGCTTAAGCATCTTTGGAATTGAAATATTTATTTACGTATACCTAGCTAAGACCGTTGTAAAATGTTTGGAGAACTACGTCTCGTATCTCGGCCGCGTGTGGTTGTACACCCGCTCTTTGTCACTAAAGCCGAAATTCTCAGCTACAATATACAAATACCGCATTTCTGATTTGGTGCATCCAGATTTAATCGTATCATCGTATTGAATTACATATTTAACCTTGAAGATTGATCAATATTATTTTTGTTTTGTATTTCCGAGTTGCCAATAGATAAGCACGTAAGCATTTTCTAATAGGTAAGTTGTTAGGTCGTTAGACACTAAAAGTTGGTATTAGTCAATTCAATTCTGAGTTTAAGTATGTTCTTATACATGTTAGTCTTATTTAAAAGGGAATAGATAAGAACCTGGTGCAGGTGTGTTGGGTATGTTTTGCGGCGAGGCAGCCTGTGTGAGCAGCGCGTCTGTGCTCTGATGCTGCACGCTGCCAGCCACTGACTGGGCCGCGAGAGTCTTGCGAGGGTCGTCCCATGTCGTGGTCTTCGTTATGTGACTGAAAGAAAAAAAAAATACATCAATATGGCCAACTCCTAATATATTAACAAATCAGAACAGACATGACACCTTTTTAAAAAAAATCATTCATATCACTGAAGTTGCGTAACAAAAATAAAATTGCATAAAACAATACAAATAAATTGTAATAGAAACGTATTTTCCGAACACATTACTTGAGAATAGTAAAGTGTTCATTATAACCCCGTTAGCAACATTGGCATCGTGTGAGCCAAATCTTCCCACTTAGCGGTCGATGTGACCAATTTGTAGACAAAACCGGACACGGAGTGTGCGAGTGCGACCCAGTGAATAGCCACCGCCATGATGAACGACTCTTTTACTTTCTTTACACTGAAAGTAGGCACTATCACATTTGTGGTTGCGTCTGCAATCATATTTTGACAGCTATGTTTAGACGAGGCACATCACTATCGCTTCGCAATTAGTTTTATGATCATAGACCAGATGTTTAAATATCGGGTACTTGAGATTTATTCTTTCAAGATAAAATGTAGTACCTAAGCTACGCTGGAAAGCGGATGGGGGCATTACCACTACAAATTGATTTGCACGGAACGGTAATGAACTTGGGCGCGCTATCAGCTGTTAGCGATGTCACGCTGAGCACCTGTACGTGGCACGGCGCGGCCGCACCTGCACCGCTACTTATCAACTGCATTTAATTCCTCATTACTTCCAAACTGTACATAACCTTTAGCCAGATACTCAGCTGGACTCTGAGGGCCAATTGAAATACACACGTTGCACTCAGTCGTATGTAAAAAATATTGTAATTCCACTCACAGTACGAGTGTAACCTGACTACAGTTTTCTATTCGATTGCAAACGACTGCAAGATTGAGTTTTTGCCCTTAAATTTGCATCCTATTTGTTATTATTGATATACTAGTAAGCAACAATGGTTAATACGAATAATAATTCGTCTACCATTGGTAGTAATAAGTAAAATCTTAGCTGTATATAGAACCTTTATATAATATGTGGTATATAAAAAACTCCCACAAATACATAATGCACAGAGTTCGTTCTGTTATAGAAATGGCTGCAATAATTGTTGACACGGTTTACCTGACAAGCGATTACGTAAGTCGTGGTTTATTTTATTTCAATGGGTTATATTATGTGAGTTCCTATACTATTACTATGCCTAGTTATATGTCTAGTATCTAATTGATAAAAATGAAGCCATTGTTTTCAACCTACGCGTGTAAGAATATTTTAATATGGTTATAAATATCAACATTTTATAGGTATGCATTATAATATACATATGACCAACGATGATGTTATACAAGATATAGTAGATCTCAAAAGTGACATGCATTTACAGTGGGTAATAGAAGACAATGTTCACCGTAATAACGTCAAAGTTAGAACTATTAATTTTTAACTTGGATAAAAAAACCAAATTGCAGTTGCCATGTAACTACTTTCAAGTGCTATCTACCTAAAGACCTACCAAAATGAATATCATAAAATTACAAACGATATCTAGAGCCTGATAGAAAAGTAGTGAATAATATTTAAAGCATATTTGCTTAATTGCGGCAAAATAGGCCATCAGCAATATGAACGAAACGTGTGATGTAGGCACATCACGCCACTTCAGGTGAACATGGCGGCGCGGGCGACGGGGTGTGCGGGCGAGTGTGTAATTACAGTGGAGCCTGCGCCTGGGGGGCAGGGGGGAGGATGGCTCGAGTTGCATAACACTGACCAAACTGTTGTATCCAACATGCGACTCGCCACTTTATGTTTGTTTGTACACATTCACATTATTTTGCCCACAATCTGCAAAGGCGACACGTAATCGATCGTTCTCAGAACGCAGATGACTGGATTTGGCAACGTTAATGGTAAACCTTTAGTCATCTTTACACGTTACTTATGGGAAAAGCTATCAACATTTCCAAGTTATTAGAAATAATGTTCAATAGATCAGAAAGCCTTTTCTATGTAGATTAACCTTACACTTAATACAACTCTACTCCACACTCGAAACCATTTCATACATAATGAAAAAAGCAAAACTGAAATGAGAAAGTGTTTTACGTTTCGACTGCGTCGTCTGCGCAGATAAAATTATGAATCAGTGAAGAGAAAGTATAACCTGTGCTGAACCGTTATGTCACCGTTATAAACGTTATCAGCATCATCATCCCTCAGCCATATGCGGACACTTCAGTTAATGTGGTCGCTTATCTATTGTCTTACTGCAGGTAACCTATTATTTTAATGCATACGTCGATTATCATTTCGATAAACGCGTCCCAATTAAAGATGAATATTTTACTGTATAACGCAAGCAATGACCACGGCATGAGCTCTTAGCCTCGCTATATTACAATTAAAATACATAACAGTTACTAGACAACAATTGCCATATGACAAGGAACATTAAGAAACAGCCGCCATTTCTCTCGTGCGAAGGCCTTCCACTGTTGCACAATGCACCCGGTGTTGGTGTCTACGCGGCTGATGTCTGTCGGCCTAGTGTCCAAATCGAACGTTATCGTGATGGTAATACCAAGCTAAAGTAGGCTACTTTAACCAGTCCCTAACTAGGTACCTGGCCTGGTACTCATAGCTAACACCACTTGAACAAAAGACAAATTCAACTGAACAGATTGCAATCTCAGTATAATGAAACAATGAAACAATGAAACAATGAAACAATGAATTTATTTTTGCAAATAGGCCATAAAACGGCACTTTTACACGTCAATTTATATGTGAAAAACTAGATGAAGCCGGCATTTCCTATCTGACTACTCTGAGAAGAAATGCCGAAACAAACTCAGAGGTCAGTCTCTATAAGTTAGTCACCAATTCTTGATCAATATTTTAACCAGTTTACAAACTTATTTTAAGAAGATGCTCCACTTTGACTGTGTAACTAATTAGGAGCACTGACAGGTACAAATTTGATGAAGGCTTATTGTGGAGACATTAAAATCTGTTTCAACCTTACTTTGGAAACAAAGTATGTATTGTAAACAGATTCGCGAGCACAATATGACGAATTCGGTGAAATGCCTCGTGTTTCAATTAAACGGAAAATAAAGTTGGCATCGCGTCCGTCGACGTAACATAAACATTAAAATAACTATGATGGTTGAGTAGCAGCTCGCAAAATCTCATTCAGATGCCAATACATTATAATATCTATGTACACATGCCGATTAATAGCAATCTCTGGTACACGGTGATTATACAAAATGTTTTCACTTTTTGCCATCAAGTAGGTGTAATAGACTTTAGACGCGAAGTCAAAAGGTCTATGAAGAATTTGCACCATTACATTAATTTGTAGGTGTGAGTGTGTGACATGATGTTTGCCGGTTAAGTAATATGATTAGTCATCACAAAATGAAATTATTATTCCAGATTTCTTGAGAAGGTACCATATAAGTGCCCAAGAACAAATACAGTCGCAAACACCTTATGAGCATCTAAGTAACTAATGTAAATATAGTATATTCACATTAGATACATATGATTTTGTACCTTCGTTTAGGTAAACGTTTATAGATTTATACATATACCTAACTCAAATTATTTCCATTATTATTGTTTAAAACGTCAATATAATGGAATTAAATCGCGGTATGACGTCATCAACGTAATTATAGCCCGCATCAGTTACAATTGAAACCACTTAAATCTAGACGTTGTTACGATCGAAACACTGAATCTGGGAGCAGCATCAGTAAGTGCTGAGGCTGAGTGCGAGTGTGCGTGTTGCGGCCGTGCGAGTGTAAGACGCCGCCGCTCTGGTTGCACCGGATGCGCGTCATATCGGACGTACATCCTCGTCTGGTGCGCAATTTTCCCACTTCTCCACTGCACACAACACTACACAATAGACGCCACGACATACAACAACACGAACCACAAGCCGAGTAACCTCGAAACGAATCAACTTTATTTATTCCTGGATTGATTACATAATCAAGTTCATGTGCGGTTAAAATATGTAATGTAGAGCGATGTCGATCTTCTACATAAGCGTTCTATATGATTTGATTGTCCATAGGCCGGTGGTACCCACAGTTATCGGATTAAACAACATTTACGTATACCTACGTAAACTAATAAATCGAAGGTCACAGCATACGCTAATTAACTACATAATGAGTTCGGTGTAAATTTTATGAAACCCGATGAGGAGGTATTGTCATCGATATAGAGACCAACTATTGTGATTTATAGTTTTGTTTGTAAAGTAAGCAAGGTAATCAATGCTGGGCACTTATTTTATGGCGAGCTGTTACGAAAGGTAGGTTTATTATAGTCAGGAAAGACAAACTGTAAACAAGTTCTAGCTCTACTAGCTCTATCTCACATCTAAGCCCACAACATTTTAAAACTTTGTACAAATACTCGCATCTGTTTACAAACTCATTTAAAACCTGCTAAACAGAATTTAACGGGTCTTTCACTGTTACAAATGTTAAGGTCAAAAACCAAATAAGGTATCATCATAAAGAGGGGGCAATAGAAGTATATCACAATGTTAGTAACGCAACCAGGAAGCACATGAAAACTTTAACTAAGTAGCGAGTCAAATTCATTTTCGAAACAAGGCTATGACAATTTGAATAATTATTATAATACATACATATTACGCACTTTCTGTACTTAGGAAAGTCATAATATGTTGAGCCAATGAAGCTACTGACTTACAGTGCAGAAGAGTTTAGCCGTTGACCAAGTAAACTATGAATAAATAAATAAAGAGAGAGCTATCCTTCTCTTTGAAATTGAGAAAACAGTTGCAAGTGCAACAATCAGCACCTCATGTGGAAATCGTGGAATATCGACACAATATTGACATGCAAATGGTTTCTTTGTAGTGGTAATGCAATAGATGGTGGCATATACAGTAGGAACGTGTGTATGTGTATGTGTATGTACCGTTAACTGAAGTGTGTCGTTTCGTCAACAAGGCGACTGTTGGCAAACATTGTTTTA